TTAAGGCCAATGGCCAAAATCAAGAGAACTATCAATAAATTGAAAAAATTGTTTGACTCATGATATTTACTGACGCATTTCATGAGCGAATACTAAGTTTCAGTACTCTAACTTACACGGTCACAGAAATAAGTCGCTTTAATTCGAAATCGAACTTGTCTCTTTTACGGAAAATTAAAGTTTTATTTGATTTGGTAAAGTCCATTTTCTGGTTGCCTATTAAAATCCACATCAGAAAAATAAAGTTTCATTAAATTATCTGCTTCCATAGCTGTACAAAAAGCGGACAAAGTTTCAACTTCGAACTTTATTTTCTCGAAAACTATTGATGAGAGAAACTTTCAAATCGCATAAAAAGGGTCTGTTGTCATGTCCTTACATCCCTTCAGAATTTAAATTTGAATGTAATCTATTTTTGCCCGTTTTTCGTGTCAATTTGTATCACTTTGTGAATAAATGTTACAATTGTGTTAAATGTTTCTTTTTGTTAGCAACCCAATTCAAAACTATGTTTCTGAAGCTAGGAAAGGTTTACAATATTGAAATAGCGTCGATTCAATGTAGTATTTTCACGGCTAACCATGTAAATCTGTACTAGTGCTTAAGTTGGTCTGTCTATTTCACGAATAATGCGATTCCTTTCAGTTTTTACTATTTAATTTTCAACATTTTTGTCTTCAGGTAAAATTGTTACCAGTTAAGTTTCGCGAAATATTTGATAATATGCCAGCAAAGCAGGCCAATATATCAGATGTTTCGGACATCGATGAGAAGGAAATACAAACAACGATTTATACTAAATACAATTTTTGGGACTTTCAAGGAAACTCATTATACTTTCTAATAAACCAAGTAAGTTAATCAATCTAGTTTACTCTCTCCATTCATTCAGTAACTTGTACACAACAGTTAATTTTTCATGACTTAAAAGACAGTGTATAACATTTGAAACATTAATGAGTTTACACTTACAACTTTGCAATAAAATAATGGTCTGTTGACTGATTTATTTGTTCAAATATTGTCGTTTTCCGAAAATTGTTTTTTTCTATCAAATATTCAACAAATTATGGACGAATCTAAAAGTCCAATCTAATGTAATTCATCGGATTGTAATGGTATATTATAGCTGTTGTTGCTCGTCAAGAAGATTTTCCTTTCCTAGACTAGATAACTGTTTCATCGCTTTTCATTGTTAATGCATTTTGTTGACGTTAATCAAATTTACGAGTTAACCAAAGTACACACAAGCACTAACCTAAATTTTATTTAGGATTCTATTTTTCAATGTTAATAAATCGAAAAATGATTTATCGTAATTCACAAATTTCTATCAAAATTAATGTATCAAAGGGAGTTATCATTTTGCAATTGTACCCAAAACCCGAAACTTCAGTTAAAATGAATTTTTCCAATACTTTTACATTGATCTTCAGTTCTTTTGATCTTTTCTTGTTTCTCATCAATAGGTTGTTGAATGTGATTATCGACAAATACGCACAAATTTTGTCCAAAAATATTTTCCTGTTTTGCCATATTATGCATCAGGTAGTTAGAATTTATAAATCCATTATTGCCTGAAATTTAACTTTGCTATTTTTGATGTCTCTTAGCTTCTGTCATTATTGCCTATTTAACTCCTCGCTTTGCTTCTTCAAGGATTTGTGCACGTGAAGTGACTCTTGCCGATGTCCTAAGGAAACCCATTTTACCAGTAATGCTTGAACCAACTCCTTGGCCACTTCCAGGACCAATGGCTGTAGTAATGAGCTCTCTTGTTTTCGTCGATTTGTGCGGTATGTAACGAGCTACTCTTTTTCGTCTTAATAATGCATTGAGATCTTTGCACCAGTAAATCAATAAAAAGTACTAAAGCAATAAATATTTCAATCAAACGAATTGCATTTGTTTACTTTTATTGAATAAAAATAAGTCAATTAGCTCAAGTTTTTATTGTGACAATTTAAGGAGTATTAACAAAAAGTTTATTTTGATTTGAAAATAAAACATTTATTTTTGTTTTTTTCTAGGTGTTGGTGGTCATGGAGGGATTGGTAAAAGTGGTGATTCTGAGACTCGATTTCGTGATATCCTTAACACTATTTCTCGATGTATTGCTGGTAATCCTGATGCAGCGATTCCTTCTCGTAATCAAACTTTACAACATCTATTCTACCCAAGATCAGGCGACCCAAGGCTCAGTTTAACTACAATTACACCCGATTTGAGGTCAGATAGCCCACCTTTGCCACAAGAAAGACCCACAACTTCGGGTGAAGCAGAAGAGGTAATTTTAACTTAAATTAGTTAAACAGGCTAAATTCATTTTTCATTTCATTCCAGATTGCAGATTATTATGCCATGGAAAGAACGGTCGAACAAGCTTCTGGCGATGAAATGTCGGTCGTTTCTCGACTCACAAACAATCCAAACAATAACAACAATAGGATATCAAACTGTTCAATTTGTAATATCGTTTAAATAATGTTTATTCAATTTTGTAAACAAAAATGCCACCCATGCCAAAATTGAGAGCGCTCAACCTTTCAGTTTATGTTTAGTTATTAATGAAATGTTTATTTGAAAATCTTTCAGTTGTTAAAATCTCCACCAACAGATGGAGTAATATCTCAGCGCAAGATGGTTCAAATCAGTGACAATCAATGATCAAGTTTGCTGATGAATTCATTGGTTTATACATTATATTGCCTTACGCGAAGTTGTTGTATTTTTGTGATCTGAAAATCAATAATACTTTTTATTCTTGAATAGATAAATTGGAGTCGTTTATACGAAATGTAACCGCATTGTAATCCATTTTTAGACTCTATTGGTGTTTCTCATTTTTACATTTTATTACAAAGTTGGAATTGAAATAAGCTTGGAATTGAAATAATACTTGGTGAATTGTCTTTGCGTCTCAAGTGCGTTTAGTCTGAACATTGATTCGTACAATGAAGAAATATTAAGAAGATTAACTGTTTCATCACTTGTAGACGAGGAAATCTGTGAAGGTTGAGACAAGAAAAGTTCTGAAACTGATGTGATGACAGGAAAGTAAACCAGCAATTTTAAATAACCCAAAGAATGCTGAATTGGATGTAAAGAGATAAAACAAAACAACTTTTTGATCAAGGAAAAGGTTGCTACTGCAAACAAAAAGTTGTCATTAACATTCACATAGACGTGAGGCAAGCAAGAAAAGCAAGAAAAGACGAAAGGAAAAAACAAGGTAAAAACGTATTTCTAATCAACGTACAAGTATTATAATTTGACGAAATCAAAATCAAAATAACTCTTTTTTTGGGTTTAGGAAAATCTTGCAATTTATTTCCAAACTAGAGACATTCCATTGGAATTTTACGTAAATTGTTGCAATACGAAAGTTAATTGACTCAATGATGTCAGTTAGATAGCTGTAAAGTTCACTTATTACCTACGGCTGTTTACCCAATGAATTAACCACTAGCCTCTGTAAATGTTTTTTAGCTTCAGTTTTTTGTTACTTTTTCATTTCGTCATTCAGATATTCATAAATAGATTGAACCACCAAAAGGCAAATCTATTTATACATGTTTAGGAATGGAGTTGAAATCGGCATTCTATTGCTTCACAGCGAAGATCCATTGTTATTTGGATATTGTTGTCCATAATGGCACCAATTGTAAATAGTCTTCGAGTTGTTGGTTATCGTCTTCATCTTGTAATTGATCCTATCCAAATCATGATCAACACGATTATTTAAATGAACAAGATTGGTATCTAACTGATTTGGTTCCGGTTTTTTGTTACCACCATTCAACATGCAAAGTGAATATCAATATGCAGTCAACCAAATTAATACCTGGAAAGCACATCAAGAAAAGATGAAAAAAATGAAAAATCAAAATGTAAACAAGTTAAAAATCATTTCCCCATTACCTGATTACCTTCAACTGATTATCATCTTTGGTAATTAAGATTATCCGGTCTGATTAGATGTAAAATTTTAAAAGAAAGATGGTTAACCCCTTTTGAGGATCCATTAATAAACATCTGATTTGTTGCTGTTACTCATTTCCAGCAAGTAACGTTTGTCTTCTCGTCCTTGACCTTGTTCAATTTGGTTGATTATCAGTTTGATGATTGATCAATTAAACACTAATCTATTGACAGTTAAATTAACAGGTAATCGTGTTAATAAACCTGTAAACACAAAAAGAAACGATAAGATAAAACACAGAACAAAAGGATTCATTCAATGAATCAACGTTGGTTACAGCTGAGCAAAGAAACCGCTCTTTTCAATAACTCACTGTGACTCATTTCTAATGGCGCAATTATTTGATTGTCGCCTTGTTTTAATCTTTAATCACTATTGTGATTCTCATTATAAGCTGTTTAACATTGAAACAATTAATGTGTCAGTGTAAGATGGTAACACAATTTATTATTTTAACACTCATATTTCCTGGTATTTAGCGTTGTAATGGATTACAATAACTTCAGATAGCATTTTACAGCATGAATTTATATTCAGTTGACTGTTTAGACCAAACATTGAAATTATTGCGTTTCATCATCACAAACATGATATGATGATCAATAACAAGAGTTGAAACCATCATGGAAGCTGAAAGTTGAAGCTGAAAGGTCAAGAAATCAGCAAAAGGAGGAAAAGCTTAAAACTCTTTAGGTCAAGCTAACTTTCATTTTCATGAGATTACAAACAAACAAACAAGCTACAAATTTTCAATGCAATTAACCTGTAATCCAAACTAATTAAATGTTTTCTCCTTTCTATTTCCACTGTCTGTTTAGACCTTAATAATAACCTTTACAATGACCTTTACAAAGTGTTTTCAAAACGAACCATTTACTATTTGAAATCCGAATAAATCTAAATGTAAGGTTTGAAGAGCTAAATTAAACCTTAATCAATATGATTTTAGCAAGAAAATTAACATTATTTGATGAATTTAGATTTAAATGTTTAACTTTGAAAAACACAGTTTCATTGATTTCGTGAAATCACCTGAATTTAACCCAAAGATTGAATGAAAAAACCGTTTTAATTGTTGACAGAAAAAAAGGATTACACCAAATTTAGTAATCAATATCGAAATTGTTGATTTAATTGATGCTAAAATAGCAGTTATGACGCTTTGATTACTGTAACTCGAAGGGACAATTTAACGATTCTTCCTATTTTAATGTTGATGATTGATGAAGAACCTGAAATGTCCAGTAAAAGAGCAACATTTTTCGTTACTTCAATGCTGTAATCATTTGAATCGGGAAATGTGATTAAAATGGGCAAAGTTAACAATTTAACTTCCTTTGATTAACTGACTGACAAGATTGCATTATTGTTATTTGAATGAAAATATAAACATTATTTTACCTGGAAATGAAAGTTAAAAATGAAAGTTTAAAATACTTTTAGGCTGATCATGATGATGATATGGAAAGGCTTGAGGCTTGAAGGATGAGGAAGAGATGAAGATGAATATTGCCTTAATGATGATGTTACATTGAGTATGCTTAATTGTACCAGCTTTTAATTTAATAGTAATTCAAAAGTGAACATCATCAACATTTTAAACACACAATTTGAAAGGTTGTTATTAATGTGTTGTCCTATTAAGACAAGATTAGGTAACATCAAGAAACACTTTGCAAATTTTTGCTGTTCAACAATTCAAATTAATTATAATTATAGATTGAAATTAAATTGTGTAAATTCAATGAAAAAGGTTAAAGTAAAAGTAAATTTCATAATGATTAAGCTTTACATAAAATTTAATTCTGATTAATCACTTGTAAAGCTTGGTTCGCCATTCAAACCGCTTGGCGATTCCTTTCAAGTTAACCAGATTTCTTTGGGTTAACTTGGATTTAACTGGATTTGCCAATAAGTAAGTTCATTATTAGATTAATAAATCCTATTAAATGGTTGAGTTAATAAATTGTTGGACTTTTGATTCAATTATAAAACAATTACTTTTAACACTTTATTCAATTTAAAATGACCGCTTTAAATTTGTAACAATTAACAAGTCAAAGGCCATCTTGAGGTGATTTGTGATACTTTTGTTTTTTTATTGTAACCCAAACAATTTTTAGGCTTAAACCTTTTTTTTCCTGTTCATCAAAACTGATTGTCACAATCAATTGATTCACCTTTTTCCCCTTGGATTATTGCTGTAAATTGGGATTAAAATTATGGTATTGTATTGAAAATTAAGGAAACAATCGTCATAATAAAAAAGTGGTTAACGATATTCAAGTGAAACTGGATGCTTGGAAAAAAATGGAGTCAAAATTTGCAGCGCAATTTCACTCAAAGGATGGAACTAGTTTTTGGGTTTTATTTATGACGATAAGGAGACCCGCTATTATCCGTCATCATCATCATCGTCGTCATCATTATCATCATTAGCTTCCCATCATCAACATCATCACTAACAAAACAACAACAATAACATGAGAAATGAAAGTTGAAAAAGAAGTCAAAGAAGAAGAACAACAAAAACAATAATAAATGATGGTGATTATTAAACTTGATTTAAGAGATTAACTTGACCTTTTCTGAAGGTTAATCATAATCAATTGACCTACAGGCTCTCTCCTTAATCAGCTACTTTCACTTATCAACTTTCACCATTTTACATTCAATTCACTTTTCTTTTGTTTCTTTTTAATTTGTTTTCTTGTTTACCAATTTATTTGTTTCTTTCTCCTCATGTTTTCCTCTTCTTTTATCATTGATTTCAACGCTGCAATCAACTCAACATTTTAACTTTTCACCTTCAACATACACCAAAACCAGTGCTGCGATATTAACTATGAGAGATTAATTGTTGATGTTGATGGATGGGACAATTTGTACAGCAAGATGTAAAATTGTGGACAATTTTAAAAGGTTGGACAAGGTTGCTTTCCATGAATCGAGATAATTTCAAGGATTGTGCTTTAATTTCAACTATAAATGATATCTACAGTTGAAATCTACTGTTGATAATCATCATTCAATCTTCGATTGTTAACGATTTAATCTTTCTGATAGGATGCCAAATGCAATTGATACATCATCATAATTTGAACTATCATTAAGAGAATCGGTTGTTCATCGTTGGTTTGCACATAAAAACATGATCAATTCAAATTGCGGAAGAAATGCTTTCTAAATTAATCAACCATATACAAAAAGCATGATAGTTATTATGCAAAGTTAACTTAATAATAGCATACAATTAAGCTAACAGTAAAATTGTATCTTTACATTCAAATGTCCCTTTGAAGTTGCTCATCAACAGAGTTAAATTAGCAGATTTAATAGATAATTTAACAATGATTCGCTTGTTACAATTGTATACTTGAAATTGATGGGGAAATGTGATTTGAATTAGCAGTTAATCATTAATCTGTGTACAACTTAAGGAAAAGTGGAAAATAATTTAAAAGTGGAATATTTGATTCACCTTTTTTTTCATCAACCAAATGAAATTTCTTTGGGTTTACAAATAACTAGGAAAATCCCCGCAAAATTCAAGTCGACAATATGATTTATTGAAAATTTTTGAGGGTCAAAAGACGAAATGAGATTGATGAAATTGAATTATGAATTGGTTAATATTTAATCAAAATCCGTTCAACAGTTGACATCTCATTGATGTAAGGAAACCAATTGATTAAAAAACTGTTATATTCAATAATTGTCATTGCAACCATCATTGACTAGTTTACTGGTCAATACTGGCAACATGACAAACTACTTTAAGCCATAAAATTAAATTGCGATTTAATCAAACAAACAACTTTCCATCAATTTGGCCTTGTGAGTGAATTACCCAAAAAATGTAAAGACGTCTTCAACCTGGAACCCAAAATATTTGTCCTTAGGCCTTGACAGGGAAAACATGAGATTTACATTGCAGTTTGACCGTTAAATAGTCATGGGGAAATGTTGAAAAATGAGACAATTTAACAGGTTCCAGAATTAGATGAAATTGAAAATGATGGAAATATCCTCATCCTCTTGTTTACCAATAATGTTCAAATAGACTTTTCCATCCCAATATGAATGGCTGAAAGAATAAAAAATAAGAGATTCATGTTAATAATGAGAATGTTGATGATGATAATGTTACAAGTCACCTTGAATCAGGTGATTATCATGCTTTGGAAACTTTTCCTTCTTTTTTGTTGTTCTCTTTTCTCATCTCCATTGCAACTCTCCTCCCCAGAATCATCCTTTTCATCCTCACGCCCCACTCACCCGATCAACCCATCGAACCACAATTATTAACCAGTTGAGCTGGAAAAATAACCAGTCTTTATTTTCTGTCTTTTTCTCTTTCTTCTTTTTACCAGGATAATTTTTTTGGTCCTCTTTGATCTTTCCTTGCTCTTTAAATGCAAATCAATTAGATTCAAGTTGCCAGTTGATTTCATTTTTTTTCATCCAAAATTAACCCAAACTGCTTTATTTTTGATAATTGTATGTTGCTATTGCCGGTGAGCGATTCTGTTCAGCTTTTATTCGATATTTCAACTGCAATTGTCTCCATCATCGTAATTATCACCATCATCATCTTGGTCATTTCCATTTTTGACTTTTCAAATGACTTTGACAATCCAAGCTTAAACTTCTCTGAGTATCCGACATTCAGTGAGTGCTTCGTCCTTGTCGTATAAACTTTAATGGCCTTTTAGTTCGAGAGTTTTCCTTGGAGTATTCAAATTGAGATATCATGCATTTTACATATGCCAATTGAACATTGATTTGCATTGACTTGCATGCATTGACAGCGTTTGATGCTCTAACGAATGTAACTGTATTCCTTATAAAGATTACCTAAGAAGAGTAGAAAGAAAATGATAGCCAAGAGACATAGATTAAGTTAATCATTAATGCTAATACTTGATGAGAAATGGTAAGCACTTGAAAAAAAGATAGATTTTATGTAATTAAAGGGATTAACTGATTAACTAGAACAAAAAAGCATGCTTCTGAGAGGCCAAAGAGAGTGAATATATCACTTATACTAACAGGGTTAGCAGGGTATCAACAAGTCTTTTTACATTGCCTAAATGATAAAAAACTTTTCCTGCAAAAATTGAGGGAAAACTATACAAATTCAAAATGATTAATCGAGATAAAAACACCATCGGCTCATTTTACTTGATTTCAGCTCCTTTCAAACTAACATGAACAAATTTCATTCATCTGAATCTGAGACCAAACTATCGATAATTATTTTGTCATTACATAATTGATTAAGCAATGCTATACTTTATCAAATATTATCCAACATTGAGTGTTTTTTTTTCAACCACGTTGTGTAAATACATGTTCACATGGATTTTCAGTGTCAACATGGTGAACGTCATCAGAAGGGTTGAGAGTCTCTTCCACAGGGATTAAAAAGTGAAGATGATGGTGAAAAATGATTGGAACGAAGACGATGAGGAGAAGGCAAATTGATAGGAAACGAGTAGAAACAATCTCAATGTGCAGCAATATGAAAACAAGATGCACATATCAGACACAACATAACCACATTGTTTCCCCAATAAAGATAATGAATATCAAGTTGATTAACATGATGGAAATGATGTTGTTTCTTGTTATTAGAGTTGACGATGAAGATAATGATGACGATGGTGCAAAGGGGTGCAGAAGAGACACATACATTCACCAAAAAAAAGGAACATAATGTATTAAGAAAAAAGGAAAGACAGTTAATGTAGACAGCGAAAAAGAAAGAGTCCAAGGAGGTTCTCAGTTACTTGATTTCCCCTGGTTCAAAGTGAGGGGAAGATAATATTTGATTGGCTGTTGAGTTGAGATCACCTGAGCCGTCATCTTTTGTTGATTCACGCTACTTTCAACGTATGTTTTTAATGGTGTTAAAACCTCTCCTTTTTCCTCTTCTTCTTTAAGTCAGTCAAGATCATTCCAACGTTTCAGTCCAATCGATGTAGATGAAACTCTGATTAATCTGTTTTTTTCACTTTATAAAATTGATCACAATTAACTTGCAACCACCAATATCTATTGACAATCACCAACAACGATAACCACCATAACCACCAGTTACTCATCACCCTGTGACATATTCTTGAGTCTAATTTTTTTTCTTTCTCTATCTCTTAATTTTCTCAACGCTTTTTTGCCCTTCATTAACCATTGTCAATAGTGTTACTCTTTGATTGTGGCTGTTAATTAATTCATAGCAACTGTGCAATTTATCGTATTCTTGGTCAAACCAAAGTCTCACTTTTCACTTTGTGATCTATTTTTGTTAAAATTTTAACATATCTATTTTGTTTGCGCTCTAATCATCAAATCTATTTTTTTTCTTGTTGCTGTTGAGTTCAACTTTTAAAACGTTATACAATTTACCCGTTTTTGTTGACCATTAACTCACTAGGCAGATAATCAGAGGATTCAAAAATAATCAAGGGTAAGTTCAACTTATGACTCGTCTTTGACTCAATTGTTATCAGATTACAACTTGTATTTTGTTGCAACATGAAGCTAGTTTCCCGGTGAAAGTTATTTTTGCAAAAAAAATAACTTTCAACTTAATGTGTTAGCTTGTATACTTTGACAGTTAATTAGTTGCCTTGCTAATCAATGAGGGAAAGATAAAGATAGACAGATTAAATAAAGAGAAAGGGAAAGTAAAAAAAGCGCGCAACTAACTGTTGAATGCTTCAAGCTAATCCATTCCAACTTTTTCACGTTCTTCACTTGATCTGTTAGTTTGTGTCATGTTTTGTTAACATGAGAAATGGAAGCAGGAAAAAGAATGGTAAAAATGTCTATTAATTAAACAGCCGAGTAAAATAATAATGAATAATCATGTTTATGATAGCCATAATGATGATTGTAGTAGCACTGATGAAGGTAACAAAAGGTAGATGTAATTATTTCTCATTCTCTTCGAATCTTTTCAACTTTTCCAAATTCTGTTGCATTTCCTTCTGACCACGAACTTTAGGTTGACCTGAAAGGTATATGCTAATGAATGGATAGAAAGTTAGTCAACTCTCTTTCACCTCTCATTCATCTTCTCATTTCTTCTTTTTATTTCTTCTTTTCTTCCTTCCATCTACTCTTCGTTGACCTGTTCCTTTAAACACACTACCAACTACGAAGGTCGGTTTTTACGGATTAACATCCCTTTAAAGCTTATATAATAATTTGGTATATTAAATGTTCATCACTTTTTCTCTTCCTCTCTCAAATCTGTTCATAACTTGATAATTACTTTTTGCATGATTGTTACCCATATCTTCACCTCCAATTGCTAACCTACCTTTAACTTCTTTAGCTTCACCAGTTTCTCCTTATTTATTGCTTAAACTTAACCTAAAGCGTAAAATGAAGTTGAATTAAGCATTTAAAAACTTTCCTTCATCATCAACATCATCATCATCATCAACATTTCCAAAACATTCTCAACTTGTTTACTACCGCTTCATCGTTTCACCCGATTGACTGTAAAAATATACCTTTAAAAAAGGTAACTCTTTACCCCCTTCTTCGTGTGTCAAGCATGTTTTTCATCATTGAACCGAGTCAACTCAACGAATGATCCATATCGCGATCAACTTAGACCTAATTTTGTCACCTTTTGATGTTTCTCATTTTTTTCTGAAGACAAAAAGAAACTCCGTAAAAAGTCATTTCTCTCATCTTCTGCGCGTTATTTGAAGCCAAAATAGTTGCTAAACAATGAAATGCTAAGGAATAAAAAATGGTTAAATTGAAACAAAAGATATTTTGAAATGAATTCTGAAGAGATGAAACTTTCGCCTTTCATTGGTTCAAACTTACAAGTCAACGACTTTAATTTCCGATAAACTTTTCTCCTTGAAACTATCAATTAATGCTTGAAGCATTGAAACAGAAAGTTGACTGAAAATGACCTCAAGGTAGAGTATATTTACATAACTTTATACTTTAACCGGTCATTTTAGCAACAAATTGATCATCTAATGTTATGATTCCAATAATTTTGCTGTTGATAACCATTTTCAGATTGTCTTTCAATTGATCTTTATTTTGTTACATTGAATTACATTCAATCAATAGTTCAAGATTGACACTTGATTCTCAACAATTTCAGATTAACTTTATCACAGGAAAATATAACAATGTTTAATTGTCACAATTTAAGGAAATTAAGTTTGAAATTTGTCACTTTTCTCGCCATTTCCTAATCATTGATTCAATTATTGCTACTAACTGTTCATTTAAAGTGTAAATCAAGATTTGCAGCAATTAATTTACAGTCAATAACAATGAAAGAATTAATGGATCAATAATCTAATTCCAATTGTTCTAATTTTTTCCCTCTTTTTTATTGGATTTAATTGAGAAAAAGGTTGAATAGGAAATGAAACAATTAACCAATTAACCTGCAAGGGTTTGAAAACAAAATCATCATTAAGATCTTTATTGTGATTAATAATAATAGCAATAAAAGTTGATCACCAATAATAACCTCATTTTTTCAACCAGAATTTGAATCAATCTCAATCTAAACTGATTATCGTTTAAACAATTGATAGCAATTTAAAAGTCTAGAGTAAATTGTTACCTTGTAAATTGTAATCTCAACTGTTGATTAAGATTGCCTTGGAAAGTGAAGAATTAGTTTCCTTCAAAGAAAAAGCTATTAACATAGATTATCAGATTTGATTTGACAATTTACTTACAATTAACTGAAAACAACCACAAAATGAGTTTGTCTTTCATCTTGATCTGGATGAGCTTGGTTAGTCTGACGACAAATTTTAATCTAATCTTAAAATTCAACCATTTTTTTCAGGTTAATTTAATTTCACCTTTCTCATGGTATTAATCAGTAAATTAGGTAAATGATAACAATTTTTAATACGCTATTGAGAGGAAAAACAGTCTTCCAATTGACTATCAACAGGTTTACTTCATGCTAATTTTAGCTTATTAACAATTATTGTTACGTCTTTCCTTGTAATTTAATATTGGAAATGCTCATCAACTTAATTATCAAGTAAATTGTTGCGTTCCCCTGACCATGAAAATGCAAAGACACCAGATGAATGTAAATACTTTACACAATACAATTGAAATTTTATCCCAACTTTTCCCGGACAACTAGTTATTTCAGTGGGTTGATCGTGATGATCGTCACAATCAGCGTCACTATCGTCCGATATAACGGCAATGTAAATGTTAAATGGTTTGAGAGAAACTTTTTTTTAGCCCAACAATTTAAAATGACCAAATTGATTGATCTTTTTCTTGTTGAAAATTTATCCAAATCAACATCGAGTCTCTGTTAAATTATGATAATTAACCTTGATAAGTGAAACGAATCAATATACAGTATTGTCAATTGAAATGAATTAGCTCGATGAGAGTGACGTTTTAATTGGCAGTAAATAAAATTAATCATTGTTACGTTTTTGAACCTCACCAAACTTTCCTTGTATTGAATCTCAATGAACAATGTCCGATGTTGGTAAATGATGCCAACTGATTGTTAACAATTTAACCAACTATTACAGTTTACACTTTACTCTCAATTTAAATTGTAAGAACAATTTATGTAATCTTCTTCTCTTCCATTATTCCAGTTCAAATGTTTCAAACATGTTTGAAGGCAATAATTTCAATGCACAAAAGGATAAGTTAAGCTTGCTTACTAACCTTGAATTATCAGAATCATCAGAATGATTCTGATAGTTAATCAAAAGTTTCACAATAAATTGAAGTTTAACAAAGATGAGAGGGAAAGAAATGATTTTTGAAATTAAATAGTTTTAATAATAACTTTATACTTGATACTCTATTTAATCATATAAATGATGATCAGTTCACATTGAATCCACGTGAATTTGCTATGTTCAGGTAATTCTGGTTGTTGATCCATCAAAGCCTTAACACGGCCTTCTAGCTTATCGTTGTTTCAATTACTTTAGTTTTCAGTTGAGTTTCCATGTTGCCCTTCTCACCAATCAATTCAAGGTTTTGTTTAAGATTTGCTGTGAAAATCTTGCAGTGGCACTCGACATTACCATCAAATTAGATGCACAACGTAAACCAATTTAATAACCGTTGTCAACTAGTATTGAACTGTTGTTTAACCCTCTCTCCCATCAGGAATCATCAGCCTGAGTCCGAAACAGTCTACTGATGAAAGTTTAACGGACTGTTTGATAAAACATTTTCACCTTTTTTTCCCTTCTTTTTGAAAAAACTTCATTTTGTGTGTGTGTGTCTTTTCAACTGATCAACTCTTATACTGGGCATAGTAGCGTGGATAATATAATGTACATTAAGACAAACGTTTTGATCTATTGAGTAAACGGAGTAAAAGATGAGAATAGGTTGACACACGTTTTGTCATCTTGGGGATTGACAATCAATAGTTGATTTACTTGTTTTAATACAATCGCTGGTTGATTTAATTCGCCTTCGTGTTTATCATTTTTAAAGAAATGCGCTTTTCAAAGATGATACCTGAAGGAAAGACAATTGAGAATGATTACGGTGATGATGATTAAGAAAAAAATATCTATCAGTTATAGATGGATGAGTTGAATAGCTGGAAAATCATATTTATATTTGAAACTTGATTCATATTGCATCTTCATTTAGTGTATATAAGAAGATGCATATTTTGCTATTTTTATCCTTTCAAATGTTGCTCAGTTTCATTTGTTTCGCCGTTTAATTTTATTGGCTCTTGTCTAACCGTTACTTTTACATGAAACTGTCAATTATCGGTGTAATTTTTCATTATCTATGAGGAAACTATTTTTCATTTCGAGTCACAGTTAACTGAACAAGGTAAAAATTGAATTAAATTCAACTTTTCGTTGAGCAAAGGCGGAAAAATTAAGCTTGTTCAATGTTTTTGATTTAGTGTTGGTTAGTCAGACTATTGATAAGCTACACATCAAAATGAATGTCTATCTTCAATTCAAAATGAATACAATTTTTTGATTCTTGTGTCAATAACTTGAATTTTTTACCTTTTGTGCGTTTACCTTTCACCCTTTCATTGTGACCACTTAAAAATTATAACTCTTGGTAATGTGAAATGTTTAAAAACATTGTCTAAAAAGTGGAGACAAAGAAAAGATCTAATCTAACATCTAACATAATCTAAACTGATAGAGACATTATCATGTTCGTTTTTTTCTTCAAGTAATGCTTATAAATAAGATTGTTTCTGTGTCTGATATCTTTGTTTCCACCTTTTTTACAAATTAAACCAAACCCCTTCCAGGTTGATATAAAAGTGTAATTTTTTTCCTTCCTGCATCAATCGATAGCCAATAGCTTTTCATTTCCTTTCATCTTTTTTCATCATTTCATCATCTTACTTGGTTATCCTTTTATGGTTACGACAAACTCAATGGATATTTCCATCTCTTCTTTCATAATCCTTTTTCCAAGTCTCTTCTTGCTTGTTGTCAAGCAGGTTTAATTTTTTAATCAACTAAACTAATTATCTTCTCTTTTTTCACCATTACAGACTGAAAAATGCCTTCTGTTGAAGAAACGAAAGCACCCGAATGGGAAATGACTGAAGATATCGTTATTAGTGGTATTTCAGGTCGTTTCGCTGAATCGGATAACATCGACGAGCTTGCCAAAAATCTGTTTGACAATGTTGACATGATAACAGAAGATGATCGACGATGGCCTTTAGGTATGTAACTTAATGTCTCAAAATAGATGGTTAAAGATTGCAATTTATCCAACTTTTAACCTGTTTTTTTTCTCTATTTTTAGGTTTATATGGATTACCAACTCGAAGTGGTAAAATAAAGGATCTTTCCAAATTTGATGCTCAATTTTTTGGTGTCCATGGTAAACAGGCCAACCTTATGGACCCTCAAGCTCGAATGTTGCTTGAGTTAACTTACGAGGCTCTTTGTGATGCTGGTGTTAATCCACATTCCCTTCGAGGTACTCGAACTGGTGTCTATGTTGGAGCTTCTGTCTCTGAAGTTGAAGAAGGTTTAGCTCAGGATGTCTCCAAGGTATCTGGTTACGCATTAACAGGTTGTTCTCGATCTATGTTTGCCAATCGTATCTCGTACACATTCGACTTCCAAGGACCTTCATATGCCATAGATACAGCTTGTTCATCTTCCTTCTTGGCTTTCCAACAAGCTTTGTTAGGTTTACGATCAGGTCAATGTGATCAAGCAATAGTCGGCGGTGTCTCAATCTGCCTTCGACCTGTAACAGCTCTTCAATTTCACAAATTGAACATGCTTTCCAATGAAGGTAAATGTAAACATATGGATGCATCAGCCGATGGTTATGTACGATCAGAGGCTTGCTCTGTTGTCTTCCTTCAACGTAAATCTGCTGCAAAGCGTATTTATGCCACCGTTATTCATTCCAAGACCAACACTGATGGGTACAAAAAAGAGGGTATTACTCATCCCTCTCGTGATGCTCAACGAGATTTGATGAAAGAGGTTCTTGAAGAATCAGGAATCAGCCCAACAGACGTTAACTTTGTTGAAGCTCACGGAACTGGAACCAAACTTGGTGATCCAATCGAAATTGATGCCATTGCAGAAGTTTATTGTCAAGGACGAACAGAACCACTTCTTATCGGTGGTGTCAAGTCAAACTTGGGTCACACTGAACCAGCATCTGGTCTTTGCTCACTAGCTAAAGTGTTGATTGCTTTTGAAAACAAAAACATTCCCGCAAATCTTCACTTTAATACTCCCAATCCTGACATTAAGCCCCTTGTAAGAGGTCAAATCAAACCAATAGTTGAAAACACTCCTTATAACGGTGGAATTGCTGCTATCAATTCATTCGGATTTGGTGGTGTCAATGTCCATGCCTTGATTAAATCAAATGACAAAGAACTCACTGATGACTCATTTGAAATTTTCGGATCTATTCCCAGAGTAGTAACCATGTGTGGACGAACAGAAGAAGGTGTTAACTCATTCTTTGACTTTATTGAGAAAAATCCAACCCGAGTAACCAAAGAATTCTTAGCTTTGGTTTCTGAAGTTTCCAAAGTTCCTGCAACAACTGGTATGAAACATCGAGGTTACATGTTAATGAAAAAAGATAACCAAGAACCTTATCAACGAGAAATTGTTCGTGTTCCTGAAGCTGGACCAATTTGGTTCGTCTTCTCTGGTATGGGATCTCAATGGCCTGCTATGGCTAAAGCTATGATGCCAATTGAAATCTTCGCAAACGCAATTCACGAATGTGCAGAAATTGTTAAACCATTCGGTGTTGATCTTCTTCATTTACTCTTGGAAGATGATGAGAAAGCTTTAGACAACATTATTGCTCCCTTCGTTTCCATTGCTGCCGTTCAAATTGGTTTGGTTGATGTTATGAGAGCAATTGGAATTGAACCTGATGGTATCGTTGGTCACTCTGTCGGTGAATTGGGTTGTGCTTATGCTGATGGATGTTTTGATAGACGACAAATGATGCTTTCAGCCTATTGGAGAGGTAAATGTGTTGACAATTATGCCCACCACGAAAAGGGTTTAATGGCTGCTGTTGGTCTCGGATGGGAAGAATGTGCAAAACGTTGTCCAAAAGAAGTTGTTTGTGCCTGTCACAATTCAGAGGATTCAACCACCATCTCTGGTCCTTACAGCGTTGTCAAGAAGTTTGTTGGTGAACTTAAGGCTGAAAACATTTTCGCTCGTGAAGTTAAATCTTGTGACATCGCTTTCCACTCTCCATACATTGGCCCAATCGGTCCCGATCTTAGTGAAAAACTCAAGGATGTCTTGAAACCTAAACCCCGATCACCCAAATGGGTTTCATCATCAGTTCCAGAAGAACGATGGAATGAAGACAGTGCAAAATATTCTGCTCCAGCTTATTATGTAAACAATCTTGTTTCCCCTGTACTCTTCCAAGAAGCTCTTAAGTTTGTACCCAAAAATGGTGTTTTCATTGAATTCGCTCCTCACACTCTTTTACAAGCTATCTTAAAGCGAAGTTTAGGACCAGAAATGGTTTACGTTGGTTTAATGAAACGTAACGGAAATGCTGAAAATCTCGACTTCTTCTTATCCAGCCTTGCTAAACTTTATACTCTTGGATTCAACCCTAAACTCGAGAATCTTTACCCTAAAGTTAGCTTCCCAGTTCCTCGAGGTACTCAATCTCTTGGTCCACTCATCAAATGGGATCACACTCAATCTTGGTTGGTTACTCAATACCCTGAATATTTCAATCCTTCATCATCATCAGATTATGTTGTCAAGGTTGATCTCAATGAAATTGACGATCAATACTTATCAGGTCATTGTATCGATGGTCGTATTCTTTTCCCAGCAACTGGTTACCTCATGTTGGCCTGGAAAATGTTAGCCAAAATTAAGGGTCGTTTCCACGATAAGATTCCCGTTGAATTTGAAAATGTTGTTTTACAACGAGCAACAATTTTACCCAAAAATGGACAAGTTAAATTTGTCATCCGTATGATGGAAACTTCTGGTGAATTTTCAATCTCTGAAGGAGGTGCTATTGTTGCTACTGGTAAAGCTTCTGTACCTGAAGAGCCAGTTCTTAAAATGTCACACATTTTAGACGAAACTTTAGCTGAACCAAGCAAACCTGAAGTAATCACTCTTTCTGGCAAAGACATTTACAAAGAATTCAGAGTTCGTGGTTATGATTATGGAACAACCTTCCAAGGTTTGAAAGAAGCAACCGACGACGGCCGAAAGGGTACCGTTTCTTGGACTGGTAATTGGATATCTTTTGCCGATAACCTTCTTCAACTCGGTATCATTGGACGATCAACTAGAGCTCTTTTCCTTCCTGTTAGATTCCAATCAGTTCGATGTGACCCAATGCTTCTTATGTCTAAGGTCGCTGAAAACGCTGAATTCCCAGTTGCCCATGATCCTCGAATCAATGTCATTGTTACTCATGGATTGGAATTCCGAGGTCTTAAAACCAACATTGCTCCTCGACGACAAGCTGTTCAAAGTCCAATCATTGAACGATATGCTTTCATTCCTAATGACGAGTCTTCTGTTCTATCTAAATCTGATAAATCGGAAATTGACGAATATCTTCAAGTTTGCTCAACTCTTGCATCTAAAGTTCTTGCATCTGTTGGTAAAAATAACCGTGAAATAATGAACGGTTTCAAGGATGCTTCAAATGATTTAATTGAACATTATTTGAATGGTCCTCCCACTGACTTTGCTTTATTGCATGCTCTCAATGGAGCTGCTTCAGACTCAACTTCATCATCTCTTGATGATAAAATTAACAGAACAATGAACAAATACCAGAAAGATATTCAAAAGGACTTGCTCGCAAATGTCTACACTCGAGAACGATTCCTTCGATCAGCCCTTGCATTGATTGCTGAAAACTCTCATTCTAACATTAAAACAACTGAAATCAATGGATCAACCTCTTTATTGTACAATTCAGTCAAGGAATATCTTGAATTGTCTGGAGCCAAACTTGAATATTCAATTGCTCATCCAAACCCAACTGAACTTGGTAACACATCTACCTTAGAAAATGAAACTTTCCTTTGCACTTATGACTTGGGAAGTTCCCCTGTTCCTACTGAAATTCAGAATACAGAATTAGTCATCTTTAAAGATTCTTCAGCCTTTAACCCAACTCAAAAAACATCTCCATCCAGTGCTCTCAAGAGCTTAACCTCAATCACAAAAGACGAAGGATTTATTTTAATTGTTCTTCGTAATAACCTGACTGCCCCAGAATCCGTTTTGTTTGGAAATTCTGCTAAAGATTTCAGTAATCAAGCTTCTGAATATATTTCATCAGCCAAATCTTTAGGACTTTCCTTAATTAGTCAAAAATCTGACGGATTAACCTCATCAATTCTTGTATTCCGTAAGGTTACTCCAAAATCACCCTCAGACCAAGCAATTGTTCCCATTGATACCTTCAACTATGGTTGGGTTGAAGAACTCAAACGAAAAATCAAAGAGTACGAAACTAAACCAGCTGGTCAAAATGTTTGGATTGTTGCTCAAGACTCACCTCTTAATGGTGTCATTGGTCTAGTTAATTGTTTACGACTTGAACCCGGTGGATCACATATCAGATGTATATATCAAAGTGGGTCAAATGTTCCTAAAGTTGACTTCACCAAAGAACCATTTGCTTCAGTATTGCAAAAGAATCTTGTTATGAACGTCTTCCAAGAATCCGTTCTTGGCTCTTACCGACACATTTGCTTGAAAAACATCGAGGAAGATGGAGTTCGAGAGACAACTGATGCTTACCTCAATGTCATGACTCGAGGAGATCTATCAAGTCTTCGTTGGTTCGAAGCTAACCACAAATATTCAGTTCTCTCAGCTAAAGACCAACTTTGTCATGTTTATTATGCACCACTCAATTTCCGTGACATCATGTTGGCCACAGGTAAACTTTCACCCGATGCTCTTCCCGGTGATCTTGCTCTTCAAGATTGTATCTTAGGTCTTGAATTTGCTGGAAGAGACTCTCGTGGTCGTCGAATCATGGGTATGACTCCAGCCAGAGGTATGGCAACCACTGTTGTTGTCAATGATCCCGAATTCATTTGGGAAATTCCATCAAGCTGGTCAATGGAGGAAGCAGCTACAGTTCCAGTTGTTTACTCAACTGCCTATTACTCTCTCATTGTTCGAGGTAATTTACAACCTGGTGAATCAGTTCTCATCCATTCTGGTTCTGGTGGTGTTGGTCAAGCTGCAATCTCAATCTGTTTATCAATGGGTTGTCAAGTTTTCACAACAGTCGGTTCTAAGGAGAAACGAGAATTTTTGAAGAAACAATTCCCACAATTGAAGGACCGAAACATTGCCAACTCAAGAAACACCAGCTTTGAACAGCATGTTTTGAGAGAGACCAAAGGACGAGGTGTTGACGTTGTTCTCAATTCATTATCCGAAGAGAAACTTCACGCATCTATTCGTTGTTTAGCTCAACACGGTCGATTCTTGGAAATCGGTAAATACGACTTATCACAAAACAATCCCATTGGTATGGCAGCTTTCCTTAAAAACATTGGATTCCATGGTATTCTTTTGGATTCCCTTTTCACTAACGGCAAGACTCCAGCCACTTCATTAATTGCTCAAAAACAAATGGTTTCCCAACTGGTTAAGGAAGGAATCAAAACTGGCGCTGTTAAGCCACTTATTCGAACTGTTTTCGGAGTAAACGAAGCTGAATCAGCTTTCCGTTTTATGGCATCAGGTAAACACATTGGTAAAGTTATCCTTAAAATTTGTGATGAAGAGCCAACACAAGTCACTCCACCCGTCGCTGTTCAAATTCCTGCAATCGCTCGAACCATTTTCTATCCTACAAAGAGTTACATTCTTGTTGGTGGTCTCGGTGGTTTCGGTTTAGAGTTAGCTCATTGGATGGTTGACCGTGGAGCTAGAAATATTGTCCTCACTTCCCGAAGTGGTCCACGAGAAGGTTATCAGTATTTATCAATCAAACGACTTCGATCAATGGGAGCCAATGTTGTTGTCTCACAAATTAACGCTTCAACTGAAAAGGGTGCTCGTGAATTGATCGACTTGGCCAAAACTTTAGGTCCAGTTGGAGGTATCTTCAATCTTGCCATGGTTCTTAATGATTCCATGTTTGAAAACCAATCATCTGAAGCATTCGCTGCAGTTGGTGAACCCAAAATTAAAGGAACCGTTAATTTGGACACTGTTTCAAGGCAATCTTGCCCAAGTATTGACTATTTCGTAGTCTTTTCATCTATTTCCTGTGGTCGGGGTAACCTGGGTCAAACTAATTATGGTTTTGCTAATAGTGTTATGGAACGCGTTTGTGAACAAAGAGCTAAAGATGGATTACCTGGTAAAGCTGTTCAATGGGGAGCAATCGGTGATGTTGGAGTTATTCTTGAAACAATGGGAACTAATGAAACTGTTATTGGTTCATCAATTCCTCAAAGGATTCCATCTTGTCTATCTTGTCTCGATCGTTTCCTCCAATCACCTTACACTGTTTGCTCAAGTTTCATCAAAGACACATCTTCATCATCTAGCGGTCCAGCCTCTTCTAAAAGTGACCTTATCAGCGCCGTGGCTCACGTCATGGGTGTTAAAAATCCTGCCTCACTTCATCCTTCCCTCACTCTTAGTGAGTTAGGTTTGGACTCATTGATGGGAGTTGAGGTTAAACAAACATTGGAACGAGACTATGATCTTATTCTTTCCATGGTCGAAGTTCGAGCTTTAACCATTCGTCAACTTAAAGAAATCAGTGCAGGTAATAGTAATGTCTTACGTGATGAGGCTTCCGCATCATCAACTGACGTTGACCTCTCTATGCCTGTTATCTCAATTCCTAGTCGGGTTGATGTAAGACTCAATGATGCCAATGAAGGTAAACCCATATTCTTCCTGCCACCAATTGAGGGTACCTTTAATTTATTAGCACCATTGGCTAAGCTTATCCCACGACCAGTTATTGGTCTTAATTGGACCCAAGAGGCATCCAAATTTAATTCATTAGAGGATGCAGCATCTTTTTACATCGCCGAGTGCCGTAAACATCAAACGGAAGAATCTTTCGATTTAGTAGGTTATTCATTTGGTTCAGTTGTAGCCTTTGAAATGGCTAAACAAGCCAAAGTAGATAATCTCATACTTCTCGACGGGTCACCTGTTTTATTCAAACATTTTGCCAAACAATGGCAAATTAAAGCTGGTGTCAATGACAAGATTGAAACAGAAGTCGAAGCCTTAGTTGTTTTCCTATCTCAATTGGTCCCAGTAGATTACGTAAAAACTAAAGCTGAACTTTTTGAAATCAAGAATAAGGACGAAAGAGTTGCTCGAGCTGCTCAATTGTATGTTGACAATGGTGGTCCACCATGTGAAGCTAAGGACTTTGCTTTTGCATCTGAATGTTTTGTTCAAAAATCAAGATTGGTAATCAAATATAACGAAGAAACACAAGCTAAATCATCAAATTCAGTTCTTTTAATCAGAGCGGATGAAGAATTAGTTAAAATTGAAGGATGTCCGAAAGACTACTTCTTATCTAAGGTAAGTTGATTCTTAAATCAAGAGCCAATTTTATTCTCAACGTAATCAAAATATTTCATTATCTAATTTTTCCATTTCTTTATTACAGTCCGTTGCTGGTGAAGTAACTTGCAAAATTTTCAAAGGAAACCACAAAACATTCTTAAGTAACAACCTCAGAGACATTGCCATGGCCATGAATGATAGGTTTTAAACAATGAATAATGGATATAATTATATCATCTTTATTTCGCTCTCAATATTTCTTTCTCTTTATTTTCTTGTGATCGGCGTTGGACAAATGTTGTCATGTTGCCAAAAAACTAAACAAAAACTCAATTATTATTAAGGTATACAAGTGGCTCCCTCAATTGAAAGCGCCTTTTTTGAATTTCATAATTTTATTCAATATTATAATTTCACGGTTAAGATTCTTGATAATACAATCAAATCAAAAATAAAATAAAATTCAGTTTTCCTTTTTCTATGTTTGATTTGGACTGATTTTCATTTTTATTAAGATGAACATGAAATAATTTAAATGATATCAATGGCATCGGTGAGACTATAACAAGTCTGACCATTGAATATTATTGAAATGTTGATTAAACAACAAAAATCTAGTTTTGTTATGAAGCTCGCAAAAATGTAAGTTTGAGAGCAAATAGAAATGATAAAGACACAAATAGTTATGAAAACTGTCTTTATCGATGTACCAAATGCGTTTCATGGCATCAATTTACTTGGCTTTTGAATGATCATTCACCTTTTGTATTAGACTTTTGGCATCAGACTCTGGCAATTAAGAACGCGCACATCTGTCAACAATTGGATCTGAAGATGAAATACGAACCAAGTTAAGATTTAGTAAACATTTTGAATCGAGAAAACTCGACCAAATTAACAATTAAACAATGAGCAAAAAGGGATCAATCATATTTACCATCACAACGACTTAGTTTGATCGCAATCTTGCCGTAAAAATTAAACGCTTTGACTTTATTTATTGTATATTATAATAGATAAAAATATTGGACAAAACAACCTGATATCCCTTCATATTGCGGTCGTTGTTTGGATCAAGACGAAAACTTGTTTAGAATCCTTTTTTCTCCTTAATGATATTTTAAATTAAATATTGTATTTGCATTGTTTATGGTCACACTCTATCACTTTATTATTTGATTAATAAATTTGCCTATTCATCCGAAAGCATTCACAGTTAACTATGAGAAGCAATTCAACACCAAAAACCAAGACCACATCTTAAGCTCGCAACACATAAAAAACGAGCGGCCATAAAAGTGTGTTAACACAAGACAAATATTGAACATGAAATATGGCATTTTTGTTTACAAAATTGAATAAACATTATTTAAACGATATTACAAATTGAACAGTTTGATATCCTATTGTTGTTATTGTTTGGATTGTTTGTGAGTCGAGAAACGACCGACATTTCATCGCCAGAAGCTTGTTCGACCGTTCTTTCCATGGCATAATAATCTGCTATCTGGAATGAAATGAAAAATGAATTTAGCCTGGTTAACTGTTTAACTAATTTAAGTTAAAATTACCTCTTCTGCTTCACCCGACGTTGTGGGTCTTTCTTGTGGCAAAGGTGGGCTATCTGACCTCAAATCGGGTGTAATTGTAGTTAAACTGAGCCTTGGGTCGCCTGATCTTGGGTAGAATAGATGTTGTAAAGTTTGATTACGAGAAGGAATCGCTGCATCAGGATTACCAGCAATGCATCGAGAAATGGTGTTAAGGATATCACGAAATCGAGTTTCAGAATCACCACTTTTACCAATCCCTCCATGACCACCAACACCTAGAAAAAACAAAAATAAATGTTTTACTTTCAAATCAAAATAAACTTTTGATAAAACTCCTTAAATTGTCACAATAAACACCTGTACTAAGTGACTTATTTTTATTCAATAAAAGTGTACAAATGCAATTCGTTTGATTGAAATTATTGCTTTAGTGCTTTTTTATTGATTTACTGATGCAAAGATCTCAATGCAGTATCAAAACGGAAAAGAGTAGCTCTTTACATACCGCACAAATCGACGAAAACAAGAGAGCTCATAACTACAGCCATTGGTCCTGGAGGTGGCCAAGGAGTTGGTTCAAGCATTACTGGTAAAATGGGCTTCCTCAGGACATCGGCAAGAGTCACTTCACGCGCACAAATCCTTGAAGAAGCATAGCGAGGAGTTAAACAAGCAATGATGACTCGAGCTTTGCTGATTCCCTCGTAAATTTTACCATAAAGGGAATCACCTCCACCCATTAAGCCAATATCCATCCAACAAGGGAAACCGGCCATTTCTAAGCGACGTCTAAGATCAAGCACCAGCTTTTGAGAGTCCCATTGATAGCTGAGGAATACTGGAGGAGCCGAACCAATTGGCTGTAAATCTACTTCAATTATTTGTCGTACATCTTCACGGGAAATCATTTGAAGGCAAGACATAAGAACATCAATACAGTAACGAGTTCGTCCATTGCTTTCGAACCAGTCATGAATTAAAGCAAGAGAAGGTGAAACATCGTCAACCAATCTAGCTACATCTTTATCAGTATAACCTAAGCGACGAGCTAAAGCTAGCCAGTCACGTCCTGGACTACTATTTATCAACATTTTAGCCGCATCACGCATCCAAAGAGGCTCAAGACGGAAAATGTCTTCATAAGTATTTATATAAGGATGTTCATACAACGATAAGGCAGAATCATCGGTGATTCCAGAATATTGGCCAGAAGCTAACAGACATACAAAATAGGCAAAGTTAAATTTCAGACGATAATACTGGGTTTTATAAATATTAACTACCTGATGCATAATATGGCAAAACAGGAAAATATTTTTGGACAAAATTTGTGCGGATTTGTCGATAATCACATTCAACAACCTATCAATGAGAAACAAGAAAAGATCAAAAAGTGAAATGAACTGAAAATCAATGTAAAAGTATTGGAAAAATTCATTTTAACTGTAGTTTCGGGTTTTGGGTACAATTGCAAAATGATAATTCACTTTGATACATTAATTTTGATAGAAATTTGTAAATTAAGATTTCTTTATATATCATTTTCGACTATTAACATTGAAAAAATCATAAATAAAATTTTGGTTTACTTAAAATATTGAAATCGAGTTTAATCAATGTTCAGAAAACTAAATATGAAACTTAATTGTGATTATAAGTCTTAAATCATTTGACAGTTAAAATTTCCAATTCTTTAGCATCGAGGTTTGTCCATAAAATAAAATAACTTGCTTTACCTTTTTACTGAGACATTTGTTCAAAGGGATAAAATGAAGGCATTGCTCTTCTGTGCAACTTTTTTTCATATGATCTTTACACGACAGGTCACATGGACAAGGCACTTCGAGTGAATAAACAATACGGCGATAGTAAAAGTTTTGAAGCGTTTCCAGTTCACTTTCAATTAGATGACGAGCCTAAAAGTGTAAAGTTAAAAAAAGAAGTTTATTTGGTCTTTTGGTTGATTAGCAAAAAATACATTCTATAACCTAAAAATGTCCAAACATTCAACCGGTCAACCCACAATCCAAACAAGAAAGGTTTCAAAAGTTATTAGTGCAAATAAGTGTAAAAAATTAGCTAATTTGTTCCAAGTATTGAAAAGAGATCATTGATCGATTAACTAATAATACTTACTTTAACGCAAACATTAGGAGCTGGTCCAGTAACAGTTGGATCACTTTCACCACCAATCGTGTCATAAATTTTGGTTATAATAATGAAAAATCTTTGCTGAGTCAAGTTGACCTTAAGTATTAAATCATGATCAAAGTCAATTGCTATCCGAGCCCAAGAATGCCAAATCTCTGGTCTTCGACCCCAACCCTGTCTCCAAGACCAGCGACACAAACGGACAACCAAACGAGAGAAAAGGCCAATGGGTAAAATGTTGTTAAAACTAATGGAAAATTTAAATTGGTTAATCAATTCTAATGCAATGGCGTTTGGATCAGTAAACAGTGAGTCAGATTCGCGAGTGGCTTGAGCTATCCAGGGAAACAGGTAAACCTTTGGTTGAAGACGGAGTGAGGTCAAGTCAGGAGGTTCATCCAGATCCAGTCCACAATTGAGTTCACAAATAATGTCTAACTTTTCAAGGCAACCAAGAAGAACCGTTTTATGTTCAAGATATTCCTTCCATGCTTCGGTAATTGTATCATCAGTCAAAATACCAGACAATCGTCCACAATCAACTGAATCATAGGACGAGGCAACTTGACACAATTGATAGAAACAATTGGCGAACCAAACGGGATCCAAAACAATAAGCATGTCATTTGAGGTCGAATAGCTTGACTTGAAAAGGTAGAGGCGTCCTGAAAGATGGTAAAATTGAAGGATCGCTTGAAGAACGTCCATTGACTTAACATCACTAATGTGTACTTTGGTTAACTCGTAAATTTGATTAATGTCAACAAAATGGATTCCCTTTCGAACCAGTCTCTCGATAATTTGTTCAAACTGGATCCACGAATAAGGTATATCATGGTCAATCAACTTTTGCTGCAACACAATCTCATCGACAGCCGATCTAATCTCATTAATTTGAGAATCGCTGATTGATGAACAGTCAATAGGAAAGTATTTTAAATGGACAATCGATCGGTAAACCTTTCCTGCTAATGATTCCTCAATACGGTTAAATACTTCAACTGGCGTCAATTTATTTTGTCCATCTTCTTCTTCACCTAAATTGGTTGACTGATCGCTCAAAGAGTCGCCATGAGTACCAATGATGATTACTTTAGGGTTTGATATGGCATCTTCATCATCCTCCAACTCTTCGGTCGATCGGAAATCATCAATAAACACATGATTGCTAACATGACTGTAAATCAATGAAAGCCAATGATGAATCAAATTTAAAGCAGTGTAATCGTCTTTGGCTCCTTCGGCCTGAGAATAAAATAAAAACAAAGAAAAAGGTTAATTATTAAGCCATTTAATGATTCCCATAACATGTATTTGAGACATTTAACACTTTAAATTGTGTGAAACTAGATTCTCATTGATTTTTGGCTTATTCCTACAATTTTGTTGAGTAAAGTAAGTTTAGTAACAAACAGTTTTCATTTCAATTTTGATCGTGATTTTCCTACTTCTACTCAACAATCAATAATGAACATAAAATAATCCCACCAGACTGGAAAAGCGATGCAACAGCTATTAAGTCTAGGAAAAGACAATCTTCTTGATGATCAACAATATAATATATCATTACAATTCGATGGATTACATGAGATCGGACTTTTAGATTCGTCCATATTTTGTTGAATATTTGGAAGAAACAACAATTTTCAGAAAATGACAATATTTGAACAAATAAATCAGTCAACAGACTATGATTATATTGCAAAAATGTAAGTGTAAACTCATTAATGTTTCAAATGTCAGCTTTAAATCGATAAATTGATTGTTATCCCATTCATCAATAAAAGTCATCAAACATGTTGAGTAGTTTGACGAAAATAAAACCCAAATCATTTGAAGGTTTCCCTTGAACATTTAATACCAACAACAACATCGAAATTAATCAGAGATAGACAACAATTACCTGGAAAAAGTTATCATCTGTGGCAACTGTTTGGTCCAAATCTTTACTCAGGTCAATTACCATCAGGTAAATACCCTGAGAACTGAGCAGTATCTGTAATCGATGAAGAAGAGCATTAGATTTGATGTTATACACTGTCTTTTAATTAGTCACAAAAATCAACTGTTCGTGTACAAGTTATGATGAATGGAAAGAGTAAATTAGATTGATTAACTTACTTGGTTTATTAGAAAGTATAATGAGTTTCCTTGAAAGTCCCAAAAATTGTATTTCGTATAAATCATTGTTTGTATTTCCTTCTCATCGATATCCGAAACATCTGATATATTGGCCTGCTTTGCTAACATATTATCAATCATTTCGCGCAACTTAACTGGTAACAATTTAACCTGAAGACAAAACAGTTAGAAATCAAATAGTTTAGACTGGAAGGAATCCCATAATTCGGGAAATAGACAGATCAACCAAACTTAACAACTAATCAGATTTACATGATTATCCGTAAAGGTACATCTATTGAATTGATGATATTTAAACCTTTCCAGACTTCAGATACCTAATTTTGCATTGAGTTGTTACTAAAAAGAAACATTCAACACAATTGTAACATTTGTACACAAAGTGATACAAATTGACACGAAAAACGGGCAAAAATAGATTTCATTCAAATTTAAATTCTGTACGTTTGTAGAGATATGATAACGGGTCCCTTTTGTGCGATTCAAAAGTTTCTCTCATTAATAGTTTTCGATAAAATCAAGTTCGAAGTTGAAACTTGTATCGCTTTTTGTAGAACTATGGAGGCAAATTTTTTCATGTAGCTTCATTTTCCTGATGTGGATTTCAATGGGCAACCAGAAAATGGACTTTACCAAATGAAATAAAACTTGAACTTTCCGTATAGCGGATAAGTTCGATTTCTAACTAAAGCGACTTATTTCTGTGACCGTGTGAGTTAGAGTACTGAAACTTAGTATTCACTCATAAAATTTGTCATTAAATATCACGAGTTGAACGATTTTCACAATGAATCTACGGTTCTCTTGATTTTGGCCATTGGCCTTAAAAATTTGAGTTTCAATATTTCGAGAACGGTATTACCTACAGTTATCATTCTTAGACCGAACATTAGATCTTGTTGCAGGCTATTAAATAATATGACTGAATGGCGAAGAAATCAAAGCTAATTCATTGAAAATGAATATTATTACTGCTCATAAGTAAATATTTATCTTTGTTAATCTGATGTAACATCTGACAACCTAAGTAATGCAAGGCTATAACTTTTTTTGTAGTTTCTTGAATTATCTGAAAACTACAAATTAACGTAGCCTATAATAAGAACTAATGTTTGATTTAAGAATGATAACTGTAGGTGATGCCGTTCTCGAAATATTGAAACTCAAATTTTTAAGGCCAATGGCCAAAATCAAGAGAACCGTAGATGCATTGTGAAAATCGTTCAACTCGTGATATTTAATGACAAATTTTATGAATGAATACTAAGTTTCAGTACTCTAACTCACACGGTCACAGAAATAAGTCGCTTTAGTTAGAAATCGAACTTATCCGCTTTACGGAAAAATAAAGTTTTATTTCATTTGGTAAAGTCCATTTTCTGATTGGCCAGTAAAATTCACATCAGGAAAATGAGTTTCATAAAAAAGTCTGCTTCCATAGCTGTACAAAAAGCGGACAAAGTTTCAACTTCGAACTTGATTTTCTCGAAAACTATTGATGAGAGAAACTTTTTAATTGCATAAAAAGAATCTGTTTTCATCTTCCTACAAACCTACAGAATTTAAATTTGAACGAGATCTATTTTTGCCCATTTTCCGTGCCAATTTGAATCACTTTGTGTATAAATGCTGCAATTGTGTTAATGAGTTGTTTTTAGGTAAACCCAAAGTCTTTGTTGCTGCTAAAAAGACACAAACAACTCATCTATTGCTATAACTAATACTTTGATGTTATATTTCGGATTGTACTTGAGTTTACACAGAAATGGACTAACCGTTTCTTGGTTATCAAGACCATTTATATCATCGAAATGGTCATTCTTCCTATTAGACAATTTAAGAGCTGACTTTAGTATCTCGGCTGCATTTAGAGTTATATTTTCGTCGTTTTCTTCCTTATTTGATTTGTTGATCTTCAATTCTTTAACGATGTTGTAGCTCATCATTTTGAACAAAGTCTCTTCATCTGGCAAATTTAGTTCAACATCATTTAAATCGTTTAGTCGCCAAGAGCCATTTAAATCAGTCAAACAGCTTCTCCGATTATCCAGAATACAATCATCGTTTTCGCTGAAAATAAATGCAATAAGACATCCATTAGCAGTCGATAAATGCAATAACAAAAAGTAAAAATCCCAATATTAACCATAAATAGAGTTAAATAAAAACATTAATCAAGACGATTGAAAGTTTTCTTTGATTGAAAACACCAAAAGGTTGACAATTTAACCAATATGATCGAACACAGTGATCAAGTAATCAATTAAGCTAAACTTAAATGCCAAAAAATGAAGAAATAACAATTCGATTCAAGTAACTTCTTCATTTTTACCCAATCCGTCTTCATTTCTTGTTTACAATTTTATATTTTGTCAATGTTTCACCTGATTTATTGTTAATCAATTACAATGAATAAAAGCAAATAACAAAAGCAAATGGTAAATGATTATTTTGAGACAAAATTTTGTTCCCAAAGCAAAATTGAACATCAAAGTATCTGTTTTCCCTCAACGGTTCAATGTGTATATCCAGGTAAGCTTTCAATCGATTGTTATTGATGATGAATTTATAATGATTAAAGGTTGACTATTTTAAATAGCAAATATAAGATCCAACCTAAATGATTATGAAACTATGAATATAACAATCGTCTAAATGCGTTAACGATAGCAACAGTTGAGGCAACAATTTGTGCGATTATTGTTCAATCATGAATCTTTCTCAATATTCAATTGTATTCTTATAACTCTATTATATTTTACATTGAGTGGTTTATTATTGTTTATTAAGGCTACAAAATGTCAGAAAGGTTGTCACATTGAACAAAACACAAATGGTTCAACTGTGATCCATTAATCTACCCTTTGCATGTTTACCAACAATTTTAATTCTGTGAGGTTTACCCAAATCAATTTTGTTATTAATTTACTCATTTATGGGTTTTTTAGGTTATTAATTAATGTGTAATTAAGATTGAGAATGATATTGATTGGGTAAATGTACAAAAAGATGAAAGGTTTACCTTGAATTTAGGAGAATGTTTTTTAAAGTTGATTTACCCGATTTGGGTGGACCGATTGTAAATACTCGAGTCCAATTGTATTTTAAAGATGATTTGGAGCAACACTTTTCGTAAACACGAACAACATTTGGACCTTGGAGGGTAATGGACGTTGGTATCTTGAAAGTCATACCATTAAAGTCACAAACAGAGAGTCTGGTTGTACGACCATAAAGATCAAATATGAACCAGAAACTGGTTTCCATACTGGATGGAAGGGCAAGTATAAATGGATACCGGGTTTCATTTGAGTTGACAAGATACAATTGGACTGAACTTCCAGAACTACTGGTATTACCAGTCAATAGAAAGGTAACCTTTGATCGGTTCCAATGGGAGGGCAAAGGTTTAATCCAAACACCATCGTCTGAACACAAACCAACCGGATAGGAATACTTTGGAAGTGGCCTTTCTTTTACAAAGGTTAACGGATCTCGGCATGTTAACCCAACGTTGAGACAACCTTTCCATTTGGTTGAGAACGATTCAATCTCAAGAGTAACTGTTGGTGGTTAACAATAGGTTAAATTTGGGTTGAATTTAGGTTTTTGGGTAAATAGTAAACAAACATTAGATCCAAATCAAGATGAGAATAGAGACTCAAGAATAAAATTTTAGATCAAAGGTGTCAACCATGAGATCATGTTACTCACCCAATTGATTCAACTTGATTGGTTTGGCTGAAAAAATGATTCCATCACAGAAACATTGATCATTGATTCTGGTTGCTTGAGTTCTCAATTTATTTAATGATATATTTGACCCATAGACAATTTCATGGAATCGCATATTACTATTTGTTTGGCGTCAATCGGCCTCAAGTTATCAAAACAGTGGCAACTGTTGATATCTGCAAAACTACTCTTTAAGTCTCAGACTTGAAAAGTTATCACGAATTGATGAAACAGATCAAACTGTTGAATTAACTGGCGATTGTTGGAATCATGGTTTGCAAAATATTCCAATAGAAACAGATTTCAAGAAATAAAATTTGATTTTCACTGTTTTTTTCAACAACTAATATTTCATGTTAAGGTTAATATTGATATTTTTATTGATATATGTTTAGAATTTTCAACTCCATGGAAACGAGTTTTGCTTTAGCAAAGTTATCAAGACAAGGGAAGGAAAAAGAAAGGTAATATTACGATATTTAATAATCACAATAACGTTGAAAAAAAAGAATCTATTCATAAAAGATTTAACCTTTTCTCTTGCTTCTTCATTCTGATATTGATAATGATTGGTTGACTAGGAATAAGGGAGAATCAGGAAGAGGAAAGACAATTTCATGAGCGTGTTGATGAACATTTAAATAGTCAAAATTATTTGTTTATTTCACAGAAGTAAATTAAATTGTTGACAATTGGTAACCAAATGAACAGCTATAACAGTCTATCAAGGACAGGGTCAAATGTAATAAGCTGATCATCAACCAAAGAGTTGATCAACTCGTCTTCCCATAACTTCGTCATTCAGTTTCCTTTGTCACCCAATCGTCCACCTTATGTGTTGAGTTAATTGTGATGAATGCCAGCCATCGGTAATACAAAGAAAGTTTATTGTGATTTATGCTCTGCAATCAAAAAGTCTCAAGGTTTGCAAATGTTACTAAATATTGTTTCAAAATGGCCAAGAAAACAGTTATTTTACATTTATAATTTGCTAGATTTGCTAATCACGTAGACAGCTTCTGATCAGCTGGTGATTCGATTCTCTTCCCTGGAATGATTAATGATATTGTTATAACTTATAGTAGAGATGAGTTGGATTGCTATAAGTCTTATAACTGCGAGAAAATTGACAATTTTTACTCAATTAGTCTTGCATGCAAATTGTTGCTTCTGGTTCAGTTTTGAAAACAAGGGATTTTATTATTATCAATTTACAAAATTTACATCCATTTACTGGAGTGAAATTAAAATTGATTGAAGCTTTAAATGAATCTAAATGATTACGAGAAGGTAACAATTGTTGGAAACATTTTGGATGTTGATCCAACATAATATCTCGGTTAAACTTGTTTGTTTTGGGTTAACCACTTGTTTCGTCAAATGAGTTTAGTTAGAAAGGATTGGACTGAATTGATTTTAAATAGTTTAATATTTAATATGATGAAAAACCAGAACAATTAAAAATACACAATAAAGAGTATAATGTTACTTAGACGCCTCAAGTAATCTAAATGATAAATTATAAACTCCAAAAGGATAGTGTTGGATAAACAGAGTGAACCATTATTTTTAACCAATAATTCATGATTACAGCAAAAATAGACGATTAGTCAAACCAGGAAATTTGATAATTTGAATATCTTTTACACACAAACCTCTGGTAATGATCTGGTTTGGTGTTTAAAAATGGGTTTACTCTAAACCTTTTCATCTGACTATTGTAAGAAATTTAGGTTTTTGAAAATAAACTTTACTATTGAAACGCAGGACGAATTGAAGGTTGAAAATTTAGAATCAAATTTAATCGATTTTCATGAATCTTCAAGGAAAATATCAATTATCTGGAAAGTTCAAGAAAAAATCAGTCAAAACTAACACTAAACTCAATGAAATTATTTGAAGCGATGAAAGGCTACTTGAATAGAAACCACTAGATGGCTGTAGCATCGATTTAATTTGATTCTTTTATTTACTTTTGATTACAATTAACATGTAAATTAGCGATTAAATGTTATCATTTAAAACGGGATGATCGATGAAAAAAATGAATGTCTATCAAAGTGGAAAGGATTTTTTTACATAATCAATTGAATAATGAATTAGCTTGGTAAGGTTAATAAACCTAGTTTCACTTGATTAAACTCATTAAATAACAATCCAAGTCAATTGTCTTTCAATTAATTTGTCTTAATTAACTGAATTGAAGATTTGCGATTTTTGAAACAAATTTAGTTACTAACAAGCGATCAAAAATTAACCAACCAACCAACCTTTCAATAATTTAAATATTTCAAATTTTCTTATGTTAACCAAGAGATCAGTGAAAAAAGGGCGAAATGTTATTGAGTTAAAAATCAAACTAATTAACATTAAGAAATTTTTAGCCTCAACTGTTTCAAATATAATTAGGAATCTCTTTTTGAGTTGCTTCTGGAAAGAAGCTCATGAAAGTCTCAAGTGAATAATTGCAATGTTTATTAAAATTAAATAATGGGTTAAAGCTGTATGATAACTTATAAAAATGTTATATTTAGTAGTTAACATAAATTATTGTTATTTTTGATAAATTTAAATTTAAGCATCAAACATATTATTTTACAATAATTATTATTACAATTAGCATCATTTTTCAATTTAAATAATCAAAAAAAGGTTAAAACGAAAATGGCGCCAAGTGAAATTGTTTCCTTTACCATCAATCTTATTACCATATGAACCGCGTTTAACCCAAAGAGTAATGGGTTACTTCTGCCGTTAACTATTTTTATTTGTTTATATTGTTAATAGTTTGGGTTTTTTATTAATTTTGTAACTTGTAAATGTAAATTAATCTGTAAACAATGTAAATTTAATTGTTGAACGGTGTTAAAGTGGCCAATTAACTGCCTATTAAACCACAACCAGGCTAGCTGCTTGTTTTATGTTTATGTAAGCTTTCAAATAGGACAAAATTATGGGTAATTCCTGGTTCCATTTGGTATTTATTGTTGTTTACTTATCATATACGAAACATAAAATTGAAAACAGGTTAATATACCAATAACCTTATTCGTGATTCTGCAACCAAATTATTGTCCAGCCAATTGCCATGCCTCGATTGTATATTGTTTCTAGGTAAAATTAATATAACCAGAGTTGAACCTCTGTGTTTTTATATAAAAGGATTGAATCAATTTGAGTTTCTATTCATCGATTCAAATCAACAGCAACAGTAACTACAACTTTATACCTTTGTCTAATTAAACAATCTCGACAAACAAACATGTCTTCATACTTGACACTCATCGTATCTTTTGGTAAGTGCAACATTCACTCACTTATTCATTAACAGTATTTTAACCATTTTGTAACTTTTATTCATGTCACTTGTAGCCTTAATCTTGATGATCAACGTTATATCAGCTGATCCCATCAGTTCAACAACACCAGGACCAGTTGACCGTGAAGTTGTGCGTAAAACAATTTTGGATGATTTAAATGAAATGGAAAAGTTAGTCAACAAATTGGATGAATTGAAGCAAACTGAACGACAAGAAAATGGACCTTTGGACACCGTTCAAGACATGATCAGTGACACAACCAATGGAATTAGGAAAGCCGCTTACCGTCTTCGCTACCAAGTATTTAGCATGTTTCAACGATCACCAATTTGTAATCCAATGAAATCTAACTAATCATCACAACAACTTACCTAATCACTACCATTTTCATTTATCCGTCCATTAACATCTTAAATTATAAATCGTTACATTCTTAATCTCAAGCCAATTGATTTTTCAATCTAAAACCATGTTAAACCAACATTTAACTGCCTATTGATAACATTTATTGTAATACTTTAATTTACTGAGTAAATTGCATCCAATATCAAAATAAAGACATTAAAATGTTGTGAAATAAACTCTTGTACATTCAACAACAATTACTGAAACCTGAACAAAATAGCAGTTGTAATGGCCACTGGAAGATGATGGTAACAACTATTATTATAATCGTTGATCATCATAATGTTCATTATAAGGCCAAGAATATCCGTAATAATATGTGGTTACGAAACGTTCAATAATTGAATAAATATTATGTTTCGTCTTTTTTTGTTTAAAATCAATTGTACCTGGTTGTACCTTGATTAACTGCAAATCCATCCAAATACAGTTTCACTAGTCATTGCGACTAAAAAAGGGTAGTTTGAAAGGGTAAGGTAATAAATAAGGTAACTCCATGATTTTCAGGTGAAAAGGTAAAATGAAAACATTTCCAACTATTTGGAGGAAAAAATATTAGAAAAGGAATGACAAATCATTATTATTATAAAGCAACTGAAAATTGTATTTTTAAAGCGAAAAGAGCGCTTTTAAAACACACTTCAATCAGAGTAAATCACGAAAATAACTAACTACGTGACTATTGCTCTTTCTTTCACTCTATCATCATCATTTTCATCCTCATCCTTCTCCTTGAAAGGGAAAGGTAATCCTGTCTTAGAATAGCTTCACATTCAGATGATTATCCATCAATTTGGAGCGTTTTTCTTTCTCTTTCGTTCTCTCACTCATTACCATCATCATCACCATCTTTAAATGTTTTACCTTACTAATCCAATTTGAGGATTTCCCCTTGATCGTCATGTTGTTGGTGTTGGTGAAAGTGAGTTGAAAGGATGAAAAGGAGAGAAGTGAAGAGTTAGGAAGAAAGAGCATCAACCTGGTATGACAATTTTTGGATGTGTGTGTGTTTGGGTGAGGTGAGGATGAAGGGGAGTAATATTGAGATGATAATAATGAGAATAGTGGAAACCCTAACTGAAGGTAAATTTAGGGTCATAACACTAGGGTCAGGGCGGGTTGTTGACTCTCTCCCTCTTCACTGTCACGGTAAGATTTATCTTTTTTTCACCTCCTTTCCCATCTTCATCTTGATCATCGCCATCATCCTCATCAGCGCCTTTTAGAGATGTCCACACCTTTTGAATCTACTTTTGCTGACCGTTTGTTGTTTTGTTTTCCGAAGCAACAATCTTAATCCGATCGCTGGACCGTTTCTATTATTATTTAGCATTGTTGCTGCTGTTATTATTATGTCCTGTAATCACCACAATTTAACCTTATTAACTACATATACAAGATTCACATTACTATTCAATTGTGTATCTATTTTTTTGATTTGCCTGTAGCAGTAATAGTGGTAGTAGTTGTAATGGTAGTTCATGTTGATGTTATTCTTGATTATGGATGGATTTTGTTTCCTTGCCATGTTAACTGATTGTTATTGCAAAAATAGTAGTCTTGTTGATGTAATATAATAGCTGGTACAACATAATGGTCAGGATTATAATTGTAAACAGTGAACATGAATTTAATATAAAAAAAACAACGACAAAACTGGTAACAGCAATGAGATGAAATTAAATTTATAATTACGCCACCCAGCCAATTTGAAGCTAAAAGAAACAAACGAAATAAAAACAGAAACAAATTATTACAAACGACTTTACCTTATTTTAAATAAGAAAATGATGTAAATTCAATTCTGTTCATCATCCTGATTCAGCAAGATAAATAATAAATGTCATCAAGACAGTAATAGTGTTGGAATTGGACAATTTAGAAGATCATTTATGCATCAAACAACAGGTTTTTGTACAGAAAAAAAACACAAAAAAAGCTCAACTACCATTTCTAGTGTGGTTTACTTACCTTTGTCAGCATTGGATTCACAAAATCATTCAATCAATTCTTAATGTGTCACTTTGGAATGTTTAATAATGTAGATCAATTGAGACGATGACATTAAATTAATGCCAATTGTTTTAATTAAAGTTGATTAGGAGGCAAGTTAAAGATAGATGAAAAAAGCTAATTGTTGGCTTCAATAGATGCAAATTTTTTGCTCCAATCAAAGGCCAAAAAGGTTGAAAAAAAGGTCTTAAGATGTCGCTCAAACCCGATTTATTTTTTGATTTCACCAACTATCGTAAGTTGGACTGGATGAGGATGAGGTAACATTAAGATGTTGTTTTTAATGTAGTTTAAGATGATGATGAAGATGAGAATGAAGAGGGTGGTAAATAGGGAGGAGGTTAAAGAGTAAAAGGAGGGAGAGTTTATCTCCGCCTTGGAAGGTGAGTTTACAATTGACGATTGATTCATGATTCGGGTTTAGCTTGGTGAACAAGCACCTTGATCAGTATTTTTTTATTATTATTGTTAGTTAATCAAATTGTTTTCCACTTTTTTATCTTTGCAAATTCAATTAAAGCTTTTTTGCTGTTTCTTATTTCATTTACCAGGATTTAAATCATCAACAACATCCATTCACCAGCCATCCAAAGGAAAAGGTCAACAAGTCTTAGGCCTTCAACTCTACCCATAGTCAACTGTTACCAAACAGCCATAATCAACTTTTCAAATTTCCTTTTTTCTAATCTTCTTCTTCTTTTTTCTGGTTCCTTTTGTTTCTTTGGATTAACGGATAAATCTTGTCATTAAATTGAATTATGAGTCTTGTACATTGTATTGGATTGTGTTCACTTTAAAATTAACCTTTTAAAATTGTGTTTTCTTCATTGACTTTCCATTACAATTTTTCTGGTTTTCACTTATCTTTATACAATGAAAGTCTCCATTGGAATTGGATTATCAGCCGCCATCTCTGGTTTTAGTTTACACTTTGTTCAATTTAATTGTGTCTCCTTTTGTTCCTATTGATTTGTCCCAACCAATGATGGATTAAATGCACCTGTGAATGATAACATTATTACTATCAAGAATTTTTTCTCCTCCATCTTGGGATCTATTAAATCCCATCAATTATTCATCATCTTCATCCTCATCGCCATCACCATCATCACTCTCATCCCTCTCATCATTGCCATCATTGCCATCATCAGCATCCTCATCGCCATCGACAACAATTAATTATACCATTAATTGTGATAATCGTTTAAAAGTAAAATACCATCCGATTGCTCGTACACCGAGTATCGAAACCTTTTTATAATTAATTTGTATTGTGATTAGGGAATGACTTCCCAGAGATCAATTGAAACCCGGAGTCCAGGGTTAATCAAATATAAAAATCAAAGGATCACCTTAAAACACTTATTGATAGTTGCATTTATTTTAAACCATATTGGACTAATACATGGAACCGAAACAGATCAAGGTAAGTCAAACATTTTTACCTTCAAAATCAGCTGTAAACAGTTTTCTATTAGCTTCTAATTTAAGTTTAACAATTAGTTTTTACCATTCAACTTAATTATGTCTAATTCCTGGTTGACCCTAAAGCTGCTCAGCTATTTGCTTGTGCGTGTTCATTGATCACTTTTCAGATTGACTCTTCTTCATTCCCATCATCATCATCATCATCATCTTATGAGATTCAGTCAAGTCCGTCTTGGCCCAGATAAGATTCAACCTTGTTAACCTGATGTGGTGAAATGAATGAACATAACAAAGCAAGAAATAAGATGATGATGATGATAAAGGGAGTTAATCAAAGATGAGAATGGAAAAAGAGAAAAGAGAAAGAGCCAAAAATGGTGAATGAAGATGAAGATGATAAGAAGATGGTGTGTGATGATCAGGTGAACCTGAAAAGTGATGAAAAATAATTCGCATTTCATGAAAAATTATTGAGATTATTGTTGATACAAGTTGCCTGATTTTGTTTCAAACAATTTGTTCAATGTTTCCATGATTGATTGTTATAATAGTTGCCTTTTCATTTCAACTCTTGTCATTGATTGTTATCATTTTGATTGTTACCTTTTATCCAAATCATCATCATAGCCATCATTAAAAATAATCTGCAGATTTTAGCAGATTTACTAACAATTTAAGCTTACGATGGTTTTTGTTTCAATTTTAATTCTTTTTTCGTTATTTTTCCTTTTCAACAATAAATTGGTTAAAAGGTAATCATTTTTCTGAGCCATCCATTGAATAGATCAACTTTTACTTGATAAACCCTTCATGTTTGGCTTTGATCTGTAAATTGATACAAAAAAAAAGAAAGAAAACCAAAATTCTGTTCACGTCTTCAGTTAATGATGATTTAACATTAATCGCTTAATTTGGTATTCTGTTATTCTGGTATTTTTACACCAACATCGACACTAATTGTAATTGTTAATTTTAGGAGTGGTTCATCGCATAACTTTTACCTTTACCCGTAATAATACACTTAAACCCATAAATAAAAATATAAATATCTAAAGTTAACAATATATTGAAAAAACTGGTTAAACCTTGTTTTTATTTTCATACCTGATCATTGTTTACATGAAAAGTGAAAAATTGATTGATTGATTGAGTTTAACCGATCAATGATGATAAATACAGAAAAACATTTTACTTTAAATTACCATTTGAAATGAATGCCATAATAACCAAATGGTAATGAAAAGGTTGTTCCGATTAAAGTTAGCAATTTTTAAATGTTAAACAATTGAAAGGCAATTTCGAGTCAATCAGGAATCACATTAAGGTCAATTAGGCTTGGTAAATTAACAATTAATCACAGTAAATTAGTGAAGAAAGCAATTTTCAAATGAGTCGCTGGTTTAGCTTTTCATTTAGTTATCAAGTTGATTCCAAATTTTACCTTCAATTCAATTGAAAACCCAAAACTGAACCCAATTATTTATTTATACATTTATTACGTTTTGATAATGAATATTATAAATGAAGATGATTATGCTGATGATTGTGATTATATTAATTGTTGATTTAGGCCTGAATAATAATGTCCATCGAATCGAATCGAAATGAAAACTAATAAGATTAACCGATTAACGGTGCTTATACTTTCAATCCTAATCATTGAACCATCAACTGATTGCTCTTTCCTTTCTCTTTATCATCGCTAAATCATCTCTAAATCATATCTTTTTTGTTCAACTCTAAACTCATTACAATCAAGGTTGAAATGAGGTGAAAGGCACGAGCAACCGTTTTTTGTTGTTGTTACTGGTGTTTGCTGCTGTTTTTAGTGATCAACAGTCAACTTTCAATTGAGTTGATTGGCATAAAGAGAATCAAATAATGATAATAATAATAATCATAATCATAATGTTAATGACGATGATAAAAGGTGCAGAAGGAATTGAAATAATTAATAGTAATGTCTTTAAAGGTGCGTCCATTCATATTTTTGAAAATCAATCCAATCTTTCAATATTTTCAACACATTTATCAATCCAATTGAACAAATTGTTGCACTTTTATTGATTAATATTTAGCAAATTATTCAACAATTATTTCATCTTTATTTTGTTTTAAATAAAATGACATCAAATTTAATCTTAATCACAATTGGATTGTTATCCATTGTAACTGTTAACAGACAAATTGTACAAAAAGAAGACAAAATTTCATCTTAATATTTATTGTGTGTTCATTCAATGTTATGCTTTAGTTGTGAATCTTTTAATAGTGATTTTTGGTTAACTAATTTTGTGAGAATTGAAATGATTATTCTAGGTGAGAAGCATTTCAAGATATTCAATGGGTGACGATAAAAAGGTTCAATAATGGCTGACTAAGCTTCAATTTTTCTGGTTTGTCTCATTTTTTATGTCAAATTACTCAAGTGAAGATGACAGAGCAAAAAGGATTCAATTGAATCTCATCCGGATTCCCTGAATCAGTGTAAATTGAAATTGTTAACATTTTAAATATCATTACATTCAATCTTGATTAGTACATGTTATTAAGCATATTTATATTGATTGGGAAAAATAGGAAAAGGATGAGGAATAACAAATAATGATTATAAGGATGATGAGGTTGATAGTGGCCTGAAAAGTCTTTAATTATCTTAATTATGTGGAGCATTTGTTATCCTGCTGTCAACAGGTAGCCCTGAAAAATTGGATCGACATTTCTCTTACTTTTCACCAGTCTTCTCTTTCTTTGACCGGGCTATTTAACCCAATTTTTCCCTTTCTTTTTTCACCATTTTTTATTTATTTTTGTTGCTTCTTTAATTTAGTCTATTAGTTTCCCTTGGCATCACTTGAAACATCATTAGTTAATTGTTTTCAATGGTTCATTGATAAGTTACTTTACTTTTGCCACTGACGATTATTTTCATTTGTTCAGGTCACTTTAAACGCTATTATTATCATTATGTTCATTTATGAAAACACACTTATTGATTGATTGAATTATAACAATGATATGGCGATGATGGTTAGGGTATTGGTCAGAAAATTTAAATATAATCCTTAATCAGTAAGCGTCCATAAAATCAAATCCATGAAGAGATGAACCAGAAATTGGATTAACCAGTTGAGTTGATATAAAATATGATTGTTTATGTTGATGGGTTTTGATTATAAATAACTGTGTTTGGTATAAATGTCATCTTAATGACCATCAAAAGAAAGATTAAACTCTGATTCTGAATTTGAGCTTTTCTGAATTCTGTTTACCAGCTGTTTCCATTTTTAACAATCATGATTTATCAATAACATTTTAACAACTAATTTAACTTTTCGTTAAAAGATGCAAATTTTGTGACAAAAGCTTTAGGTAATGTTGTCCGTTTACTGCCTTCAATGAGGATTGGAAGCCGGTTCAATCAAGGATGTGTTGGTGGAACTCGCTGTCAATTTTTCCTTTCATGTTGGATGTCAGGAGGTTCATTGGGATCTTCCTGTGGTCCACTTTATACTTGCTGTATAACTCCAAGTAGCCAAGATATTCAACCAGCCTTTTTTGGTCCAGTTGTCAATGATCCTTGTAAGTCCATCAGTTTAAGTTATTGATGCAAGTTTTTTGAAAAAACCCAAATTTTCTTCTAATGTTGCCAGGAAAAAGTTGCCATCCAAATTTAGGGGAATCGGTCTGAAACTGGTTCTAATTAAAATCAAAGCAATAGTTATTAATAAAAAAAAGTATCTGTTCTTATTAAATAAGACAATTGAATAGCTGACAAAGAATGAAAAGTAGTTGGAATTAAAAATGAAAACAATAAGATATTTAAATAACACAACATAAGGTTGATTGTTATTAATTTGAGTTTGTGCATGTGAAACAAGATAACAATTTGATTCTATTAATTACCATCATCAACGGGTAAAGAGACAAACGGTTATATTTTTATACGCAGAAGTAAACATACACATTGTTAGTGTTTGATTGAGTCCAAACGAAACGTTTTAAGTATAACCGTTCTGCAGTGATAACTGTAATCAACTAAGTTGACGAAGTTCGGAGTAAAGATGAGTAGAGATTAAAGAGCAGCCGAAAAAAACTCGATCTGAAAATAAGACAGAAATGAAAGAAAAAAGTTAGTTAAGAAATTGATATTTTCAAGTTTTCGCCAATTGATTGAGACACTTTGAAGTGTCTGAAGGAAAAAAATTGGTACAAAAAAGAAAGCGAGATTTTGTTGATTCCGGTCTCATCTTGAGCAAACTAAAAATCAGGGTAAATTGGGCCGGATTCACTAAATTTATCTTTCTTGAGCAATCATTGAATTTACCAATTGAACCAAAATACAGCAAGACTTGAGATATTAATCATAACTGGTGTAACTGATTTAAGCTTGAACCACTGGATCAAATTTTCCTTCTCTGACCATCTTTACCATGTTTATTTTTAACAGCCAATTATTAACGATAATTAACCTGGAAAAATTGTTTTCTTTTGGCTATTTTTTTACAGATTGTGGAAGAAGTGCAACCAGAATCAGCAGAATTGTTGGTGGCTCTGATGCATCGTTTGGTCAATTCCCGTGGCTGGTAATTAATGTTTATATTTATATCGCTATAATAGAAACAGCAATTAATAACTTGCTTGAATTTTGAATGGTTCACTTGATTGTTTAGTGTTGTCAATATTTAGAGAGTCGAACTAAAAAAACAGATTTAGACAAACATTTCGTTTTTTCTTTGATGGGTGAGGCTTTGACACTTTGTTTGTTTCCCCTGAAACGCATCCTGGCTGTGATCTTAATTTTTCTTCTCTTTATTTCTTTTCCATTCTTTCTTATCGTTTTTGTGGGCTTGTTGGCGCTCTTGTAATAGTGGTAGTAGCATGTAGTAGATGATGTTGTTCAATTATTTTGGGCAACTGTTGATGGTGAGAGTTAATTTGATTCCTTTGAACAATTAGATACATCAACAATCTGCCTCAAGCGTATCGAGAGAAGCACAAACATGAATCGCAAAAATGGACATTGACTGCCCATTAACGATCATAACCATTATAATCATTAAGATAATTCAGGTAATCTAAGAAATATCGGCCATTGATTATTATCATTTTGTGTTCATTCTCTATGTTAACAGTTTGATCAGTCCAATCAACAGTTAAATCAAGGTTTAGTTTTTAAATAGATATCCAGGTCACTTCAGGTTCCAATGAAAGTTTCAAGAAAGGAGAGAAAAATAAAAATTAAGAGTCTTTAAAGGTAAGAAAAAGGTATTTATATACTTTTTAAATATATCATTTAAAAGAGAAACAGAAGATAAAAAGAGAAGACGGAAAACTAAGTCACAATATAATGTAAAATCATCTTCATCTTTCCTCTCATCTTCTTTTTTACTTTCTCTTCACATTACAACATACCTTGAAGAGCGAGAGGAATATATTGAGGTCACTTGGCGTATCAACCATGATTATTATCAACATTATAGTCATCATTATTATTGTTCCTATTATTTCCAAATTTATTATAATATTTTCTCCTATTGTTATAACTTTTTGGTAATAAAGTTGAGTTTCCAGTTGGATATTTACAGTGAGATGGCGATGAAAAGTTCAGGATCTTCCCAGTTAACGCTTTTCTTTACATCATGAACACCAATAATGTTTTCCCATCAAGATGATATGAATTAATAGACATAATCAAAAATGGTTGCTTCTTTCTTGAAACACACAATTGTACTCGAGAAGCAGTCAATTAGGATTTAAAGCCAAATATGATCTCCGTCTTGACATTGTTTCCAGCCTTCCTTTTGCTCATCCCAATCTCAATTTCCTCTCTCGTATTGTTTATCATCCTTAAAGGTGGAAAACTATTACAGTATTGGTCAGGGTTAAGTTAATTTTAGGTGTCGCCATCCCGAGCGTATTTAGTTTGTAGATGTAAGAAAAAAACAATGGAATAGTAAATTGGACCAAATAAAGCTTGATCTTGTTGGTACTTTCATTTACTCTTTACAGGGTAAAATGTCCGATTTTGTTAACTTGATCCTGGCTACTACTGAATTCCCTTTTATTCATTATGCATGATTTTCATGAGTACCGAGGCTATATTTATAAAGAGGAAGAAAAAAGAAGTTAATTGATGACCACTTGTTCAATATCAAGTTGAACAGTCGCCGACATTGATTATACACGCGAGTCGGTTTATCTTACCTTCTTTTCACATCTCGCTATCATTATCGTCTCAAAATTTATTTTCATTTTAGTCTTTTTTTATCCGTTCCTTACACCTTTATTTTGTCCTTTTCTTCTTTTCTTTAGTTTTGACCGGCATAACATTACAGCAAATTGTTCAATTATTCACTAAATTCTTTTGATTGTTGATAATCCATGAACATACCCAGTCTTTCTAGTCCTCCGAAAACCCTATAATTTTGATATCTTGAAAAAAATGAGAAAATAGAGAATTATGTGAATGAATAACGGTGAAAAGTAGGAAGATACTGGAACAAAAGGGTTCAATAGCCACTATTAAATAAAAGAGTTGCAGTTTACACACTAACCTGAAAGATTATAAACCTTTTGTTGTTCACCAATATTTTTGTCTGAATCAAAATGGCCATTCTTTAAGTCAATAGATTAGCTTCTTCTTTGAAATCAATCAATTAGCCTTTAATCTAAATCGATCAGCACGATACAGGAAGTAGATAAGTTTGAATATCAGTCAAAATTAAATTTGGTCACTTGGTAACTGTTATAAGTTCACGAAACAAAGAAACAAGAACGAGAAAAAAAGGATTATAAGAAAAAAATAACTGTAATTGGATGATAGCGGCAGTGATAATGGTAAATGTATAGTCTGTTTACCAAATGTTGGCCTGTAAGGTCAAGGTGAAGGGATTAAAGGATAAAGTAATAAAAAACAGGAAAAGAAACACAATTCATCATGATGTTTTGATAAAGAAACATATTGATGAGCTGTTTGGTCATCTTTAACGATAAAGATACCGATAAAGATATCGATAATTTGACTTGATCATTGATCAGATAAAATCTTCATCAATTCAGATCGATCAAAAAATAAAGAATTTTTCGTTATCGATAATCTTTAAGCGGTTTTGATAGCTCAATCATGACACTTTACCATCTTTTGAATCTCTCACTTTTTTATACACAAATTCCGAGTTTTGTTTCATCTGCATGAGAGTCCGATTACTTTAATTTTTGAAAAAATTAAAGCATTTGCATGCTCATGAAATGTCGGTTTTTTCAAACAGCTTCGGTCGCATGTGAACTAATTTTCTTTAGATTATGGACTGACATGATAAGTCGAATCAAACATAAGAATATTAATCGCTGCTAAACTCACTGTCTCATTTTTTTCGTTGAGCTTCATACAATTTATTGTTCAGTTTCCCCATGGTATGAATATTGTACTATTTTTTGGCTTTCGATATTTTAAATTTCATCTTAATGAATTGACAATTTTTATTATTACTGAACAATCTTAATAATTTTTATTAAAACAAGCTGTTTAACATAAGCTGTAACAATAAGAAAATGAACTAAAAAATCTGTTGAAATAGCTTAAACAGCCATTCTCAAGCCAATGTATAGACTTGAAAATTAAGCTGACTTATTCAATTCAAGCAATTTATTCTCGTCTATTGGATAAACAACAATTTTTTAGTGACACATTTAGCCTGATTAGGCCTAAATTTACAACTTTATTAACTGTTCTTTTCATTTGTTTTTTAGGCCTTCGTTCAAGTTGGCGGTAGTCGATGTGGTGGAGCCTTGGTTGGACAAAGACATGTTGTCACTGCTGGACATTGTGTTGCACGGTTAGTTTATACTCAATTTATATATGACACTCTTTCAGTGTCAATATCCTTAAGTGTTAATGTAATTTTCACAAACGTTTTTTTTCTTCATTTTTTTTCTTTCCTCCACCTTTCATTTTATGTACTCCGTAAATGCTGATCTCCTTTCACTCTTCTGGTTAACGCTTTCGCAAACAACTCATTGTCTTGATAAACTTGGTAAACATCTTCATCAACACCAACTCATCATCATTAACATTGTCATTATTGCTATCATTATTTCCATCATGATCATGATGATTATCACCATTGCATCATTAACATGAACACAATAACAAACATCAAATATGACCGGAATGTCCCATTTGTTTAACCGTTTACCACAATTAACTCTTAACCACTTTTCTATACCACTTGGCAAAATCGTTTGGTCAACCGGATTCTGTTGCCTCCATTTCTCATGTGCTTATTTGTGTACATCAACAATACCATCATTTTTTTATCATTTCCCAATTGTTTAACAATGGTCATCAATCTTGGCTAACAATGATTTTAAATCAATCGACTTGAAGATCTCAACAAAGTCCAACAAGTATTAGAGTAACCCTGGGTGATTATGTACTTCACTCTGATATTGAAAGTTTACCTCATGAAATATTTACTGTGACCGATGTCAGGTTACATCCAAATTTCCGCTTCACCCCTCAAGCAGATAGGTATGATGTGGCGGTACTTGTATTAGATCGGCCAGTCCAGTACCGGGATAACATAAAGCCAATCTGTTTACCTCAGAAGGGTGCCAACTTTTTGGGTAGAGGAGCATTTGTTGCTGGTTGGGGAGCTTTGCAAGCAGGTAAGCTAAATGGGTTAAGATTTTAGGATCTTTTCATACCAACATTTGCTTTTATTCAGTAAATCTAAATATATTCAAAAGTTGGTTCAGGTTTTTTTCCCTGTATCTCCTGTTGACTAAAAGAGGGACCAAGTTTGTTGAATTTTTTGCTCAATATTGTTTAATATTTAGTCTAATTAATACACTTGTCAGATTGTCCAGTTAAAGCTATATTAAGTGGATTCACGTTGATCAACCAACCTTAAATTTTTTACTACACAGATGATGAGAGTAAAAACTAAGCTAATCTATTGTTGGATTAAGCTTCTCAACCAGAAATGTTGGATCCATGAAAAGTTGTTGATGATGAGAGGGATCATTTTTTTTATATCAACAATCAACTGCATACGGCTAATTGAGGTCAGTGTCGTCATCAACATTTTGACCTCAATTAACGTGTAAAAAAATTCAGTAATTCTCACTATTTTTGATTGGTAAACTGTCAATAGAGTTGGACAGTTTTACTTATTTTGGATGTTAATAGATGATAAATTATCCAAAATAATAATTTACATTCAACTTAATTTTTGATTGCTTGTTTTTGGTTGCAATTAATTTTAACCAGTTAATAGTAAATAGGATGTAAAGGGAATTAAGAGCCAACATATTAATTTAATTGTTAGTATAAATATCATTAGTTATGTTACAAGGTTAAACACGCAATTTATTTTGAGTTGGTTAGGTATATTTTTACACTCAAAAATTAATCTACTTTTGTAATGCTCTTCAAAATATCGTTAACAGCTGATGGTGATGATTTAAGTGAAAATTAAAGGCCAACAAACAAGCTATTTAACCATCTTAACTGATTATTTCAAGATTTCCTATTGAATTGACAATGAAAATGAACTTGAAAGGCTTTGCTTTGAGTAATGTTTTTGCTCTTTTATTCAATAGGCATCACAATTAATTGTTGTTTCTTGGTTAATTTTGAAAATAAGTTTTGTCCTTTTCAAAGCTCTGAATAGTAAAGCTTATTTAGCTGATCATTTGATTCAAAGTGTTCATTCAAATATACAATTTCGCCTTTTTTCATTACAATAACCAAGTTAAATCATTGAATGTTATGCCCTTTTCGCTCGTCTTTTGACCTGATTGTTGTCCATTTAAGCTGCCAATTATTTAACCTGTTTGTTTATGCTTGTAATCATTCTTCTGTCTACTGATTTTCTTGTGATGACTTAACTTTTGCTTTCAACCCATTGATTTTAATTCATTAATTCATTTCTTTTTTTTCGTTCTCTTTTTGTTCCCAATTAGGATCCAAGCTTCGACCCAAGGTATTACAACATGTCAACGTTCCAGTGATTGACAATAATGTCTGTGAGGTTTGGCACAGACGTCGAGGTATCAACATACGGATTCACGACGAGATGATGTGTGCAGGTTACGAGTTTGGTGGACGCGATGCTTGCCAGGTAATTGCTTGATTTAATTTGCCATTTTCATTGAATTAGCCAAATTGCTATTTTGAAACCTTCTTTTTTCTCTCACCTCTTTATCCTGCTTTTCTGGATTCATTTCAAATTGGGAATCACTTAAAAAGCTTAATCAAATTAAATCATCCAAATTGTTTAACCTTTAATTTTTTTTTCTTCTTTTTTTGTATCTTTAGGGTGACTCAGGTGGACCTTTGATGCTTAATGAATATGGAGTTTGGTATTTGATTGGAATTGTATCTGCAGGTTATTCATGTGCCAAACAGTATCAGCCAGGTATATACCATCGGGTCAGTAGCTCATCAGACTGGATCTCAGCTAACATCTATCAAGGCAAAAAGTGAAATGGAGAGTTTAAAGATTAATGAACAGCAACAATTAAAGGATTATCATTTTAATAACACCTGATTGGATGATGATCATGATTGAAACAAGAAGGAAAATTTATTGTTACTTTTGAACCAACCAGATAAAACAACTTGAAACAAGCATGCAACAACCAGAATCATTAGGCTACCTTTTATACGAAGGATTTCAGGCTTGGATACATTTATGCGATCAAAATTTTCCTCACTGGACCAACAATGCCCAAAACAAAAGTAGCACCATTGATGGAAACCAAAACTAAACAAGAAAAAGATTCTACATCGTCGCTCTTTTACTTTCTTCCTCTGTTGTTGTCTTTTATTTGATATTAGCGAAAGGACCACCATTAATCATCTCCGCTGACGACATGGAGAGCGATTTAACTTTGACAAATCGCAATTTCCATCCATCAACGACAACCATTATTGTTAACAAATCAACTCTGTAAATCACATGTCTCCATGTATCTACATGTTTAAATTATGAATTGAGTTTCTATTCCTCATTACCCTTTCCAATTCTCATCCTTTCGAGACTCTTTTTTGTTTCCTTTTCAATCCTCATGTTCCTTAATCTCACCCTTTTCCTCAAGGAACCAAATTTAGTTTGTAAATAGAATCCGTATTCTTAGGTAATTAATTTTTGATAATCCATTGTGATAATCTTGATAACTTGTTTTCCCAAAAATTCAACTGTCACCTTGATTTTGTGAACAAACAAAATAAAATGTTCAATAGGATGATGTTTTCATCCGCAGTTGTATTACTTGTAAATGTCAATCTGTATTTCTGTTATAATTGTTGAGCTGATAGTTGATTTGAGGATTAAGATTAACTGAAAATCCTGGTAAAGTCTAAAAAATTAGTCTTGAAAATTTAATCTTCAAGAATTAATGTGTCATTCATATTTGAAAGGAGAACCATGAAAACAAGCTTTTAACCTGCCAATTTATAATGAATGATTTGCATACAGTATCAATCATTTCATCATTATTTATATTGTATTATTATTGTTGTATTGCTATTAACGTTAGTTGATTGAACTATAGCTTTAGACCTTATCATTCATTATGAGTGAAAATATAATCTAAAAATAAAATAAGAATGATAATTATTCATTTCCATTACCTATTCTTATCCTCCTTTAGTATTGTTGACTTTTATATAAAGATGGGCTCACAAAAGTTATTAATTTTAATGCGTAACAAACCAAATCAAATAGATGAATCAATGAATTTACTTGATTTTTTAGAAGAAAATTTCACCTTATTTTTGATCTTAATTTCAATCTATTTCATGGCTGTTCAGATGGTCCAATAAGAAATTAAAAAAGCAATATTGAATAACAATAAATGGGACGAGCAATGATCATTATTCAATCTGATTGAGGCAAGGTAAACATTTGAATAGTAGATTAATCTGATTTCACTTTGATATTTGGTCTACAGAAATGTAAAATGGAACCATTTAAATGTAGATTAATAACTTGAACTCAAAATAGAGAGTGATAAATTTAGTTTGAATATAATGATGATCAACTATGTTTAACTGCAAGTTGTTTATGAATAGAGATTCAGAGCACATAAAATATCAGTTTAAAGGCGATCCAGGTGAAAGTCGTGTGATCTCATCGGTTCGAGTATAGATGGTATCATATTTGCATTGCTAATTCAAGTATAATCATCTGTATTTAATGGTAATTTTACTAAATTGCGAAATTATTGAAATGTACCGAAAAATTAACGTTCATATATTAGTTATTTCTTGTACTCTCAGATGGCGTACATTATCATCATCTGATTCGTGAATATGTGTGAGATTTAGTCAATGTGATTAACGTCCTTAAACAACCTTTACACCAAAATTTCTGTTGATTAATATCTTTTTTTTGTTTAATTTGTGCTTAATTCTTCTCCATTGTTCCAAATTTTAGGGACATCATGTTGCCCGGTCGTCTTTTCAGGTAAGTTCAATATTTTAAAGAGTCTGATTCTTGTAGATTAACTGTGATTGGTGTTTGAATAAATAACCTATCTTTTTGTTGCATTTCTTTTTTATTCAGGCTTGCTAAATCAATCCCAGCTCCAGTGAATCGTCGATTTTCCACTGCTGTAGCTCAACGTCTTGAGAAGCCTCCACTTCGTGGTCAACATCGTTATATATTGCAAAATGTTTTACTTTTGGCTTTTGCCGTTTCCTTTGCTTCTGGATATGCATTGAATACATTTTTCTGGATTCCAAGGAAAGAAAGAATGAACAAATTTTTTGATACTTACGATGACGAGAAACGGACTGAAGAATTGCTTGCTGGAGGAATTCTCGATTTAGCTATTGATGATGTTGATTAGATGTTTTACTCAATGTAATTATAAATGAAATGAAGAAATGAATTTTCTTGTGTACCTTATCCTTTAAGATGTTAAGATCTTAACATGTAGTGAAATAATATGAACCAATTTAAATACTAAATTGAAAATTACTTTAATTTTTATCGAGAACCCATTAAACCGAAAAATCGAAGATTGCAGATTATATTCACTCAAAAAAATACTAAAGATCATTGATAAGAATAAAGTATTGGCTTAGAAAGAGTATAAACATGAATAGAGTCCATTTTCTTGAATTTAACTTCGAAACTCTGTTCAGAGAATTCAACTTTTCACAAGTAAATAATTGAGATTGAATTTTGAGTATAGAAAATCTTAGCGAAACGTTTATTTTAAGGTGTATATTTCCGTGCAATGATTTTTTCCATTATCAAGATTTGGTCGCTGGTAATCTATTGACTAAATGTTGCATCCTTGAATGTGCTTGTTCCAATTTGTCCAGCAATTTATTTTCTTGGACAGTTCGATGCTCATCATATTCAGAGATTATTTTTAAAGCAGATAACCCATTATTGAGTCGAGTGGGCTTAGTATCTCTGATAGGCTATACAAAAAAAGAAATAAAAATTAGTTTTGTTTGGTGGTAAGAGTAATTATTGAAGTGTTGAAAATACTTACTTGAACTTCCAACAAAGTGGATGAACTTAAACAGTTGTGATCTAGTACACTTTTAAGGAATGCTTGATCAAGAGAAATTTTGGGAACTTCGAAGCGCTGCTTAGACACCTCACTTAAAATCTGGTTGATTTCAGTAACTGTTTTTTCCTGTGAAAATTGAATTGATTAGTCTTCGAGTCAATATAGAATTTATTAACTTACAATTTCTTCCAAAATAAGGTCAAAATTTACTTCTTTACGTCTTTGTCTTGCATGGAAAACATTTACGGAGCCTTCACTAAAGAAATTTTTGGCTGAAATTTCTTCACTAAAAAGTGAATCGACATCAACTTTGGGAATCTGATGCTTCGAAAAACTTTCACAGAACAACTTGATCATCTCTAGAGCTGAAGCCAGGGATTTAAACATAGTTTCTTTTGTTTTCATCAAATCAGTTTTTCGCGTTTCTTGCGACAAACGCTTTTCTTCTTGATGAACCGCAGACAATAAATTAGCTAAAGATTTTTCCAATTTGGTCAACTCATTTTTGAGAGAGTCCCTCTTTTTTTTCTCGGCCATTAAACTGGAAGCTTCTTTGATGGCCTTATATTTGCTATACACAAGATAAACAAAAACATTATTAATTTCACACTAATAACACAGCGTAGCTAATACTGACCTTTTAGATTTGAAATTTTCATTCAACAGGCTGAACAATTTTATGTAGATATGACCATTCTTAGATGTAATGAGACTTTTATAGAAAGATAAAAGGAAATAATTAGAATAAGTACAAGCTAACATATATCAACATTTACAATAAACATGTATTTTGATGAGACAAAAAAAGAAATATTCTTACCGAGTTATGTCTTTTGGATTGACTTTAATATTGGCTGAAGGAAATTCTTCATGTATCCAGTTGCACACCTTAGACTCAAGGCCAGACATAGTTTCGAGTGTAAAATAAATAAACAATTGATTAAAAAAATAATAAACAAAATGGTGAATGAAAAGGTAAAATAAGAGGTTTAGCAAAAAGAAGATTGGCGCGCTTTTATTGACATGTGATAGCTTAGTTGTTATGGAGATATGACGATGCGTTGACAGAGATGAAAAAACGTAAATGTAAATAAAGTAGTTAGTCGACACTCAACTAACTAACTTAAAAGGCAATAAGGTCGATTAAGGTTGACTATAGTGGACTTTAGTCGAATAGCGAGCAAAACAAGGTTAAGGGCTAACTAACGGCTAAGCGCAGCTAATTTAGCACAAAATTGAAATTTTCGGACGCTTGTGGGGGGAAATTTTAAAACATCTGGTCAACTAAGAGTTGAATTATTATTAACTACTTATATTATTAAGCTTATACTTATATTTATCAAGTAGAATCTTAATACTGGTACACTTATCAAATCACCGTTAAAGTGAACAAAATGTCGATAATAGCCTTCAATTTTGCTGCAAATTTCTTTAAAATCTTATAATCAATGTGTTTTTTGTAGTATTTGTTTCATTTGTTTCCGTCAGTTCATTTGTCAAAGTAAATTGTCAATCTGTGATTAAACTAAATGCACTTTTCAATGATTGAAACTGTCTGGATTTGGTCTGAACTTTATTATAAATTATAATTCAAAAATTGTCAGTACAGTCACCATTGAGAAGTGATGTCCCCGCACTGATAGAGCAGGCTGCAATTACGCAGGCGATTACCTCCCGCACCCCGAAGAGCTGAAAGGCAACCAGGGAGACATTTAAGCTCCCAATTGAACAGGCATCGCCGCCCGCGGCCAGCTGCCACCGTCCGGATTCGAACACGAGACACCAAGGAGTGGTGTCAGGCGCTCTAACCTTCAAGCAGAAACTGCACCTCGCTAGAAATAGCTTATTTACACTATTCATCGGGCAGCGCGATTCATGATTTTCAATCTTCCTTATTAGATCGAATTTAGTTTCAAACTTTTTTTTAATCTGATTTGGCGAGTTTTTGGATTAAAATTTCACGAAAGAAAGTTGAATTAAGTCAATTGATAATTAAAGAAAGCGAATCAAAAATCGACGAAATTCAAAAGTAGATAAAACTCCTCCTTAATAGGGACCATTGAAAAAATTAAGTGCAGTTTCACAATGGTGACTGTAAAGGTTGAGATGATGATACATAATTTATAAACGGTCCCTAATTCAGGAAGAGTCAAATCTGATTTATCGAATTTATTTTCGATTTCTTTAATTATTAATAAACTCAATTAAATTTTCTTTGTAAAATATTAATAAAGCAACTCTAGAAATCAGATCAAAAAAGCAATTTCGGTTAATTTGAACGATTAAAGAGGATTTAAAATGATGAAAATACTCTGCCCGGTGAATAGTGAGAATAAGCTATTCCTAGAGATATGCATTATCTCAGCTTTTATTGTACAATAAAAATGTAGATACGACATGATATTTAATCATAAATCAATCAAGATCACAATCAATCATTATGAATGAATTTGAGAACATTGTTTCTGCACTCATGAAATGTATCAATGAAAACATATGATACAAAAATAAGTTTATTATAGATTTGATATAGAAATATGTCAATATATTACAATCCTTTGCTGATATGAGTTAGGTGATTATCGAGATAAGTTTCAATCAAAGCTCATCCATTATTTTATCTTATTATTTAATATTTAACCTTCATGTTCTATCACATTAGGACAAATACATGGACATGATAATCGGCGTTTTTTGTGGTAAAAAATCATATTATGATGTTTATAACTATGCATTTGATTCATAGTCATTCAAATGAACAACTTCAGATAAACGATGAACATTGATTTTCATCTTTAGCGCAAACCCACGATATTTTATATTTACTTGAGATGGTCATTCAGGATAAATTCGGATTCCTCAATATGCTCGTTTTAAGTATGCTTAAGCCGTTATAGCAAGTTTTGTTGAAATTACTAATTCATCTCACTAAATAAGAGCATTTGCAAATTGACCATCATAAATCACTCCAGTAGAATGAATTGCATGACGAACTCTGGTTACATAGCTGAAGAAAGTGACCAAAGTTTCAACTTTGGACTCGATTTTCTGTCCATCTGAGCTTTTTTAATAGCACGATTAAACTCAATTCGGATGCCCTACGAACCTATGAAGTTTCATCAATCAAAACAAACGGAAAATTTTTTTCATTTATTAGGTTGTCCGGGCCAAAGTGGCGGAAGTTTGATCAAAAATATTTTTGAATAGGAATTTCGTAGTTAACTCAAATTTCGGAATTTTATTAACAGATACCACAAAATTAATTATGCAAAATTTCAGGCTGAAATTAACAATAATTAAAAAGTTATTAGAAAATTTATTAAAAAAATCAAAAATCGAAAATTTCCCCTCTTTGATCGAGTCTGTAGACTAAACCTCAACTGATAGATGCACGAAATTAACACAAATTATTCGTCTTGCCTTTTTTCATCGAATGGTAATTTAATTCACTCAACAAAATTAAACGCTTTTATTTGATTATCAAAAAACATCCAAAAATTGAAAAAAGTTAGCGAGCAAATCAAAGGGGGGACCCTTTGATTTTTTGAAATTTTCGACAAAATAAAAAAACGAATTTTTGATTTAAATTGTTCTAATTAATTAACCAAACCATATAATTCTATTCTTTTAATTTCAAAAAAATTCTTAGCTATTCAGGTATCATTAACCGAAAATTCATAAAAAAAAGTCCAAGTAATTCGAAGTTAACAACAATCAAATGTCCGCCATTTTGGCCCGGACAACCTAATAGTTTTCTGGTTAATTGTGACTCATTGTGATTAGATGTGTTTATTTGTGCCTTTTTGCGTTTTATCATCATTATGTATATCATAGACTGCCAGGGTAAGTTGAAGATGATCATATATGCCAGTTCGAATTTGATTAGCTACAAAAGCGCGTCAAATATAAATTAGACAATCTTCTAATCGATTGATGTAAAAACGATGAAAATGGTTCCAACAGTCACTGCGTTGTAAACATATGTAAGTCTGACCAATCGCCTGGAATACATGTTTGAGTTTTACACTCATCATCACACGAGTTTTAAGCTCCAACTGGAAAAATAATTGAGATAAAAATGAACAAAAAAGATAAATGCGTTTAACCATTTCCGCGAATTGACAATCCATCGTATAAATAATAGAAACTGGAATTTTATCACATATTGATTAATTTTAACGCCCATTAATGAAGCAGTCAAATATATTTTCATGAGTTAGATGCAATGTTGCATTTGGATAAACAGTAATCTGATTCATGTGATAAAATGTTCAGAAGATTTGGAATGTGGAAACAGGTAATCAAGATAGATTAGCAAAACTGTCACCAATCAATGCTTTTATTAAAATAACTTTTAATGAAAAAACGATCCAAGTGCCTGTGTTGCAACCATTAACAGTGTGAATATCAATCTAATCATATTAAAAACGGTAAACCTAGAGAGATTGAAAAATAAATCTAATCCTATTAACACACAAATAACGTCAATTTAGTTTTAAAAATGATTTTGTGACATATTCACCTACACGACTTAAAGTCAATTGTTTCTTATTAATAATTTCCCGTCCTGTCCATCATTGGGGTTGGACTGAATACAAGCATTTTATTTGAAAACAAAGCTGATTTAAAGTTAAATATGAAGCAAACTACAACAAAGAGACAGTCCAAGTTTGATATTAAGTTGATTCTAATAACTTCCCACATTGATGTACAAAATAACGCATACGATAAAGTGAATGAATGAAAAGACAAAAGGATGAACACGGTGACAAGGAAAGAAAATTAATAAAATCAAGTTTTCAATCACAGTTATTCAATTGATCACTTTCTAACTCTGTTCTCTTCAAGTTGCCGATTCACTTTTGTTTAACAATCATGATTCTCCATTTCAGTTAAAATATTTGGTAATTGTCTTGCAACTTTACTATAATCATATTTTGTGATTCGAAGTGGTGATATTCAGAATAGAAATGTCTCTGGAAAAGTTGACCATAGATTATCATTTAGAGAAGTTGTTTGGCATCGAAGGATCGAGTGACCCTCGGACTAACAATTTGGCGACATTTTACTGTAAAATATGGTTAGTCGCTTTATTTTACGCTGTTCTTTCGCCATTATATTTAAAATGGTTGCCTCGCTTTAAGAAAACTAAAGGTAAATATCAACCAATGGAAGCTTTCATTGTCATTTATAATGGTTTCATGTTTGGCTGTTATGGGACTGGAGTTGCTGTCGCTTATTGGGCCACCAATGGACTTAACGACTTTTTCGATTGTACTCCAATTGATAAGAACGCCTCCGATCCCAAGTCAATAATGATTATTTTGATGGGAATAATTTTGGTTAATTTGAAAATGGTTCGCTTCTTTGAACCTTTAATGTATAAAATTGCTGGCAAGGAGCCTCCATTTTCAGGCATCTTAACGATTGACGGAATAATAGTTCATTGTCTTGCCATGTTGGCCATCAAATATCAGTGCGGAAATTTTTTCACAGCTGCAACTTTCCTCGAAGGTATTGCCATGGTTTTGTACTATGCTCATCAAACACTTAAATGTGGTGGTTTCATTCCTGAATATTATCTAACTTGGCATCATATGAACATCACTTTACAAATACTTGTACGTTATGCTGCTTATAAACACGCTGTTTGGGGATTTGAAAACCCACAATGTAGTGATGGTGCACTTAGACCACTAATCAACATTCAATATTGGGGTGCAATATTAAGTCTTTGTTTCTATGTTCACATTTCAAGATTTCGATGATTATTCTCATTGTGGATTCGGGTCATTTCAATCGGAGTGAACTGTAAAATTTTAGACAATTTATTTTTGATTCGAGATGCTTCAATAAAATTTCGAATTGTGACCAAAATGGCTTTTGGTTTTTGATGCAACAATCAACATTATTTTTATTGATTAGCAAAAATATTGATAACATGATAGTGAGTATTTTCCTTTTTATCGTCTTTCAAAATGCCAACTTATCTCAACTTTAATTTATTTTTTCATCTTGAACCTTCCATTGTTAATTGTATACGAAATATCATTCTTGATCGGTAATTTATAATAATTGATATTAGATCTTGTATTTTGATATTTTGTTGTTCATCTCTTGATAAACTGGTGAAATAACATTCATAAAGTGATGATATTAAATACATTAGCATCAGTTAATCCTCGAGTTTCATTGAAACAATATTTTATTTCTTGTTTTGTGAAAAAACCATGAAAATGATCGCCACTCTCTTTGTTGTCTTTGCTTTTGCTTCTGCAGCTCTTGGTCAATGTCCAGTTCCCCCACCTGTTCCTGCTGTTGATATTAGCAAAGTAAGTTTATAATAATTTCATCTAGACAATGAGTTTGACTTTGATTATTCGATGTTTGATTTAGATTGCTGGTCTATGGTATGAAATAGCTGGGTTCTCTGCTATTGGTTTCATTGACAGTTATACATGTACCACTGAGGAATTCACTCCTCGAGAGGATGGAAACTTGAATATTACGATTCGTGGCAACGAACTTAAGTAAGTAAGCACAACAATCAAATTGTTTCTAATGCAAATTATTAATCCATCGTCTAGTGGATCAAATGTTACTGACTATGGTTTGGTCAAACGTACTGATAAACAAAATTTACTCGATATCTATTCACTATCGCCTGAACATGAAGGTAAATAATTTTCTTTAGCTTAACCAATTTGTATATCTCAAAGTGTGTTTTATTCATTTTTCAATATAACTAGTGATCAATATACAGACTCAGTTTTCATGTTAATTTCATTGAAACTAATATTATTCTTCTGTTTTCAGAGAATCCATACCCAATTATCTTCTATGTAGCCGATACAGATTACGATAACTATCTAGCTGCTTCCTTTTGCTATTATATTCCTGGATTAGACACAGCCAGTAAGTTTCTTTTGACTAACTGAAAGGTTCTTTATGCAAAATTGATTTGCATTAATATTATAATAAATCATCTTTCATCATTATCACAGAAGGTGGTATGATTTTATCCCGGACCAACACCATGGAAGCTGACAAGTACAACAAACTGGTCGATATGTTGGTTAATAAAATTAAGGTTCCTCGCGATTATATTTTACCAACAAGCCAAAAAGACTGCAAATATTGACCATTAATGATATCAAAACTTGAATAAAATTGAATTTTACTCTAATTTTTGATGACCTCAAACAATTGAATTTACTTACTAAATAAATCCACTTCTAAAGTACTATGCATGACAATAATCAATCTTGTCGATTTTCATAGAATTCATTTCATTTAAATAGTTTTTGAATAATCATAGAAAATATTTATTAATTTATAATAAGGTAGTGTAACCAAAAATTGCCACATAAATTGTTTTGCTAATTATTCAACAATAAGATTAGTTAGACAATTATTTTTTTTCAATTTTCATTAATTAAGTCCTAATAATATACCATAACTAGCTTTTGTTGCTATGTTCATTCTATTTCATGAAAAAATCAAAGAAAGCGATCTTTGTCAAATTTTTCAAGTTTTGATATTTAACATTATATTTTATGGGATTTTTTCCAACTAGCTGTTGGGTCTCCAATTTTTGCTTCATTTTGTTCTCTTGAAAACGATAACAAAAACGATAATATGTTGAATTCATTTTGCGGGAATTGACAATCCATTACTAAATAATGGAAATTGGAATTTTGTAACATATTGATTAATTTTATCGTCTATTAATGAAACTATCAAATCTATTTTATTCTATTCTATTTCCATAAGTTGAATGTAATGTTTCATTGGTAAAAAAGTAATCTAATTTATGTAGATAAATGTTCAGAAGAGTTGGAATGTAAAAACAGACGATCAAGATCTTTTATCACAATTGTTACTAAACAATGCTTAACAATTTGAATGAAGCAACGATCCAAGTCTCATTCTTGGACTTTATGCTTAGAAGTCTCAATTTGGTAGAAAGTTAGCAGAAACGTACCATTACCATGGCATTTATTTCCGAATTTTTGATGAGTCTTCTTTAAGTTTTAATTTCTTGAAAGAGTTAAGATGACTTTGCTTGACTTGTTTTTATGCTGCTTTTTCTCATCTTGAATTTGAGTCCTATCAATTGGATACCATTGTTACGATTCAAAATGATGCAATTAACTTTCAAATTTTGACTAAAATTTGCTTGTTTTTGATGCAACAAGCAATATTATTTCTAAGGATATTAAGTCATGGCCAGGGTAGAGGTCAAAAAGGTCAGATCAATGGTGTAAAATAGAAAATCAAGGAAGAGAAGTCTTGACCAGGTGGAGGTGACCCGTTACTATCATTATTATAACTCCAAACTGTGCTGGATTGAACTGTGTATTGAGCTTTTGGTTTTGAAATTCAGAAGCTCACATTCTTTTAGCTTCGAATTGACTTTTGCCATGAAAAGACGAGTTTTGGTCTAAAATTCACAATACTTCAAGTCAAGGATTATGCATGAAGAGTTAGCATGAGTCTAAAATACATTTCCATTGCTCTCAGTACTTCAGTCCTTCACGTACTTATCTTCAACTATTATGATTCCCTCTCATCATTTTATCTCTGAAATTCTCCAACTTAAAATGGCTTGCATCAAATGAACATAATCTAGATTCTCTTACCTAAAAATACACAATTAACGAGAATTGTTTGTTTCATTTTAGCTGTTTAACCAGAAATGATATTGCTTATCGAATTGTAATGTTTTAAATGGATGATTCCCCAACAATAATGATATGATAGTGAATATAATTTTCATGCTCTAAAAATTGACAATAACAAACTCATCTTTAATTTAATTTATTTTTCCCCCTTTGGTCCGTTGTTCATTGTTTGAAAAGTATCATTATTGATCGGTAATTCCTAGTAAATATTTTGTGCTTTATCTTGGATCTTGTATTTATCTTGGATAATCTCTTGATAAACTGGTGAAATAAAATATATAAAGTGATGATTTTAAACACATTAGCATCAGTTAATCAACAAGTTTCATTGAGAAAATATTTTAATTTCTTTTTTTGTGTAAAAACTATGGAAATGATCGTCCCTCTCTTCGTTGTCTTTGCTTTTGCTTCTTCAGCTCTTGGTCAATGTCCAGTTCCTCCACCTGTTCCTGCTGTTGATATGAGTAAAGTAAGTTTATAATAATTGAATGTTTTTCGCTTGACTGAGTGTTTGACTTTATCCATTGATTTGATGTTTGATTTAGATTGCTGGTCTATGGTATGAAATGGCTGGGTTATCTGCTGTTGGTTTCACAGAAGCTTACTTATGTACTACCGACGAATTTACTCATCGAGAGGATGGGAACTTCAATTTTACAATTCGGGGAACCAAACTCAAGTAAGTAAACACAATTTCTTGATTTTAGTTGTTTGTAATGCAAATTATTGATCCATCGTCTAGTGGTGTAAATATTACTGACTATGGTCTCACCGAACGCACAGATGTTCAAAATTTACTCAATATCTATACGCCTCCAGGTAAATAATTTGACTTATCCTTACCAATTTGGTATATCACAAAGTGTGTTTTATTCATTTGACAATGAACAAGTGACCATATACACACTCATTGTCTCTATTATTTACATAAAAAATATTAATTGTGATAATGTTTCTTGTATGTCCAGATAGTCCATACCCACTGGTCTTTTATGTAGCCGATACTGATTACGATAACTATCTGGCTGCTTCCTTTTGTTACTGTGTTCCTGGAATATTCACCGGCAGTAAGTTTCTTTTGCCTAAATAGAAGGTTCTTTATGCAAAATTGATTTTCATTAATAAATCAACTTTCATCATTATCACAGAGGGTGGTATGATTTTATCCCGGACTAACACCATGAGTGCTGACAAGTATAACGAACTGGCCGATATGTTGGTCAACAAAATTGGGGTTCCTCGCGATTATATTGAACCAACTAGCCAAAAAAACTGCAAGTATTGAACAGTTTACCATCAATGATAAAACTTGATTAAAATTTAATTTTCACTGTAATGTTTGATAACCTTAAACAAATGAATTTGAATGAAATATGAATAAATAGATATTTCATTACATCGAAGGTAGTTATTATACATTAATAGTTTCGTATTTTCAGCATCTTTTATATTTTGGATTAAAATTATAGCAAAAAACAAATTAGCTTATCGACTTTCTAAATTAATTTCAATCTGTTGAAAAATTCAATACAAATATCGGTTTGAACTTATTGGTGAGTAAAGAGAATAACAAGAGCAAGCAATAGTAACTGAAGTAAAGTAACAGATAGTGTGACTAGATTTTTAACGGCACCTTAAATCTCATTGTTTACAACTTCATCAATGATCAATCATCATTTTTGTTGCGATGTTAAGCTGAATGATGTTAGCGAAACAACACAAAAAGCTTTATATCGGTATGATGCTTCATGGAAAGAAGTATTTACATGTAGACAAACCATAGTTGATTGTTGGAAACATTTCGATTATAATTCTGGAACCAGTAGTGATGTTAATCTCGATGAAACTGTAAATTTATTGTCGATTAGGTGTATTCATAACTGTGTAAACACATGAGCTAATTGAAAAGTAACTTTCGATTCCGTCAATCACCTTGAATAAAATCAGCTAAACTGTCACTTTCTGGTTACATTGAGAGGTAAATTAACAAAGAAACTTGTGAATACATTTTTTATGTTTGAATTTGGCGGTAAGAAATTCGTAACCAGCAAGTAACCGGTTATTAGTAACTGGATACTAACCAGAATAGTGTGTAACCAACGTATCTCTATACTTTTATGACACCTGTTTGTTTACAATTTAAGTGAAATCTGTTTAATTACTGTACTGGTGTTGGCATTTGTCTTTAAAATGCTCCATTTTATGCTTTTGTTTAGCCGTCAAGGTAAACTTCGTCTACAAAAATGGTTTGTTCCCCACTCGGACAAAATGAAGAAGAAAATAACCCGAGAATTGATGACCAATACATTATCAAGAAAGGCCAAACATTGCAATTTTATTGAATGGAAAGATTTAAAAATCGTTTATAAACGTTATGCTAGCCTTTATTTTCTCTGTGGAATTGAACAAGGGGATAATGAGCTTATTTGCCTGGAATTGATTCATCGTTATGTTGAGCTACTGGATAAATATTTTGGCTCTGTCTGTGAATTAGACATAATATTTAACTTTGAGAAGGCTTACTTCATCCTTGATGAGTTTTTGATTGGTGGTGAGGTTCACGAAACAAGCAAAAAATTGGTCCTCAAAGCTATCAGTAGCCAAGACATGATACAAGTAAGATTTTTATCATAACCAAACAGGTTAATCATTACTAAACTTATTCTCATTTCATTTCAGGAGGAAGAGATTCCACAAGGTTTCTTTGAGGATCAAGGCTTAGGATGACTAGAGCGGCCAAATTTTCACCATGCAAATAGATGAAAATTTTTGTGGAAGCCATCGTTTCACCAATCGATATTTTAACTAATTATTTTAATAATTTAATAGAAAGTATTGGATAAATCGAGTTTATCTTATTTGTTATTACATTCCAAATTTTCAGCAACGATTTCTGGAGATCTTAACATTATTGCTCTCTAACTGTATTTTTGATTTATGCTACTTTGGTTAGGTAGCATTATTTATTAAAAGATGTTTGATGATATATTATTTTTTACGATTAACTCAATTCTCGTCCAAAATTCAATGTGTAATTAAGAAGTGCAAACAAGTCAAATGAATATTTGCAATGAATAGAATTCAAATTACTAAACTTATTCGTTGTAGTTTATTTTTTGATCGGTAAGAGTTTAATTAATACAAAAAAGTTACATGAATACATATGTTACACAAATATTTAGGTTTGAACAATTCTGTTGAATTTGTTAAATATTTGAAAAAATGAATGAATTCTTTTAAATTGTAAGTTATTGAATTATGGGCAACTCTAATGTTCTTAACTTGAAACTTCTTCGTTGAACTAATTTACATTGTTATTACTTTAATTTGCGTATGTTGCAAGCATTAACAGTGTGAATATCAATCTAATCATATTAAAAACGGTAAACCTAGAGAGATTGAAAAATAAATCTAATCCTATTAACACACAAATAACGTCAATTTAGTTTTAAAAATGATTTTGTGACATATTCACCTACACGACTTAAAGTCAATTGTTTCTTATCAATAATTTCCCGTCCTGTCCATCATTGGGGTTGGACTGAATACAAGCATTTTATTTGAAAACAAAGCTGATTTAAAGTTAAATATGAAGCAAACTACAACAAAGAGACAGTCCAAGTTTGATATTAAGTTGATTCTAATAACTTCCCACATTGATGTACAAAATAACGCATACGATAAAGTGAATGAATGAAAAGACAAAAGGATGAACACGGTGACAAGGAAAGAAAATTAATAAAATCAAGTTTTCAATCACAGTTATTCAATTGATCACTTTCTAACTCTGTTCTCTTCAAGTTGCCGATTCACTTTTGTTTAACAATCATGATTCTCCATTTCAGTTAAAATATTTGGTAATTGTCTTGCAACTTTACTATAATCATATTTTGTGATTCGAAGTGGTGATATTCAGAATAGAAATGTCTCTGGAAAAGTTGACCATAGATTATCATTTAGAGAAGTTGTTTGGCATCGAAGGATCGAGTGACCCTCGGACTAACAATTTGGCGACATTTTACTGTAAAATATGGTTAGTCGCTTTATTTTACGCTGTTCTTTCGCCATTATATTTAAAATGGTTGCCTCGCTTTAAGAAAACTAAAGGTAAATATCAACCAATGGAAGCTTTCATTGTCATTTATAATGGTTTCATGTTTGGCTGTTATGGGACTGGAGTTGCTGTCGCTTATTGGGCCACCAATGGACTTAACGACTTTTTCGATTGTACTCCAATTGATAAGAACGCCTCCGATCCCAAGTCAATAATGATTATTTTGATGGGAATAATTTTGGTTAATTTGAAAATGGTTCGCTTCTTTGAACCTTTAATGTATAAAATTGCTGGCAAGGAGCCTCCATTTTCAGGCATCTTAACGATTGACGGAATAATAGTTCATTGTCTTGCCATGTTGGCCATCAAATATCAGTGCGGAAATTTTTTCACAGCTGCAACTTTCCTCGAAGGTATTGCCATGGTTTTGTACTATGCTCATCAAACACTTAAATGTGGTGGTTTCATTCCTGAATATTATCTAACTTGGCATCATATGAACATCACTTTACAAATACTTGTACGTTATGCTGCATATAAACACGCTGTTTGGGGATTTGAAAATCCGCAATGTAGTGATGGTGCACTTAGACCACTAATCAACATTCAATATTGGGGTGCAATATTAAGTCTTTGTTTCTATGTTCTTGATTTATTCATCAATGGCCAAACTCCGTACGTAATTGAAGAAGACGAGAATGGAATTGTTCACCAGAAGAAACTGTGATCAATGTTGATTCATAATAAAGTTGAATACTTTTTTAAAAATGAAATTGATTTGCCAATTTTTGTTCCCTTCCTAAAATTGAAGATCAAGTTTCGAGTTGTAATTTCGAGATCAAATATTGAGAAATACAGAGAACGAAATGATTTGAAGCGTGATTTAATTTGAGTAAGAAAATCGTTTATCACATTTTTGCAAAGTTACAAAAGTGCGTCATCGTGTAATTCACGCGACGCTTGTCAATAATTTTTGGATAAAAATTGATTTTTTATGGACAGTGATGGACACTTTTAGCTAATTTCTTAAAGAAATATTACAAATTAGTTTACACTTAAGTTTTAGATAAAGGTCTTTTTTTAAAAGCAAACCTCTCCAACAAAGAAATTGAGTTTTGAATGGATTTAGTTTCTGGTTTCTTCTCTTGTGGTGGAGTGACCTTTATTATTGGTTCAGCTAGCTCAATAGAGCTAGTCAATGGTTGGCTGGATGATTGTGAAGATGACTGAGATGATTGAGATGATAGTGAAGATAATGTTGATAGTGTTGAACATTCAGATGAAGAATTGACAGATGACTGACTTGAACTGATAGATGGTTGAGAGTCGGGTGGAGTAGGTACAGTAGGTGTAGTGACTACTTTACTATCTTCAACAGTTACATCCTCAAAATAACTGGCATTGAAAGAACACAAGAAAGAAAGTTTTTTGCGTCTTTTGTCCCTTTCTTCGACAATCTCATCAAATGTCTTGTTGGCTAAATCATCTTCATCTTCTTGCATTGAAAAATGACGACTTTTCACAATACTAATGTCATCTGCTTCTTCTTGCTTGAGTTGACGATAACTATCTATTAAGCTGGTATCGATGTTCATTCTTTTTGCACTAGGAGTTGGTTCGGTTGAAGCTCGTTTTTGAGAAAGTGAAGGAGATTGAGAAATGAATGAATCTTCTTGGGAAAGTTGAGTTGAGTTTAACTCCGAAACATTGGATTTTCTTGTAAATCGTAATTCGAGTGGATTAAATTCTCTGGGCTGGAATTTTATAGACCAAATGGAATCATCTTTTTCATTATTAGAGTATTTAAAATTAGCAGGAACGTAACTATCGACGACTTTCATTGTTTTTACATCCACATTCCCCAAAGCCCATTGAAGAGCCAAATTGTCATCGAATCTTTTCCCTGCATAATCAAGATCTTGTGGATTGACATTATCGTCATAAGGGTTCAATGGCACCAATTTACGTTCAAAAGGACAGAATACCGTTTGATATTTGAAAGTATTTTCTGCCCGTAGAAAGCCTTCGATATATTCCTTGTCAACCTTTAGGCCCTTCATCTTTAGGTATGATGGTAGCTTTGGCAGTGCTTTTCGCATGTCCTCATTCATTGTTACACCGAAAAATTTTTTTGCTTTCTGTAATCCTATACCAGGCAAACTCGGGAGATAATCACATCCTGATAATATACACATTCGTCGAAACTTTTCAAATTTAAAATTTCGGGCTTTAGGACCAAGACAATCTGATATTTTACTTCGACGTATGAGAACTCCTTTACCAAATTTATCAAACTTAACCAAAACATAATCACATTCAAAAAGAAGAAGATCTGAATCTTCAGTTATCACAAAATGTCCAACCTTTTTTCTCATCAAATACCCAATTTGAGCATCGGCTTCATAAGGAGCAACAATATAATCGATTCCACGCTGTCGACAGGCATTGATTAGTTTTTTAGCCATCTCAGGAGTAATGTCTATGCATCTTTTCATCATTTCGCTAGCTTCTTTCTTATTGCCCTCCAAGATAAGCTGCTTAACCTTTTCTTTGGTCTTCTCACGATTTCTGTTAAGAAAAACAATAACTTTAGTTTAGCAAGGTAAAAAAGGTTTACTATAAAGAAAAACAGGATTTTTGAAACTCATGACTCTCAAAAGTTGGCAACTTAAGAATATTCATGATCCAAAATTTGTATTCAAAATCATGTGATAACAAAATTAAATAAAATACATACCTTCGACGAGCATCTTCTGTAACTTTCTTTGATGGAAGATTCAATCCATCAAAAACTAGGATACATTTAATTCCAATTTTTTTAAGGGATTCAACTTTATTTAAACAATAATCAACATAATATGAAGTGTCTTTTTTATTAAATATATCATCACTACAGCCATACACAGCCTTGTGAAGCCAGCAGTAAATATCAACGAGAGCAACACAATTAGTTAATTCTTCAATGTTGACAGACATGCTAGCAGAGTTCAGAAAGGGCAACAAACCTTGTATACCCATGTTTAGGTTAACACAAAAGGACAAAGAGAAGAAAAATATGAAGGGACAACACTAATTTAAAGTATAAAAGGGTGAGGTTAAACAGATGATGGGATTCAATAATTTAGATCTTAATGTTAATAAATTAATTACAATTAACACAAATAATTAAAGAAACACATTACACAGACGACACATTCCCTCCAATACAAACTTTGAATTTGAAAGAAAGTAGTTGTTTTGTAGTTGCTATGGATTTAGATTCTTTTTGAACATCCAGTTTGTTTTGGCGCTGCCTTTGATTTGAACACTATATAATTAAAATTCATTAAAATTACTTTAATTAGAATTACAATCAATTTAAAATAAAACTGGAATGAATTAACAAAAGTAAACATGCAAAATCAGAGGCTTTCGCAAGACTGCTCAGTGAAAATAGAGTTCAACGAAATCGCTTTCAAGCTGTGGCTATTTACTTTAAACTCTTCTCTGCTATTTTCAAGGCAACAAATTGTTTGGTCAAATAGCCTGGTCTTTACATTAAAAAATTCACCAAAGCTATCATTCTGATCATAATTCATGATATGCGGGTTCCACAGTCTATTGTTAATGTTAAAATGGGAATATAAAGTACAAGTGCAAGACCTTCAAGAGTTTAGAGGTTGAGCCTTTACATGTATAGTAAGATGAGTATTAGTTTAATGATTCACAATCTAAACATTACGCGCTTAGGATATTTTTCCGGAATCGAAAGATCTTTTGCTCATATTTCAAGATGAGAAATTTGTATGTCAGATGGTGAAATTTGAGAAGCTTTAATTCATTACATTACAGTGCAAGATTTATAGAGTAAATAAAATGGACGTTTGGATATCTGAATACTTTCAATACTCCAATAAAGATCGCTCTTTAAATAATGAGATAAACTGCAGTGCTTTTTTTGAAGATATGGCCAATCCAGATAAACGTTGGGCTCTTTACGACGTAGATTTTACCACCAGAATTATTGCTCAGGCAATTTATGTTCATCAGTAAATGCATTTCAGAAGTGTTTCCAATTGCAAATTCTGCAGTGCAGAGATTAAGCTTGTGACAATCCCCTTTTTCTTATCATTGATAGGAATGCTTCAATATTTTCGCATATCTGTTATCAAGAGATACTCTAACTCGTCTTAATTCTTTGTAGGAATGTTGATATTTCACTGAAGCTCTAAAATTGGTTAGTTTAGTTCAGAGCTGTTCATCTTGTGAAGGTCACAAGCAATTTGAATTGATCAATTGCTGTTATCATAAAGGTTAAATCAACAGAATGATGCATCTTTTCATCAGGTGATTGCTTCCATTATTAACAACAGCCTCTCTTTGTTTCAATCATGAATCCTGGATATTTTGAAAAAAATATGATGAAAGAAAAATAAGTTAAAACATGTCAAGTAAATGAAAATGAGGAACATAATAGACACCAAAGTTGGCACTTCAAACAACAACTGACTCCAAAAATTGTTATTGTTGTAATTGATGTCTCGTGATAAGAATTTTCTTGAACTTACCTTTCCTCACTTATCTATTTCATTATACGTTTCAGGACAAAAAAGACATCACACTCTAAACTCGGGGTGTGATTGGATTGCAAGATTTCATTGTCCATAATCAATAGAAGCATCAATACGATTCAGATTTTACGCCATCAGTGAATCACTGTTAAATAAGGAAATAATGATAGGAAGTAAAATAGCGAAAGTTAAAAGATATTGTCTAGGTGTTGACTTTTAGTAAGGCTTAAGATGATTAAACCAAGGTAAGCCTATCATTTCAATAAAACAATTAGTTATTATAATAAATATTTCCAGTAATAAATTAATTAACTTACATGTAAACATTTGAATAATGATACAATCAATAAATGGAATTCCCTCCAATCCATAGTTTGAAAATGAGATTCTCATAACCACGATCAGGATCACATGACAGTTAAACTTCCATAAGATTGAACATCAGATGAGAAAGCAATAACTAATCCATAAATATCTCTACCAATGAACATTGAGCCTTAATCAAGTTAAGGTTAATCAAATGATAATAATAAGAGCTAATGATTAAGAAGACTGCCCTTTCTCTGTCTCTGTCTACATTGTTTACAGAAACAGTCATGAATTTACGTGCCTGCGCGTATCTAGCGTATCTATTTAAACAGAAGTCAGAGCAGCTTTTTACTCACACGCATTTGGTTTCCTGATGAAGAAGAAAGCTCTTAAATCTTTGCTCTATTGTGATTTAGATCCTAATTATCAGTTAATTATTTTAAACTTATTTTTATTTGAGTTAATTTTTTGAAAATCTCATTGATCCTTAACACTTGTAACCCTTATTTGAATTAAATTGGTTTTGTTTTCAATTGAAAATATGGGTAAGTAAGAATTGAATGTTGCTTGCCTCAAGCTTCTCCTCCCTTTCTTTTAGATTTTATGTCGACTCTTTCGACTCTCTTTCATCTCTTTCTTCTCTTTTGTCTATATCTTTCTATATTTTGTTTAATTCATTTATCCCTTTGTTTCCATTATTTCTTACAGAGACGATGAATAGTAATCGGTGTATGCCCAATTTTCAACTCAAGTCGTCAATGCACCTCGGCGAGGGGCCTCTGTGGTGCTCCTGATGCGCCCCACAACACTGCAAATAACATCACCCTAATCGAAATAGAGGTGCGCAGTGGTGTGGGGAATTTACATTCTCCTTACCAGATAAATAACCTTGAGAAAGTGTTAAAGGAGACAGAAGATCATCCAGTTTGGTTGAAATTTATATTCAACACTTTGGATCATGGCAGAATTGCATTGGATTCTATTTTATGGTCTGGAAACCTCTACTTAGGAGCTAAGGCTAATCTTATTCAAAAAATTTCCAAAGAGGAATTTGTTAACCTTTTAGAGCTTGCGGAAGAGGATCTCAATTGTGACCATGTTATTCTTTGCATACCCAAGAAGGAACCTGACAGAAACCTTATAGTTCGTACCTTCATGTACTTTGGTTTCACCTTATTGGCACCCAATAATCAACTGATACCTGCCGATGCAAATTCTGATGACTTATACATGGCAACAAGCTTCAATTAATCTGATTGAGCAAATGAAACAAAAATTATTCACTTAAAAGATATCAAAATAATTTCTTCTGATTCTCCTTACTTACACTTATATATATAATTCATTATACTTTACATTTTTTTCTTTCTACCACACACATCATTGTTATCCTTCCAACTTATGTTGAAATTTGATTAAACGAATAATTCAATCGCCAATTATTAATTAACAATTCAAATTGGATATTAGCTTGTATTTTTCAATTCTCATACGTTGCTATTGAAGACAATTTTAGACAAGAAAAGCTCAGTCACATGATGAGATTTATACTGATATTTGGAAAGATAAAGATGAGTGTTGAAAAAAACAGGTCATACTATTAGATACGAAGCTAACCAGTCATGGTTAATAAAGTGATCTCAATTAATGGTATTGAATTGAAGTCCTCAAAATGTGACGTGATTAAGCTAATCTTTGCATAGTTGAATGTCATTTTGTATTTTATTGCATTTAACTTTCACTTTATATGAAACTGTGAGAGTTGAATCAAAAATGGTATTGGAAATTAACCCATAAAATCGGTTAACATGCGTATCGATCAACAAAGTGATTTCGGTCCTTGTATTAAATAAAAGCAGCTAGAATCTTTTCCATTCGTCATTTTGTAATAAACGAACTAAAAATATGAATCTTGATTCACTTGTTTTTTCTTTTTCTTTTTCTTTCTCCTTCTCTTTCTATGTTGGTGTGAATGTACATATTGACAAGAATGATAATCATCAGTAATCAATGATAACAATAAAACTCAACGACAAATGAGGTCGATCATGGAAAATTCACAATGAGGATAATGATTCAGATATAATGCGGAGATTGGAAGAAGAAAGGAGAAAGGAGAAAAGATGATAAAGAGGTTAATCAACAAAACAAAGCAACAAAGCAACAGAGAGGAAGAAGTAAACAAACTGATTGAGGAAAGCTTACAAGTGGAAAGCAGACCAATGAGCCAATCAAAAAATGTGCAATGGTGTAGTTTGTTAATATTAGTGAACAAGATAACCTATGGTTTTATCTTTTGCAGAGAGTGTTATTCAATTATTTTTGTTTTATTTGTGTGACAATCAACCAACTATCAACAAGATGATTGTAGTTTCAATAGACAACAAATTACATCAATTCGGTCAAGGAGAACCGATAAGAAAGCTTACTATAGTTTGCCCGAAGAAGCTAAAGTTAAAGTAAAAGCTGGTTGCAAAGCTGGTGTTAAAGCTGATGATGGTGAGGTGACAAAGAAGAAAAGGAAACCGTGGATGAGGTTAGTTGTTACACGGTGAATGGAATCAGGTCTGGTTTCTGGTCGATTCGAGAATAAAGGTAAGCTGATAAATCTGGTTTGACAAGAGATAACAACCAAGTATCTAATCTCTCATCTTTCATGTAAAATAGATGGCTGTTGAACTTTCTGGAAAGCTGGCCCAATTCATGGAACCTTTGAGTTTAAACATGCGACAAATATGGCGATCACAATCATCCGAGAATAATAATTTTCTATGGAATACTCCAAGCTCTGATTATTTCTTCAACTCATGCCGTTGTCTGTGAAGTTACGGGATCATTGAGTATATCATTATTAGCCTCATGACATTTGGTTAGTCCTATGGTCCATGATAATGTAAGGATAGAGGCAATTTAGATTTTCTAAAATTCTCGCAAGTTTTACTACATTTGCATGCATATCCAGATATCGGTTATTAACATTATCGCAATTTATTAATTCTACTCTTTTTTTTATCGAATATTTCAGGGATCAATGAAGATGAGATCATAATATGACCAGCCATTTACTTTATATTAATGGTTCTGGTCAGCGTGGACCGAATCGTTCGTCTAGAGCATCAAGTAGCAACCAGAAAGACCAGAGACTGGTTAAAAACAAAAGTCCTTTTTAATGGCACAAAAATGAAGTTGGTGATACAAGTGTCTGGAGAGTTGATATTATCAGCTCAAAACCAGATGAAAGATGAGCTATGGATACGAGATAATTTCAATTAATTCATATATTTGTTCACTATGTACATGATTCTTATTCCAAGCATTCCTTGGTGATAATTTAACAAATGGAAGTTACCTGTTCTCCTAAAACACAAGGCAAAATCAGTTAGAATATTGGAGGCAACTTCTTTCAACGCTTGCCCAATCTTCAGGAATATGCTCCTGGTTTCATTGAAAAATCCATAAAGTCTAATGCAATAATGCTTTAAAGGTAACACTAACCTTAAACCCAAAAAAAGTGAAGTAACTTCAAGGCCTTGACAATGATTGATCAATTAATGGGCAAATAAGGTTTCAAATTTGAACTTATAATAAATGACATTAATTTGGCAAGAAGAATGGATATTTATTAGCAAAGTCGCGTCATTTTCAGTGGCTTTGTTTGAAATGATTATAAAATTATCTACTTGGAAACCCAATCATTTGATGAGCAGCAATAAGATTGTCTTTCCAAAATCTCTAAATTAATTGGAAGCTGTTGATTTCAAAGGTATGACCAAAGAGTAATATTACTCTTTAGGTATGACTGTATCAGTGGATAAATAGAAGACAAGAATTCAGTGTGTCTCCTTCGGAACATTAACCAAACGATCGTCAAGTTTCACCACCTGATTCCAGTCACAACAGAGAGAGGCTCATCAGCTAGTTAACCAGTCAATCAGGATATTCTTTGGCTGAAATAGATAAAAGAATAACAATTTTTATAAAAAATACGAAAAATAAGAGCAAATGAAAGAGTCGATGTAGTTCTTGATTACTTACGAGAATATCAGTAATCTGTATAATAACCAGAAAGCATAATTCGTTGCAGTATTGAAATTAATTACAGTCATCATTTAAACATCATGAAGAGGGAAAAGAAAGTGTAAGTTGTTTTTACAATAAATGAGGAAAGAAAGGCTTGATTCTGGTTGTGATTTTGGGCATTCAATTTCAAAGTAGACAGTTATTCACTAATAGCTGTTAGATTGGCTTATGGCGTGTTTCTTCAAGTTGATTGTTAGACAAATTTCCTTACAGTTTGCATACAGTTGAAAGCAGATATAATCAGAAAATTAATTAACAACAATTGATTGGTTTTTAGTCCAATTCCACTCAACTCGAAATGTTGCTTTAATCGATTAAATAATGCATTCAATCCAATTAGAGGTAATATCATTGATGTGATAAAAGTCAGGCTCATTAGACTTTTCACTCTTTTCAATATCCAAGTCTTGGTTTCAATAAGCAAACCCAAATTCAGTTATTCAATAATAACATGATGATGTTATTTTATTATAAAAGTATTAAACTGAAAGGTGTGACAAAAATTTTCATTGGCAAAATTAATTTAGGCATCCATCGAGAAACAATTAGCAAGTATTATGATTCATTGATTAACTAGAAGAAAAATTTTTCTTTGACAAAATGATCAACATTTTCTCGATGAACTGAAGCAATTCTGAGAGGTTTAGCGTAACAAGGAACTAATCAACTCAACTTAATTGACACTTCAATTGTTTATTATTTATCACTTGAATAGAGAAAAATTTTGAGGCAATTTTTCCGTTCGTTTCTTCATTTGATAGGAAAAATAAAACATAACCTCTTAACCAAATTACTTTTTCTGGTCTCAATCACTTTACCTGCTTACATTGATTGCTGATTACAACAATGAGAAGAAAGGTAAAGGTCAAAATAATAAATTTTGATAAAATGGTCAGAAAAATTCAAGTTATTGTTATAAAACATTTCGTTTATGATTCAAACAAATAATGAAATTTCACTTTATTCAAATTATTTGTCACTCTTTTGTTATTTTATTTACAATTGGCAATTCATCAATTTTGAGAATAAAATTTCTAATTGTCTTCTTTTCTACTTGTCCACTGATTCCAAGTCACCTTCATCAATTTTCCAGGTTAGTCGAGAGATCAACAGGCTTTTTACAGTTGATTTTTCCAGCTTTGAGCAGACAATCTCACCTGTCTATTGAAATTGCTAGGAAATGAAAGCGAAAGGCTTTTGCTTGTCTTATTCATTTTATTGATTGAATAAAATGAGAGTTGAATGACTACAACTTTGAGCCTGTTTACGATTTTCTTTGCTTAATAATCAAAATGATTGTGATGTTACAAGGCTGACTAGTCAAGCTGTCCGGATTGATGTTTAATGAGTGAGGTGATCAATGAGATCGTAATATCGTTTAGGTTATTAAAGGTAAACTTATCAAAGCATCCAAACAAAGACACTTTCAATAAATTTGTTGCTACAAAATTCAGGAACTAAGTTGGGGAAGAACTCTTCATATCCGATGTGAGCATCGGTTCCAAAGAGTTTCAATAGACCTCGGTTAACTTGGTGAAGTTTATGATGAGTGATTGTGTCTATAAAGCGAATGTAAGAAGGTCGAAGGCAACTTGGTTCAAGTACGAGAGTGACAAAGATGATGTTGACCGAGGCTGCATAGAGCAATGGTACTAGAGTATCAAATGAAGGTGCATGAGGCATGGAACAGACTTGCTGTAAAGCCCATTCTAAGCACTTCCAGGCTATGTTGATGGCAATCATTGGGCTTGGATAGTGAATCATTGCAGGACCAGACAGTGCTCCAGCTACAGCCGAATGCCAAGGTTCATTGGTGCCAGTGATCCAGCGAAGAGAGCACCGAGAGGAACGATAGATACCAGTGAAAAGAGATGCGAAAAGGCAAAGCTCGAGTTTCTTACGATTGGTAAAAGCTCTTAAGATAAGACTTGGATCACGACGAATGGAGGAAATTTTAAGACCAGCAACTAATGCTGCTTGACCAAACCAAAGGCCCAAAAAACTGGTACCAAAACCGTTGAGGCTGTAAAGCAGACAGGATGAGGAATGACCACAAGTTGAATGTTTTCCTGACATGATCCAAGTCGACAGTTTTTTCATCAAAACTAAAGGCGAGAAACTACTCGGTGGACCAATCTGTTTGACCAATAGACTTTTATTTGTCAATTCATTCGAATCATCACTTAAAGATTTAACTCGATTGTTATTATCGTAATAATTGTTGTTAATCATTTCAGTATCCTTTGTTTTGCCTGACTCTATGGCAGCTGTTGATTTGGATGATTTAAATTCGGTTCGACCGAGTATTAATTTCAAAGCCATACCAATTGGATCTCTACGAAGTCCATAACGAGAAGCAATGTACAGAAGCAATGAGATTGAGACTGTAAATAGAGCCACTTCACCTCTTGGTAAAGGTCGAACATAAGAGTGACGAAGAGCAACTCGATAGATACATTCAGAGGCAATATTGGCACAGTAAAAGGCTAATGCTTTACGTCGACCAGGATGTTCAATAAAAACGGCCAAGTAGCTTCCAAGGAAGGCTGGAATAGCGGCAAAAAGAGAAAAGTAAAATTTACCCGAAACTTTTCGCAAAACACAGACAAGGGTAAACATGGCGAGACAATTGAAGCCCAGAAAAGACGAAGATCTCGTAATGTTCGCCAATGTAGAGGTCAACATTTTGATATTGTATCGACGCTGGAAGGCAAAGTTGGCAAAATATAAAGCTGAATACATTCCAATTGCCTTCTCTGTAACATCCAGTGAAAGATCAACAGCTGAAGCTGAACATGAAGGCTCCCAGGCATGGCCAATCTCGTAACAATTGTATGGCAATGACCATGGGGTCATCAACAATTTGTCAACCAATTTACTCAAAACAGAAGGCATAATTGAAGTTTAAATTTACAACAAAAAAACGAGACTCTAAATGGTCAAAAACAGTAGAAAAAAGGATTTTCACTCGAGTTTATTAGCCATAAACAGTCAACCCTGGAAGCAATATTGACATTTGACGAAATTAATAGGTGAAATGAGATGTAAATAGGAAATGGTGAGTTGATCAGTGAAGAATTGGAATGGGAAAATTAATCGAGAAATGATGGATAAACTTCAACATGATCGAGTGTTGATTGGTTGACTGTAAACTAACCAACAGAATGAAATATTTTCAATAATTAAACAATTTCCAGTAATGAATAGTGTTGACTTGAAACGCACAATAAAAATTGATGAACCATTCAATCGACGGGAATCGGTTTAGAGTTGAAAGACTAAAAAGTAAATCACAAACAGAAAAAGATTAAGACTTTAAAATAGCCGACAATAGAGTTATTTCATGGTAATATTTTCTTCTTTTTGACGAAAATTCATTTTCATCCAGCTTCAGGCTAATCTTCAATCAAAAACAGTGAAAAGCGAAAAGAAAAGAAAAGAAAAGAAAAGGTAAAAAGAAGTTCAGGTTTTGTTTTCAAGGTGGACCTAAAAATGTTGTTTTATAATGTTGTAAGGTTCATGATTGAACTTGAAAGTGAGATTCTGATTAGCAAGATAAAAACATAAATGTGTGTTCAGCCTTTGCTTTGCTCTTTCATCATTTTTGGTCTTATTACGATGAAGAGGATAAAAAAGGTCAGTCATTTAACGCTTTGAATCTTCAGGCCAATCTTGATTATAATTACAATAGCTTGACATTTACAATGTTTCAATCGATTGTAAACTTCAAATACTCATACATTGGATATTGAACTGTTCAGGGAAAATCAAAAGCTCATCTTATTGAGCCAATGTAATAACTGGATAACAATCATGTTCACATTTTTACGAGTTTATCTTCATGATTTACTTTTGCTTTTTCTTATCGACCTTTTCCAATAATTTTTAATTCTCATTACTTCACCAATTCGATATTATTCAATTCAATTTCAATTTATTTCCATAATTATCTGACTCTGAAATCATTATCTTTGTTTTCCCAAACCGTTTAACTGATTGACAGTTAAATATTTGAAAACAATTTGCATTCAATTCTGGTTTCTCTGTTTGTTCACACTTCGTCCATGGACATATCGTACCTTGAAAACGTCTCTTTTTCCCTTCGATTTGACTTCTCAATTTTATCAAAACAATGTGTCAGTCTGGAGATATAATGAATTGGATTTAAATTGCAAGTTTAATATTTTATTTTACTTTTCCTTTAGGTTTTTCGTTTTTGGTTAAAGTTTAGTGATTACTGAAATTTTACATTTTATATTACATAAGCAATTTGTGTTTTCATCCAAATTCAAATAGATTGTCAATCTTACAATTGACTTCAATCTGAAAGTGAAACAATTTACTTTACAATTCGATTCATATTTTTATTTGCACTTTTTTCCTTGTATTACAATTATAAGACGCCTCTTAATTTGACCTTTATTTGACCAGGTTTAATGAACGGGTTTCACTTTGCTCATTCAGTTTGTAATGGTTAGAACCAGTTTTGAAAGGTATCTCGATTTGTGTTTGTATCGACTGTCCAATTGTTGTTTGCATGAAAAATTGTTTGTTTGGCTTGCTGTTTGTTTTAAAAAGTTCAACTTGAAATGTAAAATGATGCTTAAAGTTGTCATTTATTGAAACACTTTTACTTTAAGCTGAACTTATCTAGACATTTATTTGTTTGTGAATTTTGTATTAAGAATCATTCATGTAATATAAATAGATGAGAAACAAGTTGATAAAGTTTTCCGTTAAATGTTTTCCATCTTCAAGGTTTTCAAGTTTCAAGACAAAATCTATGGAATAATCAATGGAAATGGAAAATTTTCATGGAAATTTTCTCTGACAACTGGTAACATCTTTTATGTGGTAAACAAATTGGATATTCAAAGTTGACCATCAAATAAATACCAAACTGTTATTGGATTTTTAGATTTAATTTTATGAAAATCTAGATGGGCTTCCGATGAGTTGATTCTGTGATATTTTGATTCGCATTTCGCATCTGACTCGGAACTCGCTATTTTTTGATTTATACCCCAATTACCATTAACAATTACTATTGCATTCAATTTTTCCTACCTTTGTTTTACTCATAAATTAAATACCCAATAATTTAGTGAAAGAACAATGTCATTGCAATCACAGAAATTAAACGTTCAAATAATACAAAGAAGAGATGTAAGCTGATCTGGAGCTTCTTTAGTCGTGGGCAAATTGTTCGTCGATCAAATCGGTCGTCAAATGTTTTTTCGTGTGCTTTATACGACCTAAGTGTTAGCGTGAATTTAAATTCAGATCTAGTACGATAATTTTCGTAATTAAGTTTTTGAGCCTAATCACAATTTTTTGCAATGAGTCAAAAGTTGATTTCCACCTGATTGAGACTGATGAGTAGTTTAATTATTTATCAATCAATAATTTGCAGTTTACAGTCAGGGTTAAGTTACTCAAATGGATCAGAGATTGTAAGAGATTGTTAAAAGTATAATTTTTTAGCGAAAAATAGTCGACTTAATGAAATTGTAATAGCTACCAACAGAAATCTGTTGATCTGTAATGATTTAGCTGAGTTTTTAAAGGCAACATTATTTTCAATGGAAACAACAACTCCATCTGAAACAATCATCAGTTGATAAATGTAGTTTGAAATCAACAGATTATCAGACAAAACACGAAACATCAACGATGTTGACCAAGAACATTGACCATTGACAATATATTTATCAAAAATTTGATCATCAATTGATATTGAGTTATTGGAAAACTCAATGGTCCCATTCACACTCGAAGATGCAAAATTGCAAATGAAATTAACTTGAAAACTGTCATGTATATATGAAATCATTGTCACCTCAGAGGTCAATCCAATCAATTGGAGCAAATAGCTAATTGAAGTTGATGTTTGAAAAGTGAAAACATGATTTTCATCTCCATAAATTTCATTGCAACACCCAAGAAACTGAACATGATAAAGGGAAAGTTCACTTGAATTGAAAGCAACAATTGAACTGTGATTTCCATATGATAATTGAAATGAATTAAAAGCATCATTGATAAAGTCAACGGGCTGCCAATTGAAAGTAGGCCAAACAATGTCAGAAGGTGTTATTATCCAGTTGCAGTACAAAAGACCATTGAAATAGAGCGATGATCCAGTATCATATTCAGTGTAAAAATATTCAACTGTGGCAACTGTTGATCCTAAAGACGATTTATGGCAACAATATGAAGTTGGATGATAATTATCTTTGTAACTTTGATTTGTTTTGTTGACTGTCAGTTGAATTGTTTGATCGTCAGAGGGTTTAATATCATAACCTATTAGGGTGATATTGAGATAATCAGGGAAACCAGATTGTGATTGAATTGCAGTGAATTTCACTTTAACCAGGCTTGATGAACAATCATTCGTCCAATCATTTGATAAACAATACGTTTTACTTAAACATTCATCATTACAAGTATTTTTAGATTCAACTAACTGTTGGTTAACACAAAGGAATAACACAAAAAATGAAGTTAACATGTTGAATAGTAGCTATGAATTGATTTTAAATCGGTTTTACTCGCAGATAAGTAACATTATTACAGTCTATCATTAGTTTCTTGTTATCAATTTTTTCCGATAAATTGAGTAATTAATACTGATTGAGTTAAGCAGATCATCCATATCAGAATATGAAATTGCACAACTCAGACTTCTGGGTCTGGCTAACAATAAGGATCAGCATGTTAAAAACAAATCGGGTATTTAAAGTTGACCATCAAATGAAATGTCAATTTGATATTGAATTTTTGGCTTTAACTTTTTAAACGATTTTCTTAACACTTACGAGGAATGATAATGTGGGCTGAAAGTTTATTCTGTGAGATTTTCGTTCGAATTTCCCATCTGAATTGAACCCTTCTATTTTTCGAGTTGCCAGGTTGAGTTATACAATAACGAAATAGGATAATCGTGAAGGTCGAATAAGAAAAGAAGTGCGTAAAAGAAAAGCAAAGCAACATGTCGACTAGAAAAAGCTTGATTAAACATATTTCTTTCGTACAAAATCATAGCATTTTAAAATTTCAAAAGCGTAAGGACCAGCCTCTGAAAATTTTCTACTAAAATATTTTGTGCATCGGCCACTGCGGAAAAGAAGCTCGTTCATGTGCAAGAAATAATGGGAAACTTATAATAATCACATGCAGCTACAATGTCATTAGCATCGTTTTATTATACACGCGGATAAGCTTGTTTAGTATCGATTTACATAAAAAAATCCTACACGCGAATATAATAGTGTGATATCAAAATAATTGATTAATCTGAAAATAAAAGTGGCTGATATTTAAATAGACAAATTAAAACAACACAATTGGCTGCTTCAATAAACAAGAAGATTAGTATAAAAGGATTTTCGATTTGATAAACAGTATCAGTTTCAGTTGAAATTTCACTAAGAGATTCACATATTTTGTGCGATTCTAAGTGTCCAAATTAATCACAAGTTCAATTCCCGTTTTAGCTGGTTCTGGTGTGACCGAACCAAACATAGCGACAAAAGAAACGGAAAGAACAAAAAGGGCGATTTAGAAGAGTGGCTCTTGTAAGCCGTTCTTTTTGTTCTTTTCGTTTCTTTTGTCGCTATCTTTAGTACTGTCACAGCGTCACTAGCTGAAAATTTTACGTCAAGAAAATACATTGTAGTCAAGTCCCAAGAAAAACTGACAATAACAAAGGTATTGTATTTTTTTCTAATTCTATGGAAACACAACTGATTTTGATTTTTCATTTATTTTCCAGTTTTTATTTAGGAATGAAACGGACAGCAACTTTGATGAAATACTATCTCAAAGAAATAATACACTTATCCTAATTGGTCTAGGTCCTTGATGCAGTTTCTGATTCAGACATCGGTGCAATGGATTAATTGCCGATAGTTCACAGTTCTGATTCATTTTTGTTTTGAAAATTAAAAATAAAACTCAATTATTCGCAATCATGTATATGTTATGTTGTTTCTAAACTTATGCTCTTCCCTAATTACATGAAAAACGATTTTCAAAGTAATTAATTGTCAAATTTCATCGATTCACGAAAATCTAGTCGGGTTTGAGGTTTAATTTCTCGCGTAATCAGCAACCTAAAAAATATTTTCAATCAAAAAATATGAAAAAACGAAGCAAAGATCTAGAAAAGTTGTTGCTCTACCCTTGCGCTAGGCATCTGGGAAACTTTTTCTAAAAAGGGAATCAGCTGCGAGGATTTTGCCGTAGCTTATGCAGAATTTGAATCATTAATCTGAATCATGGTTTTTTCTTTTCGTCAAATGGTTTATCTACAAAATGCTCTCAAAGTTTCTGACTTCAAACGCCGATATCTTCGTAACCATAAGTGATACAATGAAATGGTTCGATTATTTATTTTAAAAAATTATCTCTTTTTGAACATTTTGATAATTGATTTCAGCCAGATGCAATTTTCTATGGAGGGTCGAATTCCTCCTTGTACAAATCAAGCTTTTGGATGAATAAATGAATAATCTTAAATACATCCTGTATTACTAGAGATTATTGCACTTCAGTGATTTTTTAATTTGCTCTTACATTTGTATTTGCCGTTGCTAGTAGTATTCATTGTATGAATAGTCATATTTATTGGTGAGATCTTCTCCTATAAATATCTTCAAATGAAATGTACGACTCGCTCAGTTCAGTGTGGCGGGCACTATATCCAATTCTCTTCATCAACAGTGATCGAGCGATGAAATTTAAATGAGAACAACTTACAATTCATTACCGTGGACTGTCGAGATAACTGTTAGCTGCTTTGCGAAGCACTCGAGAAAGGTGCTGTGGCAGAAACAGAGTGAGAAACACCTGGTCGCAGATCCTTATGGTAAGCATTGAGCTTTTCCAAAATTGACTCAGGTATAGTGGAGCCTTTCTGTCCTTTCTCGTTATCGCAATCGACATAATCCAACTTGCACCATGGGAACTTCAGAGGTGGGTAAGTGCCCTTAGGAACAAAACCATCATTCGGTATTTGTTCATCGCGAATTCTGATTTTGCATGGGATGTACCAGGCCTTCTTATTTGGATATTTTTTTCCGATTACATGTTCTTTCAGATTTTTCATCTTTTTACAAGTAGCCTTACAGTAAACGCAACGAAAATGAATTGGGTTTGGGCATTGGGCATCAACAACGGGTGGTGAAGCACTTACCTCCTCTTCATCTCGAAGCAAGGGAGTGTATCGTTGCAACTGTTCCCATGGAATCTGATCTTCATGATTAACATCCAGCTCATCGTTATATATCCGATATTGACCAAAATCGATAACCAAATGTCTCCTACCACTAGGATCATAACCCCAACTCTTCGTCTTCCATGGTAATTCATTGCATTTAACTTGTACTCGCAGTCGCTGGTTCGGTTCGGACCTAAGTTGAGGGAGATTCGAGATTTGAATGGTTGAATTGGAGGTGTCGGAAAAACCTGGACCATCGCAATTGGGATGAACAGAGGGAACGAGGGTTGGACCAGAATTAGAAATGCTTGGAGCTTGTGATCCAAACGGTTTATTTTGGACAGTCTGAGAAAACGAAGAAGGAATAGTTGACTGAGAAGCTCCTTTATGGTCCTCTTCTGGGTCATGGTCTAAAAGAATGGAGTGAACCAAAGGAGAGGTGAAAAGAAAAGAATGTTGAACAATGGACAGGGAAAACTAGCTTACCTGCGAACTTAAAATAGTTGAAAAATGCGAATAAACTCATTGTCCCAGAGAGAACGGTAAAGTTGAGAAAAAATAGAAAAAAAGATTCCAAGAAACTGAGACTAAATAACAAAAATGAAAAATATTAACACGTAGCTAATAACACGTTTCAGACTCAAGGATGCTTCCATTAATATGATGGATTGCCAAATAGCCATAAAAAGTCAAAAGGTAAAAAGTAATCAATTTAAGATAACCTCTCTCCTTTTGTAGAAACAGCTAATCAGGATTACAGCAACCTAGCTTCACCTACCCATCATCTGTTTCCCTTTCAAATGCATTTCATCAAATTCTTAATGCTCGATAGGAAACGAGTGTTTTGAACAAATTGAAATAGGGCGAGGATTTGACGAAGATATAACACGAGTATTTGTACAACTGTATGAGGGGCAAACTAACGGACTTACAATAAGTTGTTAGTGAGACAAACATAAAATTGGGTTCTAGAAAAAGACACTGAATGCATTGACAAAAAACGAAAGTACGTTGGCCTCAGTCCTTTACGGAGACCATTCAGGACAAGGACTTTGAAAAAACTAGTAAAAGTGTTCAACCATATTCAAAATTAGTTCATGCGGTAAATTAAATACAGTTTGATTTTTTAATGGTAGGTGATTTTTTAATGGTAGGTGTTTTAATTCAGTTTACTTGTTATGATTTCCTGAATTATCATCTTCGTGTGATATCGTGAGCTTCCAATTATGTCATTTTCATTGTTCTTTAAAATTCTTATTTTCTCAGTAAAGTTGATTCACGGGATTAAAAAGCGCTCGAATTGGTAAATCAACTCATTAATCAACGCAAAATGATTGCTACGGGAATATCACTTGAGATTTAAGAACAAAAACCAAGCAGTTTGAGCCTTGGTCTGATCAATAAGTGACATGTTCACCCAATATCATGAATTCGAGAGATAATCAATTCTGTCCTAGTAAACGTTCAGCAATCATTTTGCATGAAATCAAAATAACAAACCAAGAATAAACCAGGAATATTGAGGCAACTGCAAACCCAAAAGCATAGAAAGCGCCATCTATTATCTGGTATCTCTACTAATACTTCCTAAAAGTTTTTATGTAAAGATGGTTTAGCACATAAAATACAATCAAATGGCTTTCATTTATAATGCTCACGTACCCATAAATTTGAATTTAAACAATTGAATGTGTTGAAAAACTTTATTGGATCTTTCAATAAGCATTTGTTAAAATAAGCGTTAATATATTAAATGCACTTTAATAAGGTTTAAAGGGATCTCGAGATTGAAAGTCAGGTTAAATCGTATGCTGTTAGATGCACGTAAACCTTGTTGTTATTGCTGTTCAAAAATGCTTTTTTTCATGGCAATGAGTGGAAAGTCAATCAACAATAACATAACAACAGCACCATTCAATCAATTTGTTTGGTAAACAACAATTTAACATTAAAGCTTCATTGAGTTTAAGTTCACTTGAGTCTTTACCTGTTTTAAGATAATTCATTTTAAAGGGTAACATCATTGGGATGATCAGGTAAACACTGTCAACATTGTCATTAATATTACCATCATCATTTCACCTCACTCTTAAAGCCAACTGAGGAAGGCTAATATTGTGCTCTTTGTTTACTGTGTTCATCAAAAGAATAAAAATAAGGATAATTATCAGGATCGAGGGTTAAATCAGAGTTGAAGGATGCAGTTATATGAATTCTTGGATAGCTCGACATAATGAAACTGTCAATGAATATAAAAAAATTAAAAAATCATAGCTTTGAGCAACCTTTTAATGACCATTTAACTGGAATGCCATTCTACATTGATCTTTTCAATTTGACAAAAGGACTTCCTTTTTTTAGATTTTCATTGTGATTTGACTGTAGTGTTAATTTAACGAGCTTCAACTATTCTTGCTAGTTGACTAACAAAAGTAGCTCAAAATTTCCCTAATCTGATGATTTATATTCAAACTCTCGTAATTATATTCATAATCGTAAAAGTTGTTACTATTCGTTCTTACCTTAGATTCCTTCAAACACAAATTAGCATCATTAGGCTTATTAAAATAACCTAACTCATGTATTGTTATATCATCATGAGTTATTACACAGATTCGAGGTCTTTATCCAACTTATTAATGCAAAACGAATGAGCTTTTCACTTTTTAATAGCATGAATACCGACAAATGAATTGCTGAGTTAAAATCAATCTGTCAGTTTCAAGTACAAATATTGTTGGAATCGAAAAAATTTAAATTTTGCTTAGTTGAAAATGGATTATCAAGTTTTAATCAAGTCATTCTTGAGTGTCATCTTAACAGGTTAGTTTGTCTGAGATTCAAATGATTTCTTACAATAATTGTGTTTCTCTTTTTTCAGTGACAATTTTCCCATCTTCAGTATCTTCATTACGAGAAATTGAATTTTTATCAAGCTTATTCCAAGACAGATATGGTAATGCAATACCATCAGAAATCTTGAATGGAGTTTTGGATCGAAGAATGGACAAAATCAATGAACTCAAAGAAAATGGTAATTTGACTTCAGAAGAGTTGGTTTTTTGTGATTTTGCTATTCATTCATTGGAATTTATGCAAGTTTTGTTGAAATCATCACAAGAAACTGAACATCTGGCTCACGATATTCTGATCAAGTCTTACATGGACATCGTCCAATCGTTTCATTCCCTCTTCAACGATACAAAAGTGCCTTCAATAGAGTATGAATCAGTTGAAAGTTTAAATAAAGTGATGAATGAATATTCAAACCTCACCAACTATCCAATGGAAAAGATGAAGATGCTAATAAAAGATTATAAAAGTGACTTTAATCTGTTAATCGACTATAGAATGGATGAGAAACGCAATTCGGCTCTACTCATTGATGCTTTAGAAACGCTCCAATGTGAAATTGTCGCTACAGCTGAATCGGATGATAAACTAAAAGGATTCAAACGGAGAAGTGCTAAACAAGAAACGATGAGAATTGCTTGGCAGCGATTTGAGTTGATTGTGAAAGTATTTAAGAAGAGATTCATCAACTGAATTCTGAATCAAACAATCTAAGCTGAATATCCGCAGAATATTGATAGAGAACTGCTAATACAAATTGTAGTTCCAAACTATTGTGTTGTTCAGTAACATTATTTTTCATCGATTTTACTTGCAATTTATTTGCATTACCTGAGTCTTTAATTTTTTGCTTTTAGTTCTTTTTCTTTTAAATGCATAAATGAATTTCCGCAAATTGTATGGAGTAAATCAGTTATATCAGAATAAAATTGAATAAACTTGTTCTTTTGAATTTACTTACGATTATTCAATATTGTTCATTATAAATGTTATCGTTGTTCAGTAGCACAAGAATTCAACTCAATGAGATGAATCTTCAAGTGAAGTATTTTAAGCAATTAGTACATTATTATTAGAAATGATTCGGTGATGGACTTGAAGATATATTTTACGTAATTTCAATTAAGATGAGCGAGATTGATCTGATTGCATCTTCTAATGAAATCTTCTAAAAGTATAAATGCTATTAAATGAATTGATTATTCTGTGTCAGTTTAATGTAGAAAAGTTTTCATCGTAAAATAATATTAATTTGACTCTCGTTCAATCGACAATGAAATATACTTTGATCAGTTGCTCTCTTACAATAATATTAACAGGTAAGCTGATTGAAATCGAAATGGTTTCTTTGAATAATTGTGTTTCTTTTCTCAAATCCAGTGACGATTATCCCATGTTTAACCTCATCATTGCGTGAAATCGACTTCTTGTCAACCTTATTCAAGAAAATACGCGATGATAGCATATTACCAACAAAAGTTTTCACTGAAGTTTTGAGGCGACGAGTGGACAAAATCAATTATTTCAAAGAAAGAAACAATTTGACTTCAGAAGAGTTGGTATTCTGTGACTTTGCTCGCCATTCGTTGAGATCGATGCAAATTTTATTGAATTCATCGTCAGATTTCGTTCGCATCAAAAGCAATTTGGTTAAATCTTACCATGACATTGTCGCTTCTTTTCATGCAGTTTTCGATAATAAACGAACGTTTTCTGTTGACTATGAGCCCGTTTTGCAAATAAACACTCGTAAGATCGGTAACGAACTAATGAGATATTGTGATTGTTATCCAGCTGAGGAAGAGACACCTTCTGCAAAAGCTGTTTACCCAAAGTTAAAGATTTTGATGCTGATAGATGATTATAAAAGTGACTTTAATCTGTATGCTGACTATGCAAGAGAACGAAAGCAATATTTGAGTTCCTTTATTGATGCGCTAGAAACTCTCAAGTGGCAAATTTCTAATGCGACTAGTTTGATTAATGATCTAGATGAATATGATCGCGAAAAGTTGAATCCCGAAACAATGAAAGTTTCTTGGGCGCGATTTGAATTCATTGTGAAAATGTTCCTTAAGCAAATTGCGAATTCATAAAAGTATTGTTTGGATGTATTATACATGACCAAGAACTTTTTTCATTTCGAATCAAATTCAATAAAAATATAACCTATTAAATATCACCATCATGAATAGATGCAAGTTTTAATATTGTAATAGTAAAATTAAATTTTCTGGTTGATCATCAAAAGTAACTTCAGGAAAATGAGTTGTCGCAAAGTCGTACCAAAAGACGATCGACGTTTCAACCTCCATTTTCTAAAAATTGACAAGTTTTTTAATCCCACTAATGAACTCAAATTTTATACGAATCCACAAAGTCGCTACTCTTAACTTGAAAGTCAAAGTTATAACAATACTTCTTTGCAGTAAATTAATTTTCAGTTTACACTTTGGCTTTTGCTTTTTTGGTTCCATTGACCAGATTGCGAGTCTCTGAGAAAATTTAAGTCTTAGTCTTGGTTGTTGGTCTCACATTAGTTGCAATGTATAACCTGTGTGGATAAATTATGGGACTTTTTATAATGTATTTGTATGGGTGAAAGTCCCATAATTTATCCACACAGGTTATAAGAACAGTAAAATTTATTATTCATTTTATAAGCAGATCTATTGAAGTTCTCAATGACAATAACATGTTCATTATAACTTTTATTATATCAGTAGCATAACCGTTCAACTCAATGAGAATAATCTTCAAGTGAAGTATTTCAAGCAATTAGTACATTATTATAAGCCATGATTCGGTGATGGACTTATACGTAATTTCAATTAAGATGAGGAAGATTAATCAAATTGAATCTTCTAATGGACAAAGCAATAAAAAACAAAAAATACCAGAATCTTTCATGTGTTGATAGCATGAGTTACCTACTCAATGAGTACTTTTTTGGTAAATGGAAGAGCTATAAATATTAATAACTTAATAGATTGTTCTGTTAGTTTTATGGAGAAAAGTTTTCACCGTGAAATAACATTCATTTGACTCTCATTCAATCGACAATGAAATATTTGACTTTGATCAATTATTTTCTTATAATCATCTTAACAGGTAAGCTGATTGAAATTGAAATGATTTCTTTAAATAATTGTGTTTCCTTTTTTCAAATTCAGTGACGATTGTACCATTTTCAACGTTATCATTGCGTGAAATCGACTTCTTATCAAGCACGTTCAATGATGTAAAAGGTGCTGTGATACCAGCCAAAGTTTTCAATGCAATTTTGAAACGACGAGCCAACAAAATCAATGAGTTCAAAGAGATAAACAATTTGAGTTCAAAAGAGTTGATATTCTGTGACTTTCTTCGCGATTCTTTGGATTCGATGCAAGTTCTGGTGAATTCATCGTCTAGATCAGTACAAATTGTGGTAAGAAGTAATTTGGTCTACTCTTATAAAGACATTGTCGCCTCTTTTTATTCTGTTTTCAATAATGAGCGAACATCTTCAGTTGACTATGCTCCAGTTGTGCGACGTGCGACAAGTCCGATCGATTATGAGCCTCCAAGTAATTTTTGTGGCTGTTACCCATTAGAGAATAGAAGTCCAGAGATGAAAATTGTTTACCCAAAGTCAAAGATGTTGATGCTGATAGATGAATATAAAAGTGACTTTGATTTATATGTCGACTATAAAACGGATCAAAAGCCATATTTGAGTTCCTTCATTGAACAGCTAGAAACCCTCAAATTGCAAATTTCTAATGCAACTGAACTGGATAATGATCTAGATGAATATAATCGCAAAAAGGCGAATCTCGAAGCATTTAAAGTTATTAACACGCAATTTGAATTCATAGTGGAAATGTTTTTGTATCAAACGACCAGAATTAAATCGAATTTAGATTCGAATAGTTTCCGGTTTTCGCACTAAATGCCTGTTGCAATTTATTCAACAAAGTAATAAACTTCTCAATTAAATCACTCTTCGCTGTACACACGAGTGAATCGTTTCATGTCAAATGATATTCAATAAAAATATTTGTAATCATGAACAGATGCAAGTTAAATTGTAAAATTGAAAGCATTCCCGTTTCATTGATTTATTTAGCTTCAATTAAATGTTTTTCAGAATATCTTAAAATTTCAAACAATAGTAAATATCGCTCGATATCGTCGATAAATTATTGTTAAATAGATTTGTTCATAGTCAGCGTAATTTTCAACTCATGTGCAGAATAAATTGTCTTTCAAGTTCTAGACTCTTGTATACTTGGATTGATATTAAGATGATTAGATGAAGTTGATTCCTCGATGAGTTAAAGTTTTATTGAAAGTGATTTTCTTCTAATAGTCGATAAGTTCGTTGGATTAATGCAATGAAATCGTTAAGTGGAATCGTTTTCCAATGTAAGTGTTTCTTTTTAGATTAAATTGAATTTAATAACATAACTAATTGTCGCTCTTCTCATACAGTGCTCATGATAACGGCAATAACTGCAACTTTACGTGAGATTCAATTCTTTACAAAATTATACGAAAATGATATTCCAAGAGCAGTTTTCATGAAACTCATTGATCGACGCATGAAAACGATAAACGAATTCAAAGAAACATCCAATTTAACCGAGATCGAGACAGACTATTGCGATTCTATTCTTCAATCGCTGCAGTTGCTTCAAAATTTAACCGATGAATCTGATGGAATGCAAAATTGTGCCAAGAACGAGACGTTCACTTTTTATGAAAATATCGTCAATTCCATTACATTCTCCTTTGGAAGGCGAAGAACGACCGTTGAATACCAATCGCCTGCATCCATTTCAAAACTAGTGGAAAGTGAAGAGAAGTTAAACGATTTCCACAGATCACTGGTAACTACTCTGATAGATAGTTACATTGATGATATAAAGATGGTTATGGAAAGTCTAAACGTCATGGACGGAGTAAAGCACGAAATTAACAATCAAACTGAGCGGATGGCTGTCATGATGGTTGATCATTTGGGTTCCATTTCTAAAAACATTAAAAACTTGACGACATTGGATGAAGTGGATAATGTTTCAAAAAAGCCAATCGCTTCTGGATACTTTAAGTTCGCTTTGCAACAATTGGATTTTATTGTGAAAAAGTTTCAAACACAATTCAAATGTTCTCATTAAATCATTTAATAATGAAATTAACTGATGATTTTATCTCTTATATTTATTTCTTTATTTTATGATCTTTTAGTGGCTTTGCAAAGAGAGTAAGGTTTTGTTCACTTTGCTGATATTCAAAAAAATTGCAAGAGAATCGAATCGAAAGTCTCCTTTCGAGAACTGGAATCATTTAAGATGTGCCAATGAGCAGTTGGATATTGGACAAGCCAGCTCACAGTATGCATGAAATCGCCAAAGATGATATTGAACTTGGTGAAACCAAGCAAAAGACTGGCGAATGTGAGACCAACAACCGAGACTAAGACGTAAATTTTCTCAGAGACTCAAAATCTGGTTACGGCTTGAACCAAAAAAGCAAAAGCCAAAGTGTAAACTGAAAATGAATTTACTGTAAAAGAGTATTGTTAAACTTTACCTTTCGAGTTAAGAGTAGTGACTTTGTGGATTCGCATAAAATTTGAGTCATTAGTGGGTTTAAAAAACTTGTCAATTTTCTAGAAGATGGAAGTTAAAGTTGAAACTTAGATTCGTTTTTTAATACGAATTTGCAACCAGATTTTTTCATCAAACTCAGTTTCCTGAAGTAATTCTGATGATCAACCAGAAAATGCACTTATTTTTAGAAATAAAATTTTCTGTTTTCTGTAAAATAGATCAGTTCAATTTTCAGTTAAACCAACCGCTTTCTGTTACCGTAAGAGTTAGCGAGCTGAAAAGTATTATCTGTCAATAAAAATTGTTAGTACACATCATGAGTTGAACCATTTCTTACATTTATCGACAGTTCTCTTGATTTTGTCCACTGGCCTTGAAACTTTGAGCCTCAATATTTCCAAAATGGTGCCATCTTCAATCATCAATCTTTCATCAATCGTTAGGTTTTATTAAAAACTATAAGTTAATGTGACTGAATAGCGAAGAATATCTGAGCTTATTTATTAATCAGTGAATATTCTTCTAACAAATCGCATGATTTTTGTTCGAATAACCATTTACCTTCATAAATCAAGTATCAAATCTGACAAAATAAAGTAACACAAAACTATATTTTTTTTCATTTTTTCATTCAGGATTGTAGAATCTGAATGATCTGAAATTGATGTTATTAGCATTGAATTAAAGAACTTGTTTGCGAATAAATGCACGATGCGACCGGGATAAAACAGTGAAACAAATAACATCAACTGCTTTCAAAACAATGTTATAGCCCATAATAAAATCTAAAGATTGGTATCTAAAGAAGATCTCATAATCCAAGTATTGATGTTCAGCTGAGCGTATACAGAAAATTGAAAAGCCTGATGAAAAAATCTAACTTGAGATATTACCAAGCATTGTACAATAAATGTACTCATGAGAAGCCTAAAAACTACTGTAGTTTAAAAAGTGAATCGAAGTTAACGTAAAGGTGACCTTTGGATTCGTAAACTTGTGAAACATTTAAAAGTCCCAATAAACAAAGAAACAAATATGTTGTTTAATAAAAGATGATGACTAGTTAATCAGTAAATAGCAATTTGAACAAATACTACAATCACCTGTTAAGACTGTCTGAGTTTGAATCGTACGATATGAAAACAGATAAACCTCTCAAAACTCAAGACATTAAAGTTGATAACATTATACAATAAACTGTTGAATGCAAAAGAACAGGAAAATTGTGGTTAAATCTTGGATGTTAATAATCGCATGTTACATATATTCAGATTCATAAGGATTTTTCCATCAGGCTGATTTTCTGTTGTAGATTAATTCTTTTTTTTTGTATTACGTTGCCTTAAATAACAAATCTTTAATGATTTACAGCATTTTGAATCTTAAACCTTCAACCTAATCAATTACTATTAATAGCCTTACTCCTAGATTCACCGTTTTGCATGGAAAAAAGTTTATGCAAAAGAAGTTTATGATTTAGAAAAGGTGAGTGAAGTCGATGAACATGCGAGCAAATCGATCCAGTTTTAATCGAACAAAATCATCGAGTGAAACTCAATTAAAAGCTCATTTCATCATATGAAGAAGATTAATTGAAATCTATCATTGCGTTGAGAATTGAATGGATCCAGTTACATCAATTGTTTCATTGATAAGAACAGTTGAATGAACGAATTGAATTACAAATTTTCATGGACATGCGATGTTTAAATAGTAACTTAATTTTCTTAATTCAAGACCAACTGTTCATTTATAGCTGCCAACCTTGTATATTTATAACGATGAAACGAGAAGTTAAATCTCTTTAAAATCTTCATTGATGTTCAAGTTTGTTTCAGTTAATGCTTTTCGAGTTTCAGGGTGAACTATTAAGGTTGACATCTAGAAATTAATTTGAAGCAGTTTCTCTTCAAATTTTAAGAGAAGCAAATCTTTGTATAGCAAATTTTGTTGAATGTAAAATGCAAGACAATTATCAGTTCAATTCAACTCCTTATAGCACTTCAATTATGGATACTTTAATGGTACAAACTTGATGGGAAATGATGATGAGGTTTTGATTTCAAAGAGTATCAATCAGCTAGAAAAACATTTATAAGGTAAAATCAACACATTAGTAAGTGTTTTCCTACAACGTTTTTTCAATTCACCCTGTCATCACTATGATCACCTTCAGTTACTAAACGCCTACAAATTGTCAGTTGAAAGCACTTAACCTGAAACAGATTTAAACGCCAGTAAATTGATGAACTAAGCAAGTTTATCAATTACTCAACACGCTACATCGATGGATCAATTAAACTCTATCTTGTACATTTGATAGACACAAGTGAAACAAAATTTTGTCTCATTTCGATAGGGCAATGGCTTTAATCAAATTTGCTTGATCTTGTTTGGGTGTTCCCTTGACGAATCGTCAAACAAATTTAAAAGTTCACAAATAATCTGAAATTTTGAAGCTAATGGAAGGAACAACCAATAAAATCTAAAATCCCTAAAATGGTAGTTCAATTAGCATTGGAAAATTTTGAGAGTAAAATATTGCATCTTGTAAGCTAAGAGCAAGAGTTATACTGTTTGCTTTAAACGCACTTCTTCTTTCTTATTAGAGTTGCTTGATACCTTTAAGTATCGATAATATTACTTGACATCTAATCATGTGATTGTAATAAGCTACACAGACATCTTCAATGATTGAATCGATAGCAAATTAGGAAACAGTGTATCAACAGTTGAGGGTTTGTAAAAAACGGTCAAGTTGAAGAAACATATCTTCAATTGGGTTGGAAAAGGTCTGTAAGGCAGAAGACATTGTTTCATGAGCGTTGACTGTCATCAACTCATGAAACGTCACTTCTACCACTCCATGGCATATTACATTGTCCATTCCACCATCAATTGAGTTCCTTGTCCTTTAATTTGATGTTTTATTCCTAAATTTTATCGTAAAAATATCAAGTTTCTCTGATCTGGGAGTAAACTTGGCTTCATCAAATTTCACTTTTCAAATGAACGCTTAATCTAGTTAAAGAGGATTAAATTCCTGCTTTCATCAAATTATCATCTCAACCTGGTTTCACTTACGAATCTGCCTGTAAATGTCAAGGAAAAAAATCTAAAAACAATCGGGTAAACAGCAGAAACAAATGAAAGATTAAATGAAAAAAATCTGGTTAGATTAAAAAATTGAGTGAGTTTTGCAAAACCAGATTAACCCATTTAATGTAAATCTTCGTCGATAGATGGTGTAAGTGTTTGGTCAAAGACTCAACATTAGTTAGATTGAATGAAACGCATTTGTTTTTGAAGGAAAAGATGATTAGTTGAGCTGAAAATTGCAATTTAAACAAATAATAAACTGTCAAGTCTGTCTGAGTCTTTAATTTATAAGATTATATTTAATCAGATAATTGAACCTCTCAAGACAGTAGATGATAAGTTATGCAATAAACTGATGAATGAAAAACAGGAAAACTGAAAACCGGAATCATCACAATTAGACTCAACAGAATCAAGCAAACACTTTGATCGTAAAAAGTGAAGAGCTAATCATTTAAACAGTTTAATAGACTTTTAATAATCGCATAAAATGATCAAGCATGCTAATCAAAATGAAACTATGAAAATAAAAGCAACAATCAAGAGTATTATATAATCATGTTACATTAAATTGTAACAATTTGAAAACAACGGCAATCAACAAGACTATTTCAATAACTGATCATTTGTCACATCAAAATCATTGAATAATTGATTGGTTAACAATTTGTTGCCATTTATTCACTCGGTTGGTAAGGTTGTAATAGCATAAATTAACTATTAATAACAATGAAGGACGATTAATGTTTTAATTGTATTCGATAGCCAACAAATGGAAAGTGTTTCATCATTTAATCAATTGTCATCAACCTTTAAGCTTTTATTTTAAACAATTTTTCTCTTGGCTCGGCAATTCAGTTACAATTAACTAATCAATATTGATCTCAAGAATAATGATTCAATTGATTTTGGCTAAAAATATTTTCAAATTGATTAGTTTTATGGAGATATTAATAAAAAGGTTGATCACTTGATTGGCTGTCATAACTCAACTATCGTTTGATATAAATTGCCTGATGTAACAATCAACAGTTATTATAGTATTGATTGTTATCATCAATTGAATTAAAAAACATGGAACAAGGAAAAACAAGAATTGAAAATAACAGGGAAATGATTCAAGTGAAAACAATTGGGAGAAGCAAAAATGGTGTTTACACTATTAGACTATTAGATCTAATCAAACACAAGCTAATCATTGAAAGCAAACAAATAAACAAATTCAACAATTAGCTAATCATATAACAAATAACCCAAATATAATGAGCTTTAAAAATGATAAAGAAACCAGAAAAGTCTAGACTTGAACCTGAAAAATCTAGAAAAGTGAAAACAGGTACTTTGTTTGGTTTTGGGTTTAAGCCTGGTTTTCAGGTTTCACTCAAGCTTTTGGTTTGATGTTTTGCTTTTTTTGGTTCAACTCTTAACCAGATTTTGGGTTAACCATTGATTGACACTTGACTGGATCAATAAAGCAATTAATTGTTGTAAAGATGAACCTGGTTATGGTCAGTTGATTAGTTGATAACCAAGGATACCAGAGTTTGGGTTGTTTTGGGTAAACAAACAAATGATTAGATTTGAGTGTTTTATTTGTTTCTAATTGATTTATCTAAATTAATTTGATTTAATTGGCCAATTATGGGACTTCGTCGTCGTCGTCGATCATCCGCTTCATCATCAGATGGGTTACTTGATCTGGATCGGAATGGGTTAACATCACCCGTAAAGGTGTTTTATGCGCGCAAAAAGAAGCCTGAATCAAAGTTATCAATTGTGATTCAGGTAAAGAGAAGAAGAAGAAGAAACCAAATTATGGTTTTCACCAAATTAACCAGTAAATTTAAATTTAAGCTCAATTTAATCATCAACTGATTTGCTTCTCTGCCTTTTACCCAGGTTATTGCTGTTGTTGCTTCCCTTGCCTTTACTTATTACGTTTACTATCATTTTGATCATTTTCATTTCAATCTGGTTCATTTTTATGCAACCAAAATGGACGATTCTCATGCTCAACATACATTGGCCCATAAATTGTTGAAAAAAGGTGACAACCATTCAGCAGCTTTTCACTGGTTCCGTAAATCAGCCTCAAAAGGACATCCACATTCAGCTTACAATTTAGCTGCTGGACATTTAAGTGGCTATCCAACGGATCTTCAAAAAGGTAATTACAATCAACACTTCCTAATAACATTTAACACTTAAACTCAATTCAACTTTAAATATTTTCATAAAAGTCAACCTTTAAAGTCACTAATCAACCATTAAAAGCAATCTTTGAAATTAATGGAAAGGCTAAAATCAAGAGGTTAAATGAGATTGTTTACAATGTATTGATTTAGATTGTTTCCTATTGGGATTTTGTCGTATTTTTTCACTCAAATTGATTGAAAATTTACGTGTAAACGGTATTACAATAAACTTGTCCTCAACCCAATTGAAGAACCCGTCAATTCATATTTAATTTGCTGTTGATTAAGGAAACAGCAACAAAGAGTTCTGTCTCTATTTTCCTCTCTTTCTTTTTTAACAACAATCAATTAGCAATTTAGCTAGTATTATATATCCAACAATCAAGTTATTACAAGTCAACCTCATCAGTTGAACTAACTTTTAATTGTGGTTATAAATTGATTACAAACAAATCAAAAAGGAGTTGAGTGGAGAGCAAGAAAAGGATTGAATCCAATCTGGTTCAAGGTTAGACAATAAGATAATTAAACATTAATAACCATAAATAATATCGTTTCACTAATTGTTGTCAAGTTACAGGATTCAATAGTTTAATAATAACTCAATGGGAAAGTTGAAAGGTTCAGTTTAACAAACCAGTTGACTTAATAATAAACAATCAACTTAACTAACCTTTTTTACCTGTTCAAATTGGCAATGTCTTATTACCTGTTTTGCCTAATCAAATGTTCAACAATTTAAATCAGCTTTAAGCATAATCAAAGCTTACAGCTTGAATCGACTGTTGACTTGTTAACCCATAACAACTGTTTAACTGTAATTGGTATTAACTTTTCATTTTTTGGGTTCTTCTCTTTGCAGGTGAAGCCAAAAAATTGTTACAATTTGCAGCCAAACACAATGTAGTTGAAGCTTACCAATTGCTTTATGACTTGTGTTATGATAAACCAGAATTTTGTGACCATTAATTAATCAGCTCGTTAAGGATGGACATTGTAATGGATCACAATGGACATACGAATCGTAAAGAATGGTTATGATAAGCGGAACACACAAAAAAAAGAAGAAGCAAAATGAATGAAAGCAACAAGTCAACCAGTAATGGGTTACAGTCTCTAGGAATAGCAATTAATTTTAAACAATTCAAATAGCCAATTCAATTGTTCCACCCATGAACTATCATTATTATTACACAATAAATAGACAAACAATGAGATGAGCTTATTTGTTTATTCAATCATCATGATTCTGGTAATGGTGATCATGATAACAACCATTATGATCAACATTTTGGACGTGTTAAAGCGTATGGCGTTGTACAAGTTAAAAATAGATTAACTTTAGGTGAATGGTTACTTTTTAATTACTGACATCTTCTTTACCAACGCTTGATGATGAAACCAATGATTGGGCCAAGCTAATTTAATTGTTGATTTACAAATGAAAAATAATGATGATCATCATTTAATCAGGATTTGTTTATGCGGTCATTATAATTGTGAGCAAGTTGAAAGTTGGTAACAGGTTATATTGCATTTGAACCGGTTTGGGTTAGGTCAGCTAAACGATATCATGTTTATCATTAGGTTGATGATGATAATGGTAGAGATGATGATGAGTTGGACTTATCTTCTTCTCACTAAAGGTGTTAGGTGTTTCAGGTTTTTTCATGCGACTAGAGTTTCCATCTTCTCGGGTTGAATCTCATGATGATGAAACTTGTTATTGTATTCATTTTAATTCATCATTAATGCATGTTGTTAAAGGCTTGTGAGTGAGTGTGTGTGTGTGCTGCCAGAATGTAAAGATGTTAATCATCAGAATTGATGATGATTCATAATCATTTGAAGATTGGTTAAACTGGTTTTACTCTTTGAGTAAATCACGGGTTGTATGTTCAAAATTCATGTTTGATTATTTCATGTAACTGCCTGATCAAGATTTGATTAATCATACCAAGTGTTACAGCATAAAACGGCACCAGTTTTACAATTAAACAAAACATTCATGTTCATCATCTGCAATCAATTGATAAAATTGATCATCACCAGACATCCCAAAACAATGAGAGAAACAGGAAAACCGCATTGAAAGAAACAGGTAATTGAAAAAGGTTCAACATGATCCAATTTATCCAATCGCATAAACATCTTTATTAATTGTGGTTCATTTCTTGTCTCTCAACTATCCTTGAATCATCAGGCAACTCAGTCATCTTTCTTTTTCCTACACACTGGAAACACTAAAATCAATATGTTTGTTGACAGGATTCATGGTTCTTGTTACGTTATTGGTGTTGATTGTCCATATCTCATCTCATAACATTTCAAGGCTCTTTACTTGTTTGCTCTGGCTTTTAATTTGCTGGCTTAACTAATCGTCTGAAATCAAATTGAGTCAGAATTATTTTCAAGGTTTGCCATAATAATCTGCTCGTCACCTAATAAACGCCAAAATAATCTTGATTATGCTTTGGATTGAATCCTGTAACCTCGTACAACTGCGTCTAACCAGAAAACATTGAGTCGATTGGTGATGATTGTATTTGTTTGCTCCAACGCCAAGAATCCAAATTTAGATGATAAATGAGAACCTAATTAATTGAATTGATTGGTGAAACAAAAAGATGTATAAATTAGAAGAGAGCAAAGAAGGTAAATAAAAGAGAGGTTGAAAGGGAAGATGAGAAAGAGATGATTTGTATCATTGATTTGAAACCTTTTTTTTTCTTGCTATACATTGAGTTATTTTTCCTTCATCTAGTTTCTCATGATAAGTCATGTGAAAGTAAATAATATAACTTTCACTATTTTTGCACTCTCTTGCTCACTCAATCTCCATTCATTTATCATCATCTCTTTCCTTGTTTGGTGCTGTTGTTGTTATGTGATTGTTATATATTAACATGATATCTTGAGATTGAAAGTCAGGTTAAATCGTATGCTGTTAGATGCACGTAAACCTTGTTGTTATTGCTGAACAAAAATGCTTTTTTTCATGGCAATGAGTGGAAAGTCAATCAACAATAACATAACAACAGCACCATTCAATCAATTTGTTTGGTAAACAACAATTTAACATTAAAGCTTCATTGAGTTTAAGTTCACTTGAGTCTTTACCTGTTTTAAGATAATTCATTTTAAAGGGTAACATCATTGGGATGATCAGGTAAACACTGTCAACATTGTCATTAATATTACCATCATCATTTCACCTCACTCTTAAAGCCAACTGAGGAAGGCTAATATTGTACTCTTTGTTTGCAGTGTTCATCAACACAACAAAAATAAGGATATTATGAAGCTTCCAATGATCTCAATAATAAAGCTATTAAAATAAGATTCATACTTCTAATTAGCTGATTAGCAGTATTTGAATCGTGAAGCTAAATAGCGATAATACTGCAATATATAAGATAGCAATAACGACAATATGACAATAACGTTATATTAATTAGGTAAACATAGAAGAAAATAAAACGTCTTTTTTTTGCTTAACGACAGAACCTGGTTTATAGTCTTTGTTGTGGAAAGCTAATCCATTGGAAACAATTTATCATTCTTGTTTTGATACCAAAAGGATGAACCTCTAAACCATAGGTTGAAACATATTATTAGCTTTATGATACACTAAATTCAAAAACACAATCAAGTTAAAATCATGAAAATAAGAGAGTAAAAAAGGTAAAATTCATATTTAATCACGTTAACTTGTTTTTGTTGAGAAAAAAGATGGCGTTAATACTGGATATAATAACCTTAGCAACAAAATAACCAACCTTAACAACAAATTTAAACGCTTTTTTCTTTCTCTTCCCTTTCTTTCTATCTTTCTTTTGTTTCCAAAACGGTCAATGATGAAGTTAACTGAATAGTTTCATATTTATTATTATTATTATGATTATCACACTCACCCAACCGGCCTCACAACATATTAACCAACAACCACGATTGAAAAGAAACATTTAAAAAAGGGTTTAAAAAAGCAGTTTCAACTGAATCTTACATTTACCTCTACCTCTACTTATGTATAATCATTTTCATCATCATCTGAACCCTTTCATCAACCCTTGGAAAAAAGACTGAATCACTTTTTTTATTTTTGTTACAGATTTCGGAGACAGAACTTTCTAGAAAAGTGTGATTCATTCGACAGTGAAGACAGGAAAGGATAGGGAATAAAGAGTAGACAGGAGTTACGAAAGAGAGAAGAGGAATAAAGAAAGAGATCAATGACACAGTTGTTTCTTTTACTGGTTTTTAATTTCATTTCAATTGAATGCAAATTGACCAATTTTTTTAATTGATCAAAAGCTAACCAAGCCTAGAATGTATAGTTTTAGATGTAAATGATCATAAGTCACTAAATACAGCTGAATATATCCATAATTTTGCACAGAAATAAAGTCTTGCTCACTCAATAATCACGAGTGTAGATAGAAACACAAAGTTTGTTTACAAACGAAAAGAAAGAGAAGATTACTCAAGTAAATGGAGAGAGGCTTCCCCCTGTTCCCGAAAATCAGGAGACTTTATCTCATGAGAAAGAAAGAGAGAATTTAAAAGGATGAATAAAAGAAAGAAAAGTCTTTCTTTTCTCTCTACTCTTGTTTTTCTTCCCTTTATGTTTCAAGGGCACCTTTGCTATTGAAAAAAATGACGCAAAAAAGTAGGCAAGGAAATCTGGTTAACCGTTAGATGGAGTTACATACTTCTTTTCTCATTGGTTGATTTAAATGATAAAAGTTGGTTTTTCTGGTTTTCTCTTTGTGTAATAGATGGCACTGAAAGTTGTTTACGTTTTACAACATTCGATGTTATAATTTTTCTTTGTTACAAACAGTTAACAGTTTAGTTGAGCGAATGTAAATGTAGAGTGAATGTAAGTGTAGATTGTAAAGTTGGTTTTTGATCATTTGATCATTCTTATTGTTGTAACTATTATTTTTCTTTTGATTTTGCCTTTCAAACTGTCTTCTTCCTCGAATCGTCATTTTGTCAACTGTTCTACCTCGTATCAATTTAATGAATTGATGAAAAAATTACAAGATTAAACGATTGCTTGGACCGTTCTTTTTGTTTTTTAATTTTCAAACTCCATTCTTTTTTGGTCTTCTACTCCTCAAATGCAACACACTTTATTTGAATCATCATCTCCTTTCCCAATGATCATGATCAACTCAACGAATGAAGAAAAGAAGGGTATCCCCATACCAGATTCTGGTAAAGGACGCAACAGACGAAAGAAACAGAAAAGGAAACGTTCTAGTGAGTCTACCAGCTCATCCAAGTCATCTTGTTTCGATGATGTTTACGAGTTGACCGGAGAGTTTCTTGGTGAAGGTGCCTATGCCCAAGTTCAATCGTGTAAACATCGGAGTACTGGTAAAATATTTGCTGCTAAAATAATTGACAAGCAAGCTCATCCAAGGTCAAGAGTCTTCCGTGAAGTTGATATTTATTACCATTGCTCTGGACATAAAAATATTTTGCAATTGTTTGATTTCTTTGAAGAAGATGACAAGTAAGTAGACCTGTTTTAAAGGGAACGTTAATAACTTTCCGTTGGTGATGCAAGGCAACATAATAATTACTAGGATTCCCATAATTTGATCTATATTACGAGCCCGTTTAAGTGACCCAGTAAAGTTGTTTTCCTAGCTCAATTACCCAGGTCTTCTGGTCTCTGCCAACTTTTCCCTTCACACAGTCTCTCCTTTTACCTCTGTCTTTGTTCCCTTTCTACTTCAGTGTCTATTTTTTTCTACTTCTTGCTCCTCCTCATTCTTCATTAATTTTTTTGTGAAGAAGCTCAAGAAGGTTACATTGGTGCTAGATTATTATGGAAAAGACATAATTAAATAATGCTAATGTAATCTGGTTACTCAAAATCCATTTTAAACTTAATCAAGTTTTATATGTTAATTAAGGCGAACTATGACAAGACAAAGAAGTCCACTCAGCTGCCCTGCAGGCTTTAACTGCTATCCAAATCTGTCTTTCATCATTTTATTACTGAACAAAAGAATACATTTTGACCTCGATTCGTATCACCTTTTTGAGTGTTGCATTTGTTTGAAATTTAATTTAAACTAAACGCTCATTTCTTTATTTTTGTTACAGATTTTATTTGGTTTTTGAAAAATTGAATGGTGGGCCACTTTTAGCTCATATTCAAAAACGTAACCATTTTACTGAAAACGAAGCAAGTTTTATTATACGTGATATTGCCAATGCTCTCAAGTTCCTTCATCAGAAGGGTATATCCCATCGAGATCTCAAACCAGAGAATATTCTTTGTCATAGTCAAGATCAAATTTGCCCACTTAAAATATGTGATTTTGACTTGGGCTCAGGTCTGGTCATCAACGAATCTTCGCCTGTCAGCACTCCTGAACTTTTGACACCCGTAAGTATTCATTTTTTCCATGATGAAACTTACGACGCATATTGCACTTTTTTAGAATACAGTTAAACAAATACAGCAATTCTTTGTTACTCTAGAAGCCTAATACTTTAAGTTTAACATCGCCTTCAAAGGGAAACAGAGGCCTTTCTTAGTTAAAACATTATTTTTAACGACTTACTCTTTGTTTACTAATCCTTTTAAAGGATTGAATTCAGCCTAAGGCAACATTGTTGAAAAGCTTACCTTTATCGTAACTCTCTTGTTTTCCTTAAACGTTTCTTAAGGACAAAAATTATTGCGCCTTTTACGATTCTTACTGCTATTGGAACATTTAAATATTGAAATTTAGTGCTTACGTAATCGAATGATTTTACGATTTACAATTTATAATTATTTCTTTTTATATTTTACGCTTAACTTTTTATGGCATACATTTACTCAATACCTCTTTCTGTCTGTTTTCATTTTATGTGTAGGTTGGATCTGCCGAATTCATGGCTCCTGAAGTCGTGGAGGCATTCATCGGTGAGGCTACTCCTTATGACAAGCGATGTGACCTCTGGAGTTTGGGTGTCATTATGTACATCTTATTATCCGGTTATCCGCCTTTTTACGGCTTCTGTGGTAGTGACTGTGGCTGGCAGAGAGGTGAATTTTGTCAAGCCTGCCAAGACCAACTATTTACTTGCATCCAAGACGGAGCTTACGATTTTCCTTATCGAGATTGGGGATGCGTCTCGGATGAAGCCAAAGACCTAATAAGACATCTTCTGGTGAAAGATGTAAACCAAAGATACACCGCTGAGATGGTTTTAAACCATCCATGGGTACGCCATGGAGGACCTTTGACCCTCTTAAAGACACCTAAGGTGATCAGGCGAAATAACAGTGCCAAGGATTTGGCTGCATTTGCAGAGAGCGCCAATGCCATGAAAAGATTAGTTTTACGACATCAAGCCTACAGCACAGACTTTTCTCTCTCAATTAAATCTAAATTAGCTGATGCAGTTGAAGAGAAAGAAGGTAATAGTGGTAATGTTAGTGGTAGTTGTTCATTATCATCATCATCAACATCTTCAGCGAGGGCAATAAAGCCAATTAATAATAAAAAAGCAAGTACAGCTGATATTAGTAGAGATATAACTTTACCTCCAACTCCTGATACACCGGATTCACTTGGAAAAAACTCGTGGATGCCTGCAATGAAGAAGAAAAGTCTTCCCAGTGCCTTTGTTTATAATTCGTGCATGAATCCAAGATCACCAATGAACCGATTATCATTAACTCTTCATCCAAGTTTGAAGCCCATTCTGCTTAACATTTAAAACAAACACACAAAAAACAACACATCATTTGATGATTTCTTCTTCCTCTTCAAACTTTTCATTTATTTTCCTTTATACTATGTAATTGGCAACAAACCCCTTCTACTACCCTAATTACTACCTCTTTCCTCTCTTCTCTTTCTATCTTCTATTTCCATTTCTCTCTTCTCTCCCACAGTCAATTTTACTTGAATCCCATTTTTCTATCATATCTATGATGTTCTCAATTTTTCATAGTCTTTTCACTCTCACCTTTTCATAAATACCTTCCTCTTCTCCCCCACCTTGCTCCATACTATCTCCATCACTCGATCTCTACTTGCCACCCTTTACCACCTCAAATCTCTCTTTCTACCTCTCTTTTCACCATAGTTTCTCTCCTTCTTTCGTAATGATTAGGAGCGTCTTACTACACACTCACCATTCAAATGTATATCATAATTTGTAATATGATTGATTGTTTAATCATTGACACATTCCGACAATGATGATTGCAATCAGGAAGAACATCAAGCAACACCAGTTTCGTAGAAATGGATAACATAAATATACATTCAAACATTCAAAAAGCTGGAAAAATTGAAAAAAAAGATCAACTGAAATATCTGAGAATGCTGTAGGCTTTGAAAGTCTGGGTCTGGCCAATTCTTATTGAAAACCCACCAAAAAAATCTCTAAAATTAAATACCTTGAAGCAAAAAATATTTGTTAAACAAAAAAAAAGATTATGATCGAGACAATATCTCAATTTTGACAAAAATAAACGCAATAAGATTTTATATATAAATCTGATCGCATTTTTTTCTCATTACACACTGAACGCAATCTTGAATCTAGTTGTGGATGTCAACGACTTTTTTGGAAGGGTTGACTATAAATGAGTTCGCATTAAAGTAAATTACTTTTTTCATTCTCAACTAGGCACCAAGCCAATAGAGAAGAAGTCAACTCTTTAATTTAAATAAAAATGACGATTAACCATCGTATTTTGTCATTAAATGTATTAATCAAATTAGTTGGTAACAAAGAAAACATTTTGATTTCCATTTGTCACAGTTTATCACAATAGGTACGCATTGGAACGTGTTTTTTATTCATGATTAAAGCCAGTCGAGTTCATTCAAGCTGATACCAGGAAATTACCTTTGAATAGAGAAACTTTACATTCTATCTTAATGAAAGCAAAAGTTACGATTTGTTTAAATTGTCATTGCATAATCCAATAAACAATCAAGCTAATAAGGAAAGCTAAACAACAAACAAACCCAATCGGTAAAGGCTTTTTTGCCTTAAGAAATACCTTTAAACATACAGCTGTTTAGTTAAACACAGCACCAATGACTTGTTAATAAACTCTTTACAAGGCAAGAAAACAGCTAATGTTGACAAATTATAAAACAAATTAAGTAACATGACTGATTAATCACAATAAAATCAAATAATTGTTTAACCCAGGAAAGAGATTATTTATTGTCCTCTTCAGATTGAATGACAACAAAAAACAGCAAACAATGAAGATGTAACTAACATATCGCCATCTGTGAAACATGAATACAACCAGAGACAGAAGGCAAAAGACTAATAAAGTTACATTTTTACATTTTCAATATTTTCAATTGTACTTACAATTGCTTCTTACTGATTGTTTTAATAAACGACTAAAAGGTGTTTTATACCTTTACTTTGATTAATTGTTTTCAGATGTTAAATGATTACTATGAACATGTTCATGATGAGCTTCTTCCAGTCAATGAATGATGATTTATCATTCAATTATGCACAAGTTGACAGTTAATACAAATGTATATCAAGATTAGCAATTAATTTTATCGATACAATCAAACAGCTTCTATTCAATAATAGACGTGACCTCTTGAATTAATGATGTATTTTGCAGGAAATCAATTCAAATTTAAGACAATTTTCTTCTCTTTAAATATTTTCCAGAAAAGTTAAATAATCAATAGTTAAAGACTGTTACCTTTCACTGTCGGTGTTCCGATTCTCGCTAATTTATTAAAAGTCAAAGCTATACAGATTAAATCACGTGCTTCGACTTTTTTGGTTAATTTTTCTAGTTTTCTGCACCAAGAAATCATTCGTTTTAAGATGAAAATGCGAAAATATTCGCACCTCATATAGCTTGATCAAACGAATTTTTCATTCGACATTCATGGTCCTAAGTTGCATTCAAGTTCACATTGACTTAAAACGAATAAAGTATTTCAGTGATTCTCATTGGAAAAGCTCATTTTCAGACAATAATCTTAAAGCTGAAATTGTGCGAATTTCGTCTTTTATCACTGAATCTGTAACATTGCTGTAATTTAATGTAGTTTTAGGTGGTAAAAAGATTTGGTTTGTTTTTGACTGTTAAATGTTTTCCTGGCAAAGTCAATGGAAAGACAAACATTTTTAATGTTCAACAATCAATACGAACTCAAAATCAATAATGGAATACTTTTAACATTAACTTTGATTGAAAAATGAAGTACAATGAAGAATGATTCAGATAAAGGAATGAAATTTTTGGTTAACCTCGAAAAATGGTTCAATTTGTTTATTGAATATTACAATTATCTTCAAGTAAATGATGAGAAAATAATTGAAATGGAAAGTTGAAAATGAAATTCAATTATCGATGAAATAATAATTGAATGACAACATTTCAACGAAAAAACGGTTCAACTGAAAGCCTTAAGGATATCAATGCATATTTTTTGAGGTTTCATTATAATGTGCTGCCTGGCAATAAGAATATGAATAAAGAAAATCAAAGTAAACGAGGAATTTTCGGAATGTTCAACAGTTCAATGTTGACTCAAATAATCAATCTGTTTGATTCGATGAGAGAGAAAAAAAAGATTGAAATGAAAAGCCAAAAGGGTTAACAAAGTAGCATAGATTATATCATCTTTACATTGACTACATCACTTAACCCTATTTGCCTGATCCATGAAAATGATGGAAAAATTTGCTTCTCTTTTTTTATTCACTTTACCTTTTCTCATTCAGATACCTTAAAGGTAAGTTGACACATATTCACACAGGTTGAGGAAACTGGAAAGATTGAGCAAAAAAAATGTGTACAACATGAAAAAACATGAACAGTAAATGAATTTGACTTTTTTCATTCAATGCTAGCAACAAGTGCTGCCTCCAGTTGTGAAGTTGAGTTGGTTTCGGTTGAATCGATGAGATGAACAAGATGACAGTTTGAGTTACCTTTAACCAGTTTCAATCAACACAAAGTACCATTGACTGACGATGTCAGAGTCACCCGTAGAAGAGGCGAGGGAAGCCCGTTCACCGCCACCTAAGAAGTGCGGAGTCTCGGGTGATAGTGTCACATCTTCAGATACCATTCCAATCCCAGTTTATGCCAAAGATTCAAAGTAAGTTTTCGATTTTATATTTTTCTTTCTTTCGAATTTTGAGTTTAATACTTTCTTGTTTCAATGTCCAGTGTTTCTGGTGAGTTAATCGCTCGAGTTATCAAATTGTAAAACATTGTAACTTTTTTTTACATTTCAATTATTCATTGCTCTTTGTGATTCAATTTTCAATTGCAATTTCAATGAATTTCTTCATCATTTCCGTTTCTTGAATTCACTGTTTTTTTGCTGTTCATCAGTTGAACTAATTAACGGAAATTGGGTGAACAGGGTTGAGAGGAAAAAGTTGCCAAAAGTTGATTCGTCATGTTGAATTGAAATTTCATTTTTACTTTCAACATTTCATTGTCATGTTATCGGTGAAACCTTTCCATGTCATTTGTGTTGCTTCAAATCAATCAGTATAATTAGATGGAACTGAATAGGAAACCAATTGAAGCGTTCATCTTAGTTGCAACTTTGCTAAGGTTTGAACATTGACTGAACAATGGAAACTTATTCATTGTCTATCATTGTCCAATGGTTCAACTCAGTCATGATGCCCTTTATGATTCAGCCGAGACTCTGGATATCGAAAATTATCAAATTCCCATTCGATTAATATTTCCATGACTTTTCTTCTTCTAATGACTACAATTATTCGTCCATTCATCGACATTGACTGATATTGAGAAATAAATTCTTGAATAAAACATTGAATTTCCATTGAATTTGTTTTCTTCTGAAAAGTGACTTTTCTCATTTCGAATGATAATTGGTTTCGAGTTTTTTTACCTGACATTTCATTATGGATATTATCAATTAACCTGGAAAGGTAAAGATGAATTAATGAATAATGTTGATTAAATCATTTCTTGGAGTAAAAATGATACTTTTTTATCATGACCAGGTTAGGAACAGAAACCTAATTTATCTTGATTAATAATTGCATTGATAATCACAGGTAAACATTTCAATTGATAAAATAATGCAGTTGTGTAGGTTGTTGTCGCTCTTTTCATGTTACCTTTGATTGCTACTCACCTGGGAAGTCACTTTTTTACCACTTTTATGTGCATATTAGAGAGTAAAAATAGTTTTATCTATTAATCTTGAGGTTTATATGGCTTCATCATGTTTATACGGAAGTGGTTCAGTTGAATTTATAATGTTTTAGAGGCAAGTTCATGCTCATGATTGAACAAAACGACAAGTTTTATCAAATTTTTGCCAAATGAATAGTAATGAGCTGAGAAAAACAATTTGTTTTAAACTGAAAGTGAATGACAATCTGTCAAGTAAATTCAGTTTCATGCATTTTCTCAACTTATTTTGTATTCGTTTTGAAATTCTCATTGATTCATTATTTCTCATTTCAAAAGTAACTAAACAGGTCAAAAACTTTTTGCAATCGACTTTTTTATGAATTTCCATTCCATAAACTCATCATAACCACACCGACAAAATTTGTATTCAAAGCAACTACCTATTAATGGCTAAGACAACATTACGTCCTACTTACCATAGTGAAAACTCTGGCTGAGATCATGGCGAGCCTGGGGTACACGGCCGTACACTTGATCTCTTCACTTTTGGTGCAAGGCAGATAACGAAAAAATGGATAATACCTGGAATTTAGAAAAGTTACTTAAGTGTACGTTTGCAGAATATCGAAAAAAATTTTGCCCAAAATTTCAAAGATACACAACACTTGTATGAATGTTTTTGTTATTTGAAAACAGTTGAAACGAACTTACTTACAATGTTGGTAGCTAGATGAATGATGAAAAAAGAGGTTTTTAAAATGATGGAATACAGGAATTAATATTTTCACTTTTCGACAAAGCCTTTTCTTTTCTACCAAAAAATTTCATTTGATAGTTGACATTGAAATTATAATAACGAGTGGACTCACGATAGTGAGTGATCGCAAACTATTTTTCGCTGGAAAGGAAGGTACCCGAGGCCACTCGAACCGATTTCAATGATCAGGCCTTCATTGAATTCGTTTTACTAATCAACAATACAGTTAGCCGTCTTTTGATTAGCAGATTAGCAGAAGCTCGAAAAGCGTCAATTATTGTCTATCGATGTGCCAAGATCAATGTGAAAGCAATGACATGAACTGGTTCCGATGATTTTTTTACTTGACTCATTTTGTTTTGATACTCGTTAAAATACCCCACTTTGGCCCACCTCTTCCACCTTCGTCTCCTCCATCACCTTCGTCTCCTCTTCCACCTCTATCGCCTTCTTTTGTGTTTCGCTATTCAAAGTTTTTGTTTCGATCGAGATCATCATCATCATCATCTTCATCTGTGCACTCTTACGAGTCGTCAGGTGTATCGGAATCTAACTCCGAGAATGTTCCTCCACCACTTTCACCTCCACCACTTCCACCTCCACCACGACCACGACCAACACCAAAACCAGCGATTTCCAATTATTGCAAACGAAAGTTGCGAGGAAGATGTTTGCGTTTTGAGGCTCTGCGAAAGCGAGCCTCCAGGTAAAATGTAAGTTTAATTGTTTTCTTATTGAATATGAAAATCTGATTCCTAAAATTTTCGAACCTAAAAGTTAGGTTAAGTTAGTTTAGGGTAGGCTAGATTAGATTAATGGGTTTATATGTTATATAAAAATCTTTAGAATCCTTTTAGTTTGACCACAATCTTTACGCAAAAATTTCATGTTTTGACTTTATATATTGTGTAGATTTGTCTACGGCCAAAGTATTCCAAATGAAAAAACAGAAGGTCACTTTTCTTCTTTTGATGAAGTTCTGATCTTTAATTTGAGAATAATCTCTTTAAATGTTCGAAATATAAGTCCTTTTTTGAAAGGTCTTCTTTTAATTAAAAATATATGGTTTTTGAACGAAAGGTAAAATCAGATTTTGACGCATTGTTCATTTAAGGCCATAACTTGAAAAATTCTGCCCGAAATTCATTAATTTTTTCACAACACATTTTTGGCAAGTTTAGCTTTATTTTGGTGGTTGGATAGTGCCTGTACGTCTAGTCTAACTGTCGCAATTTAATTTTGAAAAATTAGTCCAAAACATTACTGTTCATACCTAATGGCTAAAAATTTCATTGGATTTGAAATTTGTAAACTCTTCTGCCAAGAAGGCATTAAACTGATTTGATTTATTCAATCAAAAAGTTTCTCTGATGAATGTTCATTGAAGAAATTGACCTCGAAATTTCAAATAGTTGAGGAATCAGATTTTTCTTTTTACTCAAAAGACAATTTTTGAGTTTTTTTAATCTAACCTAATCTAACCTAAACTAACCTTAATTTTTCTTTATTCCAGAACTAAAACAACTAACCTGGACAAGGCCGTTAAGAGAGCCACAAAATTTTTGGCCTACCAATGCGACGGCTATATTAGAATAGACGATCGGCGAACACTTTTGAATTTGATTTCAACTTTATGCTCTTTGAGCAAATAGGGAAAATTTTATCTAGATAAAGCCAATCTCAAATCTGACAACATAAGTAATGCAATGCTAAAATCTTTTTGTAGAATCTTGAATAATTTAATATTTCAATATATTAAAATATTATAATAAAATCTAATGTTTGCTCAAAGAATGATGATTGTAAGTAATGCTATTCTCGAAATATTGCTATTCAAAGTTTTAAGTTAATGGCCAAAATTAAGATAACTGTTGATAAATTGAAAAAAGTATTGAATCCATGACGTGTACTAACAATTTTTATCGACAAATAATAAGTTTCAGCTTTCTTACTTTTACGACCTCAGAATGCGGGAGGTTTAACTAAAAATTGAACAAGATCTGTTTTACAGAAAACAGAAATTTTATTTCTCAAAATGAGTGCATTTTCTGGTGTCTATCAAAATTTACAGCAGTAAAATGAGTTTCATGAAAAAATCTTTATTTTGCAAGTTTAGTCCAACTGTCAACAGTTCCTTTCTTTTTTTTGCTAATAGCTTTCACTAATTAGTATCAAACAATAAAATATAGTCGGAATTGTTGAGAGCTATTAGCAAAAAAAACAAAGGAACTGTTGACAAATGAGAATAAACATCCGGTCGTAAGTTAGCAAAAAAGTTTTTTCAAAGGTTAATGGGACCAAACTCCAGAGTAAATTTGTCTTTCGTTTAATTTACGAGTTTGAGCCCATTAACCTTTGCATATTTGAAATATTGGCTATCTCTAGCACACTGATTATTGCGGCTATCTCTAGCCCACTTCATTGTCTTTCCTCTTCTCTTTCTTTTCTTCTTCCTCTCTTTCTCCTCTTTCTTCTCTTTCTCCTTCTCCTTCTTTTTCTTTCTCTCTTTCTTTTTTCTCTTTCTTTTTTCTTTCTTCTTTAATTGCTGTGCCAGAGTAGTGGGCCAAAGTGGGCTGCTTCTATACTACTTACCTTACATGTAAAAAATTAATTGAATCAAAATTGATTTTTGGTTCTGTTTTTCTAGTTTATCTTTAATTTGCAGTCCAAAGATTTCGAGTGAATTAAATACTCATAAGATATAGCTGTTCTATGATAGAAGTATAAATTTTATTCGGATGCCCTTAGATATTTGTCATTACACCACTCAGTGCAGGGCACCTTAATGGTTATTTCTTATACACTGCACTGGTTACCAGCCCAGTTTTTTATCCATTAACAGATTAGATTATTGGAAAAACAAAGATATTAAATTTAACTCTCATCGTATTTTTTAATCTTTACTCTTTATACGAAATTCATAAAGTTCTGGCCCAACAATGAATCATCAGCCTGCCTAACAAAAAAGTTTTCCCCACTCACTCAATGTTGTTGAATAAGGGTTATGCATTTTTCCGTATTCTCTATTAACATATTTCTGTGAGATCTGAGGCGAGGTTTTCTATTTTTTGGGGATGTGGCTATGAAGTTGAATCAAGTCTTCATGGCGAGTTCTTTTTTCTTAGAACCCGCTCAGTTTGGCAAAATACCAAGGGTTAGGAAAAAGATGGTACCGGTTTCAAGCTGACATATCTTTTGAACTAATCATCATATTTATTTCAAATGTTCAATATTATGTCCTTTACAATACCAAATTTCACGACAACGTCTAGGCCGGATTTCAAAGCATTGTCAATCAATGATTGAGGCACTTTACTCCAGGCTAAGTGCATTTTTTAAAGCACTTAGAGACTGAGGGTTAATCTGGTCAACAATCCGTTTCATGTACGGCCGAATTGCATAGTCCATCGGTGCACAATAAGAGAGTTAGCCAACCATTTTTCCGTTCTAAGGAACTTGATCTTTTGCGTTTCAAGAAAACGAAGAGTACTTTTGGCCGTATGTGACGGCGCTTAGTCTTGTTGAAAGACGTAATCGTTTTAGGGTATAATCGACCCAAAGCCTTGTTGATAAATGGTATTAGAATATTGTTGACATAATAGTCGGCATTGATCTTTGCTTTATAGTCAACAAAAATGAGGATCGATTTTCCAGCAGCCGAAACAGCACCCCAAACCATTTTTATCTTTAATTTGATACCAAATAGACGCCAGTAAGACTAGACAGGTTGGCGCTATGGCGAGATGAAAATGGTACCATTATTTCCTAACCCTTGGTACAGTTTGGTAAATTTGATATTAGGTTCGAAAATAAGTTCCCGGCTTTTTCAGAAAAGTTATAAGGTGAAATACCTATCTCCTTCAAAGTTGGATGAAATTGAATCTTCTCTGCACTGTTATAATTAGCTCTATTAGAAAAAACGCTCAAAGGAAACTAAAAACGATGGACCTCAGGACATCTACGAAAAAAGCTGGGAACTTTATTGACATAGCTAATATATTGACTTTATGCAGCCATGAACTGGAAGCTGAATCCAATTTTTTTTATAATTTGTGCATTTTATTAGCAAATCTATAATTCAGGTTCAAATTACTACGGACTCCAATGAGGATATGGTTTCTAAAAGAGGACAAATGAGTCCTCGTTGAGGGTAGCATTATTTTGGCTCTACAAAACTACGAAACTGACCACAGTTTCCAACATAGTTTACGTTGTATCCTACATAATTATTTCTTTCTTCTGTTTTAATTAATAATTTACCTTTTAAGCGAATTTTTGAAGCAATATGCCACCAAAGACACGAGCCGTAGAAAGATAAACTCATTCAGAACTGTAGATACACGACTAATCTGAAACTTTCCGCAACTTTCGAAAAAATATTCTATCCCACTTAAGTATTCAATCTTCTTTTCTAGAGCACGGCAATTAATCAAAGATGCACTGCTGAATAACACCTTTTTGCAAAATTCATTGGATGGCTTTCAATTAAGGCTTATTGTTGATGCCATGTATGACAAGACTTTTGAGAAAAATGACTTCCTCTGCGAACAAGGAGCCTATGGAACTCATCTTTTCGTCACTGCATCGGGCAGTTTCCAGGTTATTGCGAATGGCCGACCAGTGAAAACCATAGGACCAGGAAAGGTGATTGGCGAACTGGCTATACTATATAACTGCACAAGAACTGCTTCAGTACAAGGTAAACCTTTCATTCTAATGTTATTGCCTTAGTCAGAGAATGAGATTTAATTCTCGATTCTAGATTATTGCTGATTCAAAAAGATTAATTCTGTCTCTTCCGTCAACAGCTCTGACAAAGTCAGGCGTTTGGGTTTTGGATCGGAAGGTATTTCAAGCAATCATGATCAACACGAGTCACAATAAACGAGAAAGATATCGTGCTTTCCTCAAAAGGTAACAACTCAACTCATTCCATTCATAAAAGTTGAACGAAGAAAAAAGTTCTTTACTTTGATTATTGACAACTAGATGTCACCAGTCAACAGGGAGTTTAATGTTTCAACATGAAACACTTGCTCAAATTGAGCCACTGATTTCACTCAGTAAAGTTAATCGATGAAAGTTAAAACTTGATTATTAAATCAATGAGACAATATAAATTCTGTTTTCAAACGATCCTCAAGAATAAAATCTTTTTTTTCTTCTCCATTCATCCAGTCAATTTCAAACCTTTTCATCTTCTTTTCATCTCCTCCTTTCTCCAAACTCTTGAAACTCTTCTCATTACATGTTATATAACACAATCAGATAACTTGTTCAGCTATTATCATCATCATCTTTTCCTTTTATATCCAATTTGTGGTTTATATGGAAGTGACTAAAAAAAGATTTGTTCAACAAAAGTAAAAATCAAATAAAGTTGAACATAAAACCTTTACATTTAGCAATAAGAGCGCTAAAAAAGAAAAGGCTCAGCAAAAGTGTCATGATATAGAAACTCAAGATCAATTGAAACTCATTGAAAAATCAAAATGAACAACTAATAAAAAAGAAAAGAAAAGTTGTAAAAAAAATCTCAAACCCAACGAAATACACAGAAGTGAATGCAGAATTTTGCAAGATTGAATAATAAAAGTAAGCAAAAAAACAAAAGCTTTTCAAGAAACAAACAAGAGATAATTTTATCTTATAGATGAACAATTTCAGAATAGATTATCTCGATATTTTAACGAAAAGAAAAGGTTAATAAAATGTTTTCTTTTCAGTCTCCAGGCATTTATCGTTCAAACGAAAGATCTTTTCATCTTTCATAGTTAATACCAAGAAGATAACATAAAAGGTTAAAAAGTTTAAAGATTCATGAGTTGCATTGGAAAAGAAGAAAAAGCAAAAGAGAAAAATGATATTTTGATATTTTCACTCCCAGTCAATCCTTTGACTAAAGATGAAATGATTATCATGAGTGACCAAGTTTTGACTGGAAAATGATCACTAGAAGGGAATAAAAAGTAGAACTTTTCAGATTCATAATTAGGTTCGAAAACTTTTTTTCCCATTTTTCAAGAGTTTACTTTTTATAAAAATAAGTCAATTCCAGGTTGAATGATAAAAACCTTTCAATATGATACAAAAAATAAAACAAGATAAACAATAGAAAATAGGATTTCCCGTTTTCTTTCTTCATCTTGTGAATATTGTTTATCCTGTTGAAAATGGATAAATTGAACTGAACCAGAATAATAGAACGCTAATGCTTTTTTAATGATAAAACAATTTAAATACTTATCATTATATTTGAATTTTTATCTTCATTTTTCTTCTTTTCTCTTCTCTTATCATTATTTTATCATACTTGCTTCATCCATTTTTTCACTTGTTCATGTTTCGCCATCTAATACATGGTAATATTTGTTAACTTGGAAACAATTTTTGCTCTGAAAAGATTTCAGTCGAAAATTTTGTTCCCTCAAAAAGATCATTAATTTGCCAGTTAATTAATATTGTTGCTTAAAAATAACTGTTAAACTTTGTTCATTAATTTTATTTTACATTATTATCGAGTTAAATATCGAATAGTGGCTACGAAAGAAAGATAATTAATTTATGTTTGAATAATTCAGTTGATCAATTAATTTGTTTCTCATTGAAATAACCATTTCTCCTTTTAACTTGTTTACTGTTCTTTTCACTGTTTCATTTTTAAATTGAATTTTTGTTTGCAATTAGTGTAGAGTAAGATTGGAGTTAAACAAAGTGTTTAGATTATTATTTCATTTGTTCAATTATCATGCTTAATGATTGTAACACATTAAATAATGTAAACAATAATCTTCCCTTAGCTGTTAATAGCCTCACTGGGAGTTGTTAAGTTGTTTGAAAGTTTTATGTTAGTTGTTATGCAAGTCATGGCCGAAGGCGGATCATTCTTGAAATGATATTTATAGTGTGCAATTCATCAATTATGGACATTTTTAGAGCATAAATGATTAAATGTCGAGTTGGACATTTTTTGTCTAACTTTTGTTTAACGTCCTCATCAATCTAAATATAGCAGAAATCAAATCGATAGTTTTCTAGAATCAACTTTGAAGTTTGTATTTGATGAAATTTTCCGATATTGTTTAGTGGCTAAGATGAAATTATTCAATAATTATTAATTCGATTGATTTTTTGAGCAATTTAAAATCGATTTCCATAACACTTATGTAAGCAAAATGACAAACGAATTAAAAATTAGGAGAATGATTGAATCTTGTTCTTGAGGACTGTATTCACATTGATAATTATTTGATAGCTTATCTGTTTGAGTTACTGTCATTTCTAGAGATGATAGGGCGATTTTCAAGCTCAATCCGCGATTCGAAAAAAATTGAAATTTGACTGGGGCGAGAAAATCGATTTTCACAACTGTTGACTCGAACCAACTTTTAAAACTGAAGAAATCAGAAAGCTATAAATTTATGGGTTATTTTTGCGCTCTTCAGACCTGTTGGTCTTTCTCGAGTTCTCGAATCTTTAAAAGATCGAGCTCAATCAGATCGAAAATTGAATAGCTCCCAAAGATTGACCTATCAAATACTCGATATATTGTCGATTATTCATCGATTCATTTAAAAAATATTACTATTTCTTTTAACAAAATTTATTCAATCGATTCCACTAATCTTTGATTTTAACCAATAGCTATTACGACATTCCAACGGCTTTTGGACAGCTTGTCAGAGTAATTGGAATGCCTAATCAGCGATTTGAATAATATTTTGAAAATGAATCTAAGTTTTACGTTTTCATGGATCCAATCAAGATTGACCAAGAAATTAGTCGAAAAAACGAAATAAAAGATCTTCGTTAGATCATTAAGGTCAAAATCGAAACATGATCAATCATTTTTCAATCGTTCCATTTATTGAACTTTTTCAGAGGTGAAAAGTTACTAATTTGATTTTCTTTCCATTTCTCCATTCCAAGTGTTCCTCTATTACAAAGCCTTGACGAGGAGTTGATTGCACGGATTGTGGATGTTATCGAATTGGTAACATTTTTGAGACATTTTTTGAGCTACAAAAAATAGCTAACTATTCATCTTTTTGAATGTCACCAAAAAGACTAACTCAGTAATCCATGAAATCTCTTAGCATTCTTGATCACATTTCCTGAATTGCCTTTTGTTGTTAATTTTTCCTCTTTTTTCCCATTTAATCTTCATTATTGTGCACAAACCAAGATACATAAATATCTTTACATTTATTACATTCTGTTTGCCCAAAAACTTGATCTTATTAACATTCATTGAAACCGAAATGAGATAATATTTTCTTTCTTCTCTCCTCTTCATGATATTGTTATCATTTTTTGAAACACAATATAAATACAGCGAGAGTTTCCAGAAGGAAATTATATCTGTCGCCAAGGTTACCATGGAGATTCATTTTATATTGTTGCAAATGGCTCGGTTCGAGTTACTCAGGAGATTCCAATTAAAGATTCAAAGGTGAAAGAAGAGAAAATTTTGCGAACTCTCAAGAAGGGAGATTATTTTGGTGAACAAGCACTTTTATCAGGTAAGATTAGGGTCGATAAAAAAGTTCATTTTCAATGGAAATCGCAACGAAACAAAATTTTCTTTTTTCTGTTCAACTTTTTCTTTCTCTTGAAACTTGTGAAACAAATGAATCTCGAGACTAAATCAAAGTTCATCTGGTTGTTGTCATTGCTGATGATCAGCATCATGGAACGGAAATGATGAGCTTAGTTTAATGATGGTAAACCTTTACCATGAATCTACTTTTCTTTTTATAGATTATAACAGGGAAACATTCGTTAGTCTGGATATACTTTTATCGTCAAAGGTTCAGAAGAAAATGTTTTTTTCTCTTTTCTCTTTCAGCGGACAAAAGTTGGTTAATCTGAATGATGAGAGGATGGAAATGATGAACATGAAGAAAGAGAAAAAAACATTGTTCTTTGGTGACATTTTCCTTAGATTCTCTTTTGTGCTCATTTCTCTTGATTCTTGTAGAAATATTGAGCAGCATGATGATGGGTAAACCCCGTTGGAAATTCTTATCATGACAATGTTATTCTCAAGTTGATTACTTTGTTTCCATCAAAGTTAATGTTAATTGTTGATTAACTCATTCACATCATTGAGGTTATAATGATTGATTGATAGTTACATACAACTGACAAGGTGAAGACAGAACATGATTACATTCGAAGGATGCGAATTTTTTATGCAAACATTCTTTTCTCTTCGCCAGCATCCAATCGATTGCAGCTTCGAATGAAAATCGTAGGCAAAGAAGCTAAAAGAATCATTAAAAAGGAAAAGATTTCATTCAATCTCATCTTTCGTATTTTCATAACTCGACAGATTGCTCGAAAAAAATTGAAATTCAATTCGATTTTCTTCAATTTTCTAATCGTTCTAAGTTTTGAAAGTTTATACAAAAAGTGATTTCGCTTGAAGTTTCGTTCAAAATCGAAAGACCAATCGAAGAAAATTTTTTTTGGTTTTTCCGCATCCATTTGCCCAATTACGATCTCCAATTATTTGTATTAATAATTGTAATAAGTTTCATTATCATTCTGATCAGTAAATGTTTCTTACTGTAGCTTAGTTAGTATAGTGAATGGTCACTTGAATAATCAGTTGACCAAGCAAGTCATTAGCTTCTATTACTTTCCTGGTGTTTGTCCTTCTTTCACTTTTACTGTTCATTGGAATAATAATAATGTTTCGAATCGTGTTCAACTCGAGAAAAAACTAACTTTTTTGTCGAGAAGTTATTCACCGAGATATTATCCTCATTGACGATGATGTTGATGAGTGAATATAGAGAGTAAAAAGTAACAAGAAGAATACATTATGATGATGGTGAAAAAGAAGAAGAAGAAGAAGAAGAAGAAAATGAGAGAAAACGTTCTAATAGCATCTTCTAATAGAAGTTTGAATGATGTAGAATCAGGGAAGCAAGAAAAAATAGATTAAGGTTATCATTCAAACAACATTGTGTACCTGTCAAGAAGCTTTGAAGATGATGAAGATGAGTGAAGTTGGAATGAGCTGTAAGGTTGATCCATTCAAAAGTTATATCAACTTGTTGTGATACTTGCAACAGAATAATAGATTCAGAGTTGAATTTCATTCTGCCCTGAAAGGAATCATTCAATTGTCCACTTTAAACAAGTGATAAACTATTAGGTAGCCACATGAGTTTTTGACCGGTTCATGTTAATTGTCCATCTCATCTTCTTTTAGATTTGGAATTTCGCTCAACTTCTCATTTTTCTAAAAGTCAAACACTTATTAGTTGATCATTCAAGTGCACCTTTCACTCAAATCATGATCCTTTATCAGCGAATCAATTGTCAATTCATCTCATCAGTTTCTTGATGATGATCATCATGATTCTTCAAGTTTACTAATGATGATATAATGCTATTCCAGTTGATATGTTGTTGCACAACTGTTTCTAGGAAAAGATGATTTCCATGAGAAGAACTTTTTCAATCCCTTTTCGTCTTTTTATCCTCAATTTACTGCTCAATCGATTCAAGTTAATTAGATTTAAGTCTGTTAATTGGTTGACTTTAATCATTTAATTGTATCCAACTCAATTGAAACATTTTATTCTATTTTTACTTTTTCGTTTTTTATTGAAGTAAATGTCATTAAAAGCAGTTGGTTGATCAATAAAAGGACAAATAAGTCGAATTTGATTAAATTAAAGTTCTATTTGTTTTTGGCACTTGTCTTTTCAGGAGGAAACTTGCGAACTGCCAATGTCATTTCAGAGGAATGCGAATGTTTAGTTCTCGATAGCAACAGTTTTTATTCACTTGTTGGCGATTTAAACGAACTCAGGTGAGAAGTCGACTTTGGTGCGAACTTACTTAAGCACTAAAGAGAGGAATTGACTTGAAAGCGAACTGAAAGTACTTTTTCAAATTTCCTTTTCCTCGTCAGAGACAAACGATACAACATAAATGAAGCTGTTCCCAGTGAAACACCATCATCATCAACTGAATTATCATTGACAGAACCAGCTGATCATGACTTCTTTAATAGCTTAAAGTTGGAGGACTTTCAAGTGATAGCCACCCTTGGAGTGGGTGGCTTTGGTAAGGTGGACTTGGTCTATTTATCAAGTGACCCTGAGAAGGTTTTTGCCCTTAAATCGTGTGCAAAAGTCTTCATCAATACAACGCAGCAACAAGAACATCTTATCAATGAAAAAGTTGTGAGTATTCATTTTGTCATCGAATTACATTTTCTCTGTAATTTGAACTCAATGGCCGCATTATATTACATTATAATAATAGTTTCATTGAAAGAAGACAAATTTGAATGAATGTCGTTCTCAATCACATCAAATGAAATCTGTAGCACTCAAACCACATAAACCCAAACGTAAAGTCGACAAACAAGATTTCCCAAATTCACTCATTTCGATCGGTGACAGTTCTAACCATACACTTCTGGCTGATCAAGCAGCATAACATGTGCCAGTAAATATCAACCAAATATTGACAGAAGGAAAAAGGTCCAATTAAAATTAGTCAAAACGATTTGTTTAGATTAATATTAAAAAATGAATTTCCAAAGAAATCATTTTATGGACAACTCTTGACTTCAAAGTTAATCTCGATGATGAGTCGATTCGATGAGTTTGCACGATGACTTGATTATCTTTATTAAACTTGTTCACCATGTAAAACAATAAAACAAGATGAGAGTAAACAAAGAGGCTCGATTATGATAAACTATTAATAACTAATAAAATCTATTGTTCGTTAACATTGAAGGAATGTTGACAAATACCTTCGATTCCCATTAAAAGCTAATTAAATGTTACTAAAAATAGAACTGTTTTCGTCATTACATTAATACGGATATAACGTCATCCAGTCTTTTGTTTGCTTATGAATATATTAGCATTCAATTTCACCCAATTTTAAGGAATAAATGTTTTCCATTCTTCTCTTTTCAACAAAATGATTCAGTTATTTCAATATTTCCATGTCAAAATAGTCATCAATTTGGTCCATAATGAACAATAGTTTGTCGAATTGTTTCATTTAGAATTTAAAAGTAATTCGAGAATCATGTATTCATTGGCAAATGAAGAATCAAGTTTAATGTCATTTTCTCAAAGTTAATTCACCTTTACATTTCTCTTCATGAAACTTGATATTTGAATTAATGTCGGCTTTAAATTGTCATAAACTCAGATTAACATTTCAATTGTTTCATTTGATAAATGTAAAGCTATTCAAGGTTGAATGTCAAAGGATAATGACACAGTTCACAAGTTTAATGGAGCAAACCTTATGCAGCCAAGCAAAAGTTCATCAAAAGAACTTTGTTTTCACCATGAAAGGCATTCCATCATTTCATTGTGAGAAAAGGAATTAAAAGAAAAGTAAAACTTCTTATTTCCTAAACTAACACTTGAACTTGATTAGCATTATTGATTTAAATTTGCTCCTCAAACTGTATAATTAAGTGCAACTCAATTGTTTTGAATATCCGTAATTAACTTTAAGGATTGGTCCCTAAAAAATTGGACAAATTTTGAAACAAATTTCAACCATGTTAAGTTTCTTCGAATAAAGGATTCAATAGCTCAAATTGACGAGAATTTTATGGACTTTTCAAAAATATCATTCTCGTGAATCAAAATATGCAATTAAATAGAAAAAAGTGTCTTTAGATGAATGATGCGTGCAATTTGCTAGTTCAGTTTTGTAAAATCCCTATGAGGTTAGCTATCAAGCTATGAACCAAGTAGTGCTTAAAATTAGTTTTAAAACTCAGAATTTTTTGATTAACTGTTCCTGCAGTCATGAAAAAAACTAATATTGGTACGAAAGGTTTGACCAAACCGTGCTCAGGTCAAAAAGTCGCTAAAATGTCACATAAAAAAATTGCTGAGCTCTAGAGAGAAGTGAACTAAAAAATTTTGATGACGCACTCTTCGAGTGGCCTTTTAGGTCAAAACTAACTTAAAATTACTGAAAGTTTATAGACAAGTCCCACTATCTGTCCTTAATCAATGTATTATCTCAATTCCAATTCCAATTATTAAATACTTTCCAAGTTATAAACAGTTGAAATTTGTCCAATTTTTTAGGGACCACTCCTTATCGCGATAATCTGACAGTTTTTTGTTTCAAGTCATGTTTCGTCTCAACAGATTAATCTTCTTATATTTTAAGCTTAATTGTTTATTAATTGAATTCAGTTAAAAGGTCGAACGAAACATTTCGATCGATATTCCAAACGAATATGATTTTGAAGAAAGAAAAAAGGATTTCCAGGTTGAAACGATTTTCACTTATTCCACTTATGAATAGATTTCCATTGAATTTCAAACTGAAATGGAATTTATGTTCACACTGTTTTCGATTGATAATTTATTGTAGTTGGTTCGATAGATTTTGCTCAGAATGCTGTGACATTGAAGAATGTTAACAATTATTTCATTCCCTGTTGTGTTGTGACGAATCAATGTTGACTCTTAACATGTGAAACATTACATGATGGTCACTCTTGTGGATGAATGTTAGTTGATTACATGTTGTTAATCATCGAGATAAACGGATGATCAAACAGACTAACGTAGGTTGGGATAAAAGAGAGAAAACTGACTTTTCTTAAGAACTGGGCAACTTTCAAGAATCACTCAGACCATTTGGTGGACAAAGTATTTACCTGTCGTCTAGTCTAGTATACTTTTCTCTCTCTTCCATGAACTCACCTGGTAAATGTCATTTTGTTTCCTCTGTTTTCACTCCACTCTCAAGTTGATCTTTTCATCTTAAACAAAAACTCATCACACAAGGGAATCACTTTGCAATCAACTGAATAATCACAAGTGTGATAAGATACTTGATCCAGTGAATGTTGCTCAGCTCCATGCAACTGTGATAATCTTTATTGAACAAGTGTAAGCTTCGTTCAACCGTTGTTCATTCAAGTTGCCTGTTAAAAATGCATTTACTTGCAACAGAATAAAGAATTATTTTTTTCCTCTTCTCTCCATTATTACCTTTGATTGCCATCATTAGCATGGATCAATCTTGAGAATTTTAATTCATCATTCAATGGAACATGAAACCAAATTAGTGGCTTTAGATTGCCCAATTGTTTATTCAAAGTTAATAGATTGTTCAAGTTTCAACAATTGATGAATGAAGAGAGAAGCAAAAAAATAGAAAGAAAAATGATTTAAAGAGTTGAAGAGTTGAAGAGACTAAAAATGAATAACATTTTATTCAATTGTTACAGATGATCATTATTTACTCCCAGCTTATTGATGTTGAATAACAACTACAATCAAATTATCTAATGGTTTTACATTCAACATTGATAAATAATATTTAAATGTTGACAAATGATTTGGTTGACAATCATTAGACCAAGTTGTAACCATTAGAGTCAGCGAAATGAGCATCAATAAGATTATCGCAACAACTGACAAAAGTAGTTCAATCGTAATCAATTATAAAATTGCCTTTTCGTTTCATCTTTTTCCCCTGTCAACCCACTCTAGGTTCAAAAAATTGCTTCTCAACATCAATTTGTGGTTAAATTGTACCGAACCTTCAAGGATCAACATTGCTTATACTTTCTTCTGGAAGCAGCTCTTGGAGGTGAATTATGGACGCTTCTCAAGAAGAGGTAATCAATCAGACGAATATCGAAAAAGAAATTTCTAAATCGATAAGTTTCTCTAATGTTTTCAATGCTCGACTGTTTCACTTTGGATTGAACTGTAAATGCAAAATGAGTCGAAATCATTTTCTCGTTGAAATATGATGAAGCAACTGAATAACTTTGCTCAGACAATTTATCGATATTCAAATTCATTTTCACTTTTCCATGTAACAGTTGGAGTTTGTAAATGTGCTGAATCTAAATCGTTTTTTTATTCATTACTTTTCACTCTGAGTTGATTTGATTTTTTGGGCTTGAAAAGTATTTAATTAACTGAAAGTAAATTGAATTATCAAAATAAAGTGTTAATAATCATTGGAATAATGGAAATTTTTATTTGTTAATTGAAATGAACTTTTCAAATAACAAAAGCAATTAACTTGGTCATTAATGAACTCCAAGTCCAGTTGTTCAAGTTGTAATTATAAATAGAGAGTTAATTGCAACTCAATTTGTCAAGTCAAATTTTCTACTCAATTTAATGATGTAAATTCATAATTATTTTTCATTCGAATTTACAAATTCTTTTTTTATTTCGATCCAGAGGACGCTTCGATGAGTCAGAAGCTCGTTTCTACCTTGGCTGTGTTATCGAAGCCATTGAGTTTCTTCATTCCAATAAGATTATCTATCGAGATTTGAAACCAGAAAATTGTTTACTCGATGCAACTGGTTACTTAAAAATAACAGATTTTGGCTTTTCAAAGGCAAGTTAAAAAACTAAAAAAATTTTCATGGAAATAATTTTTTCCCAAATGGAAAATTTTTTCTTTTAAAATTGATAATTTTGGCAATTCCAAACTCGAATGTTTTAACAGAAATGAAATGAAAACATTACTTGTACTTTAACAAATCATTAGGCAAACAGTGATACGAGATGGTCTCATGTGAATTGAAAGTTGAAACGAAATGAAGAAGAAAATGTTTCATGAAAAAAGAAATTATTTGAAACAAAAAGGATAAAAAAGTGAATAAGAAAAGGAAAGATTTGGTGAACACTTGGAAGTTGGTCCATTACTTTACTGAACCGATTACTTTGTTCTGTTTCTCGATGTTTCATTAGATTATAACTCCGGCAACAAAAACTTGGACCTTTTGTGGGACACCTGAATATGCTGCTCCTGAGATTATATTGAATCGAGGTCATGATAAAGCAGTTGATTTTTGGGCGCTTGGCATTCTTTTGTATGAACTGTTAACTGGAGTGTAAGCAGTTTCATGGTTATCATCATTACCACAGATAAATATAACCTTTGAGATAACAAAAACTCCCAGCAACACCCAAGTTCCGATAACAACAAGAATATCGAATAACCTTTTTTTCTGATTCTTTTTCTCTCTCCTTTCTTTTGTTCTCATCTTCTGCTCAGCTAAAAGATAAAATGTCATGATAAATGTTAATGTTGCAAATATGTTATTGGCAGGATAAAAAAAGAACAAGGAAAGGAGAGAAGAAAAAATTAGGCGAAATATTCTTTTTTGTATCTCCATTATCATGAAAGCTTGCACAGATTTATCAACAGATAATATCAGATATTCAATTTGCAAGATAAAGGATGAAATTATGGTCAACGAAATGATTGAGTTTAATCAACGAAAAGAGAATTCCTTTGATTACCTTTCGATTTTTCTCTTTTCAAGAAGTTTTCTCACGGTTCAATTTTCTTCTTTTCCAGGCCACCTTTCCAATCAACTGATCCCCTGAAAACTTATAACATCGTTTTACGAGGATTCGATGACATTGTTTTTGACAGTAAATGTTTTTCCATTAACGCAATTCACTTGATTCGTCGGTTGTGCCGTGATAATCCATGTGAACGACTTGGTGTTCAAAAGAATGGAATCAACGATGTTAAGGCAAGCTGGTTATCAAAGTTGAAACTTGAGTAACTCGGCTGACTTGTTCAACTCATCATTAAGAGATTGAAATGTTTTTTCTTTTTCTCTTCCTATTAATGTTATTCATTTAATTAGTTGGATAATAATAGTCGTAGACGATATGTTAACAGTTATCTGATTGAACATTTTTCTCTTTTCGCTTAATCTTTATCATGTTAAACGATTATCAGCTCATTAGAGTTCATGAATATTAATGAAATGTCGAGTTGTCAGGGTAGAGAGAGAGAGAGTTTTCTGAATAATTTTGTATTCATTAGAATCAATGTTTCGCTTTTCACATTTTTATCCATTTATTTTTAGAAGCATAAATGGTTTCATGGATTTGACTGGGAAGGTTTGGTTAATCGTCAATTAAAACCGCCGATTGTTCCAATATTATCTGGACCAGCTGATACTCGCTATTTTGACCTGAATCAAGTGAGTTGGTAAACCGGTTTTTACCGATTTAACCTAAATCTTATTAAAATTACACTGTTGAGATCAGATCATTATTGATTTCCAAATCGAAGTTGAAACATTGAATTGAAACAGAATTCTCGAATTTATTCATCTTCACTCGATTTCATGCTACTAACTTGTAATAATTGATATTTTTGTCTACTATTTTATTCTCATTCACAGGCTGATGTTTCAATAAGAGTGAAATTGGAAAAGGAAATACAATCATTGATAGATCAAGAGAAAATTGCAACAGTTGAAGGTTGGGAAGTGGACTTTTGAACTGAATCCATCACATGTCTAACAATAAGATAAATGTTGACGTTGGATTATTATTTTGTTTTTAATGTTACCATGAACTTGGAAATAGTTTCGATCAAGTGTTTTCTGTCAGCTGGTTACATTGAAGTGAATGATGATGCGTGTATTGATGCCATGAATGCACGAATGAAAATATAATCGGCTTGATATTATATTGCTAGCAATACGTTCTTTAACATAAATGAATATCAGGCTGCCATACCTAAAATTTTTGAATTAAAAATAATATCAAGTTCTTGTAATCATCGTTCGTTAAATTCTTTTTGATACATCTACCCTCATGCTTTTATTATATTATATATGAATTTTAGCATCAATGTTCTATTCAAATTATTTCTGTCAAAATTTTTCGATTAATGCAAGATTGTTTTGTTTGATCTGAGTAGCATAAAATGGCTTGCGCCAGCTCCGTTTTCCCCAAAAGTTTTCAAAATTTTTTCAATCATTTTGCTTTAAACGATTGATCATAGATTTCAAGCGTTTTTTGTTTACATTATAATTACATTATTCAAATAGATTGAAAAATCTCTAGGATTGATTTGCTAACATTAAAAAAGAACGCAGAAGTATCCACATAAAGTGGAAGTGTTCCCTTGATATTTATGTGAAGAAAAATCAAAACCTATTGTATTTTTTCAATAAAAGTCAAAATATTGCCTTCTGGCTCACGACCAAACGAATCAAAATAAATTGTTCTTCCGAGTCGTGCGAAATGCATCGACATCCAATGTGATCCTTCTTTGTAGCTTGGACCCAGATTTATTTCAAAGGATAAAGGTCTTTTAATTGTAATTGGAAGGCGGTCACTAGGGCAAACATCGCCAAACCACTTCAACAATTTTCGATTTCTATACTGTTTCCCATTTTAATAATCAATAGTTACTTGACATTTTCGTCAATCGTAATTAAATTATCATTCTGAGCAAATACAATTGCTTTGATTGTTTTAGGTAGATCTTGACTAAAACGAACCTCTAATCTAGCTTTTCCACATTTTATTAATGATCAAACTCCAACTTCAGCTCCTCCAATATCAAATGCATGTAGTGATGCTTTATCTTTTTTGTATTTCTCATAAGATATTTGCAAATGAGATTTTCCTTCATCTTGTCTGATTGCCCGATACAGTACCACAAATTCACGCATTGCGTTTCCATTTGCAAATTCAGGCGTATGTGGTATACTGGGATACATTACTACATAGATATTTAAACTGATATGGTTAACATTGGAATGTTTTAAGGAAGGGTGCCGAAGAAATCTGACTTTCGAGTTAAGAGCTAGGACTCTGTACGTTTGTAGGAGCATGCAAACTGCGTCCATTGGTGGCATGAAAAAATTTGTCGCTATTAGATCAACTCGTTGCAAAGGTAGTTTTATTCAACCTTTCTGTACAACATTCAAAAAACATCAGAATACAACAACAGGACATTTTGCGTCCAAATCAGACTAAAAAGTATGCTAAGGGCCAGTGATAAGCAAAGTCTGAATACCATTACACTTTAGTGAAGCCTGTACTTAAGGCACCTTGTGAAGTCATTCATAGATCAATATTATTTGTCTGATTATGAGGGAATTGAATGTAGTGCTCAGTTGCAGAAGTTATTTGTTATCACAATCTCAGCTATCGATTGTATGACTTCATACGTTGATATTAACCAAAGGATCAAATTAAGTAAGACGAACCTAATAGTATGCCTTACTGGACTAAAAATTGAATCATTTATTTGTTTTAACCATTTGGTTAATTGGGACAGAGACATGGACTAACAAGAGACAAAATCTTAATGGTGTGTTTGTGTCTTTTTTGTCCTCTGCTTTTCGTTTCTTGATTGATATCACGTTATAAATAACAAAGAATATTTAAAAATGTATTGTGGCGCGAGATCAGCTAACTTTTGCTTTCTCTAGGTTTGTTTTTATCGACAACTTGTTGTTAAGTAAGGCTGTTTTTATCAGACGATGATGATTTATGACGATTGAAACAGGAGCTGAAGAAAAAAGAGGAGGCAAGATCCACATTATGACCACAATCCTTTGGCTTACCAATTATACGTGTCGAAAATTCACTCAAGCTCTTCATTTCCGTTCTCTTTCCATTCTTTTTTTTCTCTAAAGATTTATTTATAATTCAAGTCTTATTTCTTTGAATATTTTCAACAAATTCATATTTGTGTTCATATTTTATTTTAAATTGTTTTTATTGTTTTTTCAAAAATATTGTCAAATACGTATTTCTATTCACCATGTCAGTGCGTCTTAGACCCCGATCTCGTTCCAATGTTATCGTCGCCCATCACTTGGGAGGATGGTTTAAGATGGACAAAGACCTATTTGTCTCTGTCGTGACATTGTTCGCCCCACTACTCACCTCTAAGCCTGAAGTGAAAAGGGTTTAATCCTCGACACTGTTTCTTTCTGTTTTTGTGGCCTTTGGTGGCATATTCCATGGAGATGATATCAATGTAAAAGCAGTTGACTTAGATACTTGCACATTCCAACTTGCAAGCATTGGTGTAAAAGTTGCACATATTAACAGTAAAACTCAAATTAACGCAAATATTCATCGTGATTGCTAAAGGTCTATCCAACTTATGGCGAGCAGTTATCCTTTGGGCAAGACATGAGTCTGATCGACTGAGGAATGATAAGGTTAAACCATGTGAGTAACCTTTGATTATAATATTGATTTTTGTTCTTTATCAATTTTTTATTTCCTTTCTGTTTGCAGTTTACACTTCTTTTGTGCCCAAAGATACTCCATGTCAGGAGTTTAAGCTATATGAAAAAGAAGATATCGTGCAAAGTCTCGAATGTTATGCTATAAATTTTCACACGGAGATTTTATTGAGAAAATCTTTTGTGCTTGCCCAAATTATCTAACTTTTGAAGTCAGCAGAGAACAAATGATGAATTTATCACCATAAAAATATAATTCATTTGCGCGTTTTGCTGGAGACATAGATTACGTATTTCTACCAGCGCAAATATCTGAATACACTTTTAAAAAATTTCAATTTCTTTTTACTCCAAAATTATGTACAGTTAGAAGAAAAAATTTATGAAAATTCAAACCGCATCTGAATTTTTTAGGCAGTTCAATTGAAATCGCAGAATTTATTGACAATGATCGCGAAAATCAATATAAAATTCTAGCGAGAAAAAGTGGAAAATCTCATTTATATATTTGCAAGTTTAATCCTGGTTTTACTATTAATCCCGATGAAGTCACGGATGAACCTATTATGGAAATTACTCCACTATCAGAAAGTGATGAACAGCCAGAACCGGAACTAAAGTCAGAGCCTCCTAGGTAAAGTCGATATTTAATTTGAACATCCAAAAATGTAACTTAATAATTTTCATAAAACAATGCAGTTACATGTCCAGTCAATTTTTTATCTTCTCATAATTTCCCTTCCTTATAATCATAATAAAATTTAAGTCATTTGAACCCCTTTCGTTTGTCGATTTTCTCAGATGTTTAAAGTTGGTTAGTTTTATGTTGTTTATGTGATATGAAACATTGATTACTATGTTTTTGTGTTTTTCAACAAGTTGGTGCCTCTATTCGATTTGTCTTCAAGCTCCATTGAGAACGCTATCAGTTAGAAGCGCAGAATTTAGACAATGATCGTAAACATCAATATAAAGTTCTAGCGAGAAAAAGGGGAAAATCTCATAAATATACATGCACTTCTTCTGAAGAAAAGCAACTGAAGTTGCATAATGATTAAGTAAGCCTGCTTTCTCCGGTAGGCAAGGCTATCTGGGCGATTCTGTTAATTCAAATTAAAATGTGAAGAACGCATGAATCACTCATGTCAGAATGATGTAACTTGACCAGTGAGATATTGCGACCTTGAAAATTATTTTGACCTCTAACATCGTTAGGAGCGATTTCCTAAAAATGACCTTGACCTTGCAATATAACAGATGAATATCCGTGAAATTCGCATGGAACAATTCTTGAGTCTTCAGCTCAATCACAGGCCAAGTAACATCGGTATAGATAGCTGAATAGCCCTATAACCTGTGTGGATAAATTATTGGACTTTATGGTTTTTTCGTTAAATCTCGTAAGATAATGATTGAATTTTTCTGAAAATTCAACATGTTATGAATGAATAGTTAAGCTTTGATATATGAGAAATTCAGAATAAAAAAAACAAAGGCCACTGGATAAAAAAAGTTTTGAAGATTTCTTTTTCATACATGTTAAACTCTCATAGACAAAAACAAATTTCTAAGACCAGTTCAACTTTTTTAAGATTCTATTAAAATTGGATATCTTTCGAGCGACTTGCCCGAATTTTTAGATTTTGCTTCAAGTGAAAGGTCTTGAAGAGTTGAATCGATTGATGTATTTTTTTCAGATACATCAAATTTTGCTCATGAGGTTATTTAGGAAACCAAATCTTTTAAAAAAAATTTTCTCCTCCGAGTTTGAGGGATGATTATCAAGTTCAGATTCAGATTAAATTTTTGTGAAAATTAGATTAACTTCTTATCAGTTTTTAATCTAATTGAAATTTTTATTTCATTAATTGTTTTGATCGGATTGCCCCTTAGTTCAAAAAATATGTCTTAACCATGCAAACAAATCAGGCCGTTCTCCTTATTCTTTTGATCTTCGTCCTTGCGTCTTCTGTCTATCATAATGATCAGATTGCATTTTTTCATTCAATTTTGTCAAGTTTTTGTTCACTATTTCAGGATCTTTGATCTTGAAATACACACCACTAGTCTCTTAAGGAAAGATTTTTTAATCTCTCTTACTTTTTTAAAAGGGTTTCCTTAAGAGGATAGTGGTGTGTATTATAATTTTGTCTTTATATTGTTTATTTGAAGATCTTTGTGTAAAATACAATTCTGTAATCAATAAACTTTTACTAGATTAAAATATCAAAACAAGAATATTATTTTCATCTTATTATGTGATTGATTCTGTACAGTTATAGATGAAACAGTTGAGATACATGATAAATTGATAAATAATTCGAATCTGTCGTCAATCAAACTCATTTTTTATATTTTTTATTAAATACTATCAAGTTTTTGGGTCCTATTTGACCATTTTTGATCATTGCATAGCTCTGAATTTATGGTGTTGCAATTCGAGAATTTCTGTATGTAATAAACAAGTAATAACAGATCAGACTTATACAAGTAGACAAGCTTAACTGTATTTTTAGGTAACTGAAAGATCATCAAATTATTATTATCAAGATTATGGGATGATAATAGTTTTGATGATTCAGGATACGACGAAGATAATTCTCATGTGGATTGAGGCAAAAACCCAGCAAAAATGTAAAATTGCTGTAACCAGCGAAGCAAACTTTTAACGTTTTGAGCAAAGAGTTGAAAAAGCATGATGATGAAGCTGGTGATGCTGGAGATGACAATAGGAATGAAACAATATTTAGATACAAGTTATGCAAATAATGAGCATAATGATAATGATAATAATGGGAAAGTTGTTGAGTGAGTAGAATCCATTATTTTGGTGGTTCAACTGAAAAGGCAAATGATGGTGATGTTTGAAGAAAAACGAGCAAAGTAAACTTTTCTCTTTGATAATTCTGTT